AGAATAAAGAAGGAAATTTAAAATTTATGCAAAAAGCAACAGAGGCAGCGGAGAAATTCAACTGAGGCTGACTGAAGGCTAATTTGCATAAGGAAAACGGCAAACGAAACTCGAACGAATATTTCCCTCTATATGTGTTTCCACTGTACGAGTGTGTGAGTGCGTGTGTGTGCCCACTGGCCTGGCAAATATAAAGCGCAAAGTGTTCTTGCTGACATCGCGACAGCAAACACCCACACACGGACACACGGACGCACATTCGTTCTATAACTGTGTTGGTACAAATGTTTCCCTTTTATTTGGCAGGCCTTTTGGCTAATAGCAGTCGCCAGAACCAGGCCCAGGCCCGGGACAGGGCCGACTGTTTGCCGAAAGCAGCAAGGCGGAAACGCCAGTTCGACAATAAAGCGCACAAACACTATTCAGGCATGCCAAGAAAAGTACACAGCGAGAAGCAGAGATAACATTTAAACCATTCTCCCAACATCAGGCAGGACTGGGGCCCACCCTTCCCTCATAGAATGGTTGGGTTTTTAGGCCAGAAACAATCTAAAAAGGACTTCGATTGTGTCCAGACATTGGTTTGGTTTTATGTTTCTTTTGGCCAATTGTTCCGGTTAGTGTTTGTAACCAGAAAACCGACTGGGCCACATTGCGGTTATGAATATCGAGAAACGTTATTGGACTACAATCGAATGAACTGAAAATATTGCTGGGCTAAACAATTTGAAACAAGTTTTAATTTAAGCTTTAATTGCCAGCGAAAATGACTGGAGGATAACCACAAGGCAGTTTCTAATCACATAATTGGCAAAACTTTGACTTTGGCCAACAACTTTTGGCTTGGGGAACGCAGCATAAGCCGTCGAGGTCATGGAAAATACGAGTACAAACGCTTTTCCTTTTTTTTTTTTGCCAGCTATCTATCTTCCGCTGCTGGAAAATTATGACTGGCGCCCGGAGCCAAGGAGGCTAAAGGACTTGGCCGGCAGAGTTCATTGTGCCACATTTCATTCGGCTAAAAGTGCTCGCAAATAATGCCCGTGAGCTATCAAAACGATTTCTTTATTTTGGGATTTAATGGATATCTTTGAGATTGAAGGACGCTCCTTCGGTCGTGGGTGCAGTTCTAACTGACTGACCGAATGGGAATTCCGACAGCAACTGTAACTGCAACGGCAACTGACTTTCTTGACCGACGAAGACGAAGGCAGCAAAATGGAACTGCCCATCTTGTAGTCCCTGGCACACAATCCTCCTGTTCTCCAGGGTGATTATTTTGCAGTTGTTGTGCCAATTTTTAACGCAAATTGATGCCATACACATTCTGCTAAGGCTGAGGCTGAGGGAGGTATATTTTGATTTCATTATTCCGGCAGCAGGCGGAATGTTTCCAGTTCAGAGCTCAGTTGCTAGCCCCCTCGGTTATAATGGCCAGATGTAGACATTTATGTACATTATTATGATTTCTCCTTTGCCGTGACGGTGGGCAGGCACTCCTCCTTTTTTTTGTATTTTTATGTTATGCTTGCTTACACAGTCGCCGTATTCCGTGCCAGCTCCTGCCTCTGGGGGGCTTGTTAAATGATTGACCTAGGCTCCTAGGCTCCTCATTTGCCTCCAACTCCACCTCCACCTCCTCCTGCTCCAGCTCCTGTCACGGCTATTATTGTTATGGCAATCGCTTTGATTGCACGTTAGCAGCGTATAATTATATTTCATTTTGAGGATAAAAGTTTGCCTATTAATGTGTAGTTTATTGTCCATAATTCGACGATTGCTTTCGAGGCACACCCGAAAGCCCTCATTAAAGAACCAAATCCCGGTTAAATTTTATTGTCCACCTGGCCGATGGCTGGTGGCACATTTTGTGGCACAAATCCATCATAAAATTCATCGTAGTTTTCACTTTTTTGCGGCAGCCTTTTGTTTCTCGTTTTTTTTTTTGCATTTTGCATTCCTTTGTTTTTAGTGAAATCACCCCCTAGACTTCTTTCATGCGCTTGACAAACTGCGTAAAAATCTCCGCTGACCGGAAAGTAATTTGAAAATGTTATTCATTATGCATAGCACTCGTAGTGCTGGTTTCCGAATCACCCTCTATTACGCCCCACTTCTGCTGTTATTTTTCGCGCACTTCCTGCCTCACTTTTCCGAGTTTGTTGCAGTTTCTACGCACGGTCTGGGAAATCCCGGAGAGAGACTTGGGGCGTTTGCCAGGAGTTGGGTGGGCTACTGTATGTGACCGAAAGTTGAAGAAAAACTTTTGGTTTTCGCTTTCGCCGGGCTCTGCGAAAAAGTGCGCGAAACACTAATGCCCGGATTTGAGCTGAGGCTGCCGGAGTTTTAACCAGATTGTTGCCTTAAAGCCGAATTAGCAAAGCTTCTGCGGCGGGCAGGAATGGCTGAACCCATTAAAGATTGCGAACTACTGAAGTCTTTCCCACCAAATATATGAAAATGGACTTTATCTTTTAACTTCCTAATTGAGAACATCTTGAGCATTGCCAGCCTGCTAAGCCTTCTTCTCACAGAGTCACATAAATTGTAAGTCGACAAATTAAGCCGCGCCCAGAGGCCACTCAGCTACCGTCAAACGGCCGAGGATGTGACCAAAAAGTGCAGTGCTAGCCAAACGCCACAGGACCAATATCAAAAGGACTACCGTGGAAACAATGACAGACCAGAGTGGAGGAGCCGTGAGGAGGGGCGGCCAAAGGAAGCCTTGGGAGATACAGCCAAGTTTTAGAGACAAAAGTCTGGCGATGGTTTAAGGCAGGCCAAAAGGAACTGAGATAAAAATGGCGTGCGTCGCATGGAACATGAACCAAAATGGCACCCACAAGAGCTTCCGGCAGACGTCCGCTTTAACAACTCTTTTACCCACGCACCCTCACATATGGAAGCAGGCACCCACACGCGCTTATCCTGCACACCTGAGTACAGACTAATAGGGCAGATTCCACCCCACAAGGACACTCTGGCTCACTTACTTGGAATTTAAAAGACCACGGAGATTGTTCTGCCAAAATAATATCTTACGCTGGTTGGACTTTAAGACTGGCCTTTTTCAGTCTGTGGCTTGAAAAGCTACCATTTCGGCCGCAACTGTTTCTAGGAACATGGCCGAGAACGCCCTGCACATTAGCGAGGATTCGCAGTTGGGAGTTGGCTGTGGAGGGGATGGCTTTTGTCATAAACCCATTAAAAGTCAAGGACAAAATTCATGTTGCATGTTTACTCATGCACACTCGCACACTCCGCCCACACACACACACACCTCCACAAACATTTGTACTATGTACCACCATATATTCATATACATACATCACAGAGCAGAAGGAACAAGCAGCGTCAACAAAGTAGCTTTAATTAATGAAACTCATTAAAGGGACGCCAGGCACTGGCTCTGCCACCGGCACATCCTCCTTCACAGAGCACAACAGCACTCAGTAGCTCGGCAAAAGGCCACAAACGCTGCCAAAAGGACCAAGGACCAAAGGAGCAGCCTAGACTGAATTGCCTGCTTTGACCTGCCACAATGCGCTGTGCCATACATTAGCCACGATGGAGCATTGCTAGCGACTTGGCCTGGTCCACTGCCATTGAATAAAATAATCAGCAGCAGTAGTAACCTTATCCTGCTTCCTGTTTCCAGTTGGCCAAGGCGCACGACTCGACTGTTGGCTTCAAACCCGAGCTTACTAGACACTCGGAAAATTCACGAACACCGCGAGAGAGTAAAAGTGGGGAAAAGCTGGGGAAATGGTGGTGAAAGTTTTCTAGACTCCGAAATCGGAATGACAAAGTGAAAGTATGACAGTCAAGCAGGATATGTTTAGCGTGAAAACTAGTAGCGGAAAATACTGCTTGAGTCAAGGGTAAGAAAAAACAGTTACATTCTACTGCTTTCTATAACGGTAAAAAAGGATGCTTTATGGAAAACTGCTTAGAAAGCAGGACTCTTAATAGAAACAAATTAATAAATTTAAAAAAAACTAGCTTGTGGAATATTTAATAATGGGTAGAAAATGCTTAACCTTTAAAGGTTAATGCTTAACCTTTAAAGTATTTCAAGATAGGAGTAACTTTTGACTTTTTTGAAGAAGGATAACAAGGATACTTTATTGAAAACTGCTTATTAAGCAGGACTCTTACTAGAAACGAATTAATAAACTTAAGAATAACTAGCTTTTGGTAGACAAAATAATGGGTTTAAAAGGGTTAAATCTTTAAAGCATTTCAAACTAGGAGTAACTTTTGAATTTTTTTTTAAAAGGATAACAAGGATATATAATTTTCAAGCAGTACACACAAGAATAACAAACATTAAGAGAGAAAAACTGCTTGAAAGGACATAAGGACACTTCCCCAAGTTGCATTCTACTGCTTGTTCACCATAATTTATCCTATAAAGGACATATTTAAAGCGGTACCCAAAAGGGATGTTTGGCATTCATCATAAGTGTTATATGTCCTTATTTCATACAATAACCGACAGAGGGCTTTTATACCAAATACGATATCGCCCCCACCCCAAGGTCATGCGCTCTCACCAAAGCACCATAGCTAGCACACCTGTATGAATAGTACACGCTCTTGGTCCTGCCTAACTCTCCTTCCCCGTGACCTGCGCACTCCCGTTTTCGCCTTTGAAAGGACTAGGACAACTGAGAACAGGCCGAGATGGCTGCACAGAAAGCAACAGCTTTGTGCTTCGTCCCAACCACCGCCTCCCCCCAACGCCACCCGTCCGCACATCCACATCCTGTCCCGTCCTTTGGCAGCCCCGGCACCTGCTGCATCTTGAAACAAAGGCCATTTATTTAGAATGGCAGCGCAAAACGGAAACGCCAAGAAAATAGACAACACAACATTCCAACGACACCGCAAACGTCGATGGGGGATGGAATGGCAGCCGGAGGAGGAGGAGTGGGAGTATGGTTGCCGGGTTCCCGGTTGCCACAACAACTGCCACAAGCCACAACAAGAGAAAAGTGCGACGGAAAATTAATAAAATCCCGTTCGGGAAAATATATTGTTCTGTGGAAAACGTCAAAGGCTTAAAGATGCAGCTAAAATACCTGCGAACCTTGTTGGAGGGTCAGGTGAGACTAGTACCATTGAAATAGGTCTTAAACGAGGACCAAGCTAACAGAATCGTTATCCTGAAGGAGCAAATTCAACGCATTGCTGGCCTGGCCTGGTCTCCCAACCAACAAAAGTTGGCTATAGCCTCTGCCGATCGGCACATCCTCCTCTACGACGATGCCGGTGAAAGACGGGATAAGTTCAGCACTAAGCCCGCGAATCCCGCCAACGGAAAGAACTCCTATGTCATCCGAGGATTAGCCTTCAGCCCGGACTCCACAAAACTGGCGGTGGGACAGAGCGACAGCATTGTGTACGTGTACAAGCTGGGTGAGTCCTGGAACGACAAGAAGGTCATCTGTAACAAGTTTCCCCAGGCGAGTGCAGTCACGGCTCTTATCTGGCTTTCTTCAGGAGCCATAATCGCAGGTATAGCTACCATTCTAAGTGGTGGACTTAATATCCTTAAGAGAAATCTTTCAATGTGTCCCCAGGACTGGAGGATGGAAAAATCCGTGCTCTTCACAGCAAGAACAACAAGTCGCAAAGCCTTTACGGCGGCGACAGCATCTGCATTTCGCTGGCGGCCAACACCAAGGGGACTGGGTTCCTCAGCGGCCACAACGACGGCACCATCATCCGCTACTTTATGACGGATGAGGCGACGGAGCCACTTGGTAGAGTGGTTCAGCATCCGGTGCCGCCATTCGCTCTTGCCTGGCCGCAAGGAGGATTCTGCGCGGGCGGCTGCGATCAGCGCATAGTCTTCTATGACAACATGGTGGGTTGGCCAATCAAAAGCCACCGAATCCTTGGGTTCATCCTCCTCCATTACAGGGTCGCCAGCTACGCACCTTTGATTACTCCCGAACCGAAGGAGAACGAGAGTTCACAGTGGCCGCCTGCAGCCCCAACGGACAGGCGGTGGCCTTCGGCAGCTTCGACCGTATCCGCATCTTTGCCTGGAGTCCTCGACAGGCCGCCTGGAGCGAGAGTGCCACCAAAGAGGTATCCTGCCTGTACACCATCACCTCGCTCATCTGGCGGAGGGATGGCGCCCGGCTCGCCCTGGGGTCCGTGAGTGGAGCGGTGCTCCTCTTTGAGTCCGTCCTCCGTCGCACTGTCTGGCAGGACAAGTTTGAGCTGATCTTCGTGGCTCCCAGCCAGCTTTTGGTGCGAACCCTGACAGAGCCCTCCCAGCAGCTGACCATTGAGTCGCAGCTGGGACTCGAGATAGACGACGTAAGGATCATGGGCAGGGATAACTACCTCGTGGCCCGCACTGAGGAGTCGCTGATTCTGTGCGACCTGACCCGCAACCTAAGCAGCGAGGTTCCATGGACAGCGTCTGGCCACCACGAGCGTTTCTACTTTGAGAATCCGAACGTGTGCCTGGTCTTCAACGTCGGTGAGTTGAGTTTGGTGGAGTACGGCGATAACTGCATCCTGGGATCCGTGCGGACCGAGTTCGTTAATCCCCACGTGATATCCGTTCGCCTCAACGAGCGAGGAAACGCTAGGGAGAACAAGAAACTGGCCTTCTTGTTGGACGCCAAGACCATATGCGTTGTGGATCTAGTGAGCCAGATGACCTACGGACAGATCAGCCACGAGACCAAGATCGACTGGCTGGAGCTAAGTGAGACGGCCCACAAGCTGCTCTTTCGGGACAAGAAGCTGCGTCTCGTCCTGGTGGACACCTACACGGGCAAGAAGCAGACCCTTCTCAGCAACATATCCTTCGTCCAGTGGGTGCCCCAGAGCGATGTGGTCGTGGCCCAGAGCAACACGAACCTGGCCATTTGGTACAACATTGACCTGCCCGAGCACGTCACCATGCAGTCCATTCGCGGAGAGGCCATCGAGGTGTTGCGGGAGAATGTAAGTAAATCGGAAGATCAATGGTGTCTTATTTTCATCCGAAATCTAATCCCACAGGGACGCACTGTTGTCCGCTCCCAGGATGGGCCGAGTGAGCACAACTACCAGCTGGATGAGGGCCTCGTGGAGTTTGGCACGGCAGTGAATGACAGCGATTTCGGAAGGGCGGTTCACTTCCTGGAATCCTTGGGCGACAAACCCGCTGCCAAGGCCATGTGGCACAACCTAGCCATCATATCTCTGGAAGATGGAAACCTGCGCGTAGCCCAGCGCTGCTATGCCGCCTTGGGCAACGTTTCGAAGGCCTACTACCTGGCCGAGATGATTCAGCTGGCGGATGAGTTCGAGGCTTCCACTGGCTCGCCAGGGCTTCTGTGCCCCGAGGTTCGTGCCAAGATGGCGCTTCTAGGATCGGACCTGCGCACGGCAGAGCGCATATACCTGGAGCAGGGCAACATTGAAGCCGCCCTGAAGATGTACAAGCAGCTGGGCATGTGGGATGAGGCGGTTGCGCTGGCAGAGAGACGCGGTTACGGAAATATAGCGGAGCTGAAGCAGCAACACATGGAATACCTGATGAGCAGCGAGCAGCAGGAGAAGGCTGGACTCGTGCTGGAGGAGCAGGGTGACGTTCAGCAGGCCATGTCGTTGTACCTAAAGGCCAATAAGCCGGCCAGGGCTGCCCGGCTTGCCCTGAAAACCCCACATCTTCTGCAGGATGAGCAACTGATGCTGCAGGTCACGGAGGGACTGGTGCGCTCGGAGCTCTACGAGCTGGCCGGGGACATTGCCCACCGATTGTCCCGTCCGGAAGCAGCTCTGGCGCTCTACCGCAAAGGTGGGGCCTACGCAAGAGCCCTGGAGCTGGGACGGGTAGTGGCCCCTCAAGAGGTTACGTCGCTAGAGGAGGAGTGGGGCGACTGGCTGGTGAGCCGCAAGCAACTGGATGCCTCCATAAACCACTACATCGAGGCAGGTGCCACCCAGAAGGCTTTGGAGGCAGCCGTTGGAGCCAAGCAGTGGCGCAAAGCTGTGCAAATAGCAAAGGTTCTGGACGAGCCGGAGCTCATCCAGCGGTACGCCCTAGATCTGGCCAAACATTTGGCCTTTGCCGGAGACCTGGACGCCGCCGAGGACATGCTGGTGAGAGCCAACCTCCACAAGGAAGCTATTGAACTGCTGAACCGCCATGGAAAGTGGGAGCGGGCCTATGTAATTGGAGAGAAGTACCTGCCGTCGGAGCAGCTCAGGGAGCTTTTCGTGCAACTGGCATCAACCTTGGAGGAGCAGGGAAAGTACAGGGATGCGGAAAAAGTCCTCATAGCCGTCAATGAGCCGGATTTGGCAATAGCCATGTACAAGCGCCGGGAGCTCTACGACTCCATGATTCGTTTGGTGGAGAAGCATCACAAGGATCTTCTCGACAGCACCCACCTCCACCTCGCCCGGCAGCTGGAGTCGAGGGGAAAACTGAAGAACGCCGAACTGCACTTCGTGGCCTCCGGAGACTGGAAATCGGCAGTCCATATGTACTGCTCGTCGGGACGCTGGGAGGATGGCTATCGCGTGGCCAAGCAGAAGGGCACAGAGGGAGCCAGCCAGCAGGTGGCCTACATGTGGGCCAAGTCCATGCCCACAGAGAGTGCTGTCCGATTGCTGAGCAAGCTAGGGCTCCTGGACACCGCTGTGGGCTTTGCCTGCGACTCCGGACAGTTCGAGTTCGCCATGGAACTGTGCAGATTTGCGGGAAAGCCTACGGATGAGGTTCACTTGAAGATCGCCATGTCGCTGGAAGACGAGGGAAAGTTTGAAGCCGCGGAGGAGGAATTCTTGAAGGCCCACAAGCCCAGGGAAGCCATACTGATGTACCAGCATGCTGGGGACTGGCAGGCCGCCCTAAATGTGGCTGAACAGCACCTTTCGGAGGCGGTGGGGGAAGTCCTGATCGGACAAGCATCGGCGGCCCTGGAGACCAGAAACTACAAGGACTACGAGGCTCTGCTTCTGAGAGCCCAACGCCCGGACTTGATTGTGGAACACTACAAGCAGGAGTCGCTGTACGAGGACGCTTTGCGGATCGCCGAAGAGCACTACCCGACAGCGTTGAATGATTTGAGGCGCCTGCAGGCTCAGCTTCAAAGGGGCCAAGCCCAGGCTCAGGCCAACGAGGATGCCGCCTCCATTTCGAGGTCTTACCTCCAGAAGGCGGCAGAGTTCGCGAAGAAGGAGCAGTTCCGCAAGGCAGCCGAGTGCCTCATGCAGATAGATTCGTCCAACGCCGAGAACGCAGTCACCTTAGAAAGAGCCTTGCTTCGAGCCGCGGAGATATGCAACCAGTTCCTAGAGGGTCAGGATGCCCAGGAGCTGGCGCAGACTCTAGGCCCCCGACTTCTGGCCATCAAGCAGATAGGACCGGCTGCCCAGCTCTACCTGGCAGCCGACATGCCCAAGCAGGCGGTGGACGTCTTCATCAAAACCGAACAGTGGAGCAAGGCTCGGCGGCTGGCCAAGGAGATTGATGCAGACCTGCAACTCCTGGCCTACGTGGAGCAGCAGCAAAAGCTCTCCCTGAAGAACGAGGGCAACATCGAACAGCTGGCGGACATTGACGTGGTATCCGCCTTGGATCTCCTGGCGGAGCAAGGCCAGTGGCAACGTTGCCTGGAGAAGGCCAAGCAGCTGAATCCACAGGTCCTCCAAAAGTACGTGGCGGTTTATGCGGCACAACTCATCCGGGAAGGCAACTGCACCACTGCCCTGGGGCTCTACTTGACGTACGGAGCTCCACCCATCGAGGCTCACTACAATATCTACACCAGGATCGCCTTGGATTGCCTGGCACTGAGGGAGGAGCAATCGGAGGGCGGCTCGTTGTGGCGCCAGCTGAGGGAGTTCCTCTTTCGCTTGATACACTCTCTGAAGGAGTCTCCCGAGCAAGCTCAGTCCAGTTTCACTGGCAGCATGGAGCAGTTCCTGTTGGTAGCCCATTACTACGCCACCCGAGCCGCTTGCAGGGAGGTCCAGGCCCTTCAGCCGGTGGCACTTCGTCTTTCATTGGCTCTGCTCCGGCACACGGATCTTCTGCCGGTGGATAAGGGCTTCTACGAAGCTGGGATGGATCTTCGCCAGGCAGGTCGCGAGTCCGAGGCCTTTGTAATGCTTAATCACTACCTGGACGTGTGCGAAGCCATCGAAGAGGGCTCCGGGCAGTTGGTGGATCATTCCGACCTGGCTAGCACCGATTTTCCCAGCTCCGTACCATTGCCGGAGGACATTCACTTGAAGAACGACCCGAATCTGCACGAGGAGGTGCGTGAGTGGGTGCTGGCCGTGAGCATGGATCAGCAGGTGGATCAGCAGCTGCCCACCGACGATCGCGGCTTGTACGAGTCGAGCTTGGGGTCGGGCGATCTGGCCTGTCTGCTGAGCGGGTTCCCAGTCAGAGGCCGCCAGCCGGTAACCTTCCAGGGATCGAGCAACCAAGTCAATCGTGACGTCTGGAGCAAGTTCTCTGTAGCCGTAAAGATGTCCCCCGGCACTGGCATTGCCGACATTATAACCTTCACCGAAAAGTGGCAGGGAACAGCCAACTACGTAATGCACTAAATGAAAAGACCAATTTTTTTTGAATGGCTTGAAATTGTATAATCTATTAAACGGCCAATAAAGGGCAATTGAATTAAAGACAGGGAGGACAGGATGACAGAGGGGAATATGAAGAAAACTGAATATATATAATTGTATATATGTAACTTTAGGTAGCTCCTCTTGAGCAAGATGATCAGGCAACGGATCAGTGCAGTGCGTTGAAGAGATCGCCAGCAGAGGGCAGGGGTGCCAGTCCGCCAGTCACATCCGGCAGCTGAGTCAAGTCGGGCAGGTTGGAAAGGTGGTCGTGGATCTCCTTCTGCAGGCCCAGCATCTTGGCTAGCTTCTTCTTGTGTTCCTGCAATGATACAGGTTGTGAATCGATTATTAACGATCATAAGGGTATTAGGAAAGTCCCATTAGTGGTAGTCATAATCGGGAAACAGTAATGGAAAGCGTGTTTTAGGAAGTGTTTTTCTTATTTTAATCAGATCTTTTTTGAACAACCACTTTGGAACCTTATCTAGTAACCCCCCTAGCAAGTAACATGCCAACAAGGGCGGAAAACGTACATCGAGGCGTTGTTCGGCCTGGGACAGCAACTCCTTCTGTTCCGCTTGAAAATCGCGCAGCATGGTAGCGAGCTTGGTGCGTTCCTCCATTTCTGCAGCCAGCCGGGCGTTGTAGTCGTTTAGCAGATCCACAGCCTCGTTGACCTGAAAATGGCAGAGTTTTAAATCCAAAAGTTATGATAGGTAATCCTAGTTCCCATTTCTCTTGAAAGAGAATAAGTTCCCACCTGCCTCGCCAGTGCTTTGGCCTTGTCCTTATCCTCCAGCTTGCTGATGCAGCTGATTTCAGATATTTCCTGGGGAAGCTTAGCAATCCGCTCCCGCACCACAGCATCACTAGAGGCCGAGTTCTCGATGCTGGTCAGCGCCTTGATCAGCTCCTCCGGTTCAGGGGGTTCGCCCAACGGTAGGTAGGGTGGCGTATGTCCGTTTTCTGGTTGGGCGGCGCCGGCAGGCTCCTCGGCAGATGGCCCAGCGTTAGCACTGCTGTTGCTGCTTTGGTGGTGGTGTTGACGGGAACGCTTGGACTTGGAGTGCCGCTCCTCATGTTTACGCTTCTCCCGGCGCTCGGACTTCTCCGATCTGTGCTCCCGCTCTTTCTCGGATTTTTCCGGATCCCCGCCAGACTTGCTGCCATTGGTGCTGCTGCCGCCCGCCCCACCATTGCTGGCTTCACGGTGCAACCGCGCACGCCAGTCACCGATAGCCTTCGGATCGTAAACTCCGCGCTCCAGCCAAATATTTAAGATGCGTCCGAGGCTGCCTAAAAGTTTATCCGAGTTGCACTTCTCGCCGATGTGGGAGAAAACCTTAGCCAGAACATGACTGAACTCCTTTCCGTACTCCGGGCCCTTCTTTTTGCTGTTCTGAATCACATCGTTGGCCAAGTACATGAAAGTCAGCTTCTTGGGCTCCGGCACTGTGGGTTATGGGAATCAAGCCATTAGGATACAGCGGCGAGTATCCTCTGTGTACTTACCATTCTCCAGCTCCCGCTGCCAGGTCTTCACTATCACCGCACTGTGTTTGCGGTGGTGAATCAGCCACAAGGATAAAGTTTGGATCGACTGTTGGCTGCTGTTTAATTCCGCGAGTTTTTTCATTAGCGCGGATTCCGTAAACGCCGACATGGCTTCTCCGGCTTGACTGGCTCTTGCCTCCGTAAGATTGATTCGTAAGGGGCTTTACTCGGTTGACGCGGAATACGAAAAAACCAAAATATATATTTTACCTTTTCACCTGCTGGTTGCTTTTAGGGTTGTTGATAATATATGGAGCTATCGATTTTTTTCTTATATATCGATATCGCATATTTTTATGCAGTGCGGTCTCTGTAATAGTGATACAGTATTTCAAAATATACCAGATTAAACAGTGTTGCCTAGCGATCGCCTTTAGTCTTTCTACCAGACAACAGAGGGCGCACGGGGAATGGCGCGTAAAATTCAAATAATGTATCCAGGTTGATGGAAGAGAATACCATATAGTTGATCAGCTAAAAGTCAGCGTGGGACGTAATCCTCTCTAGTGCACACCATTACTCCAAACAATTTGAAGTACGCACAGCTGTGTCATCAATTAGGCGCCACCGCCGTCAAAACTGTTCTCACTGATAAGCCATTCAACAGGTCGTCAAAGGTGTGGGACAGGTGGGTGCCTCAGTTGGTCGCGGCAGTTCGTTTGGATCGGTGTGCTCTGATCGGTCGTGTGCGCGGAGCTCTCCATAAATCACCCGGCAGGCAGTAGCGGGGTACGGCGACGAAATCGAATCGGGGCGAGTGCTTATCGCGCCAGAAAAAAAAAAGAGTAATTTGTGATACCTGTCCGTTGAATATTGGCTTGTTGGAGCGCTACGCGCTTAAGTGGTATTAATTTTTTATTAATTATTATCGTATTTATTGCCAACCGAAAGTGGAGTGCGAAAAACGACTCAAGTGCTCTCGGCCATACGTGCTAAGCCAATAAATAAATTACACAGCCATATAGCCGTGATCCTTCCCACCAATTGCAGCTGATAATGCACACGGACTTTATTGGCTGGCCGTGTGAGTGGGGGTGGTGATAGTGTGATTTACAAACCATTAGCGCACTATCAACAACACATTAGACAAATTGCTAAATGAGCTGCTGTTTTAGCAGCCAGCCATCAGCCATTAGCCATCAGGCCTCAGCCGTTAGCCCCTTACCCTTACCCAGTCATTTGTCAGCAAATACAAATACGAATAAAAAACATATATATGTATATATATACGAACCACTGGAGCCCCTAAAATCTGGAGGGCTGCCCTCTCGCTCACTCACATTGGAACTCTCCATTTCCCGCCTACGATAAGCTAAAGCCAATTTACCAATTCAATGGTTATTGGGGGGTGTGATATTTCCGAAGCTGATACCCCATTGTGGCTAATTGTTCGATCTGATAATACCCGCGATTTATTGCCAGCCAGCGGCTCAGACTGCATCTGGTTGGGCCAAGCCATATAGCTGCCACCGAAATGACCCCCCGGGAAGGCTACTGAGTTCCCCCAACAAGCCCCCCCAACGAGTGACAACATGGACTCCTACTTCGACTCGGCCATCGAGTACAATCGCAGCAACCCGCTCAGCCTCAACCGGCCCCAAGAGCAGTCGCAGACCATCCAGAATGAGAAGAACTGGGAGTGGTCCTACCTGGTGGTGAGTGTCAGGAGCTACAGGATAGACATATACACTTTCCTTCACTTCCTTCCTTCATTCCTTCGCAGCGAAAATGTCGCAACCTGGAGCTGGAGGAGTCGTACGACCTGTACATGCGGCGTCTGCGAGTCGGCTACCTTTCCCTCTTCATTTTCATTCATGTGGCTGTGACGGTCATCCACACGCTGCTGCTTCTGACCACGCCGGAGATCACGTACGTCTACGTGGACATGGTGGCCTACCTGTGCTCCGGATTTATTATTTGGTTCGTGCTCTCCGTGAACTTTCGCAGCGAGCTGGTCAGCAAGCACGGCTGGGTGGTCTACGCCTCCTCCTGGCTGGCGGTCTGCGTGATGGTTCTGATGGACATCGGCCTGAACGTCTACCACGCCACGAGCCACAACGACATCCTGAATCCGATCTACGATGCCTACACCCTCTATGCCATCTATATGTTCATGCCGGTGCCGTATCTGCTGCAGCCGTTCGTCCTGGGCTCCGCGGTGACCCTGTGCTACATCATAAACTATAGCTTCGTGATCACCGGGAAGGAGGACAACCAGATGCACAGCATTCTCAACGAGGCCATCTACCTGAGCTGCGTTAACCTGCTGGGGATCTTCTTCCGCCTGATGCGGGACATTGCGCTGCGCACCACCTTTCTCGACCGGAGGCAGTATGTGGAGGAGAACCTGCTGCTGCGGTATGCCCGCGACCAGGAACGCAGCCTGCTCCTCAGCATCCTGCCGGCCCAGATCGCCGACAGGCTGCAGGAGGATGTCAAGAATCGCATCGAGCGCTCCAAGCAGCAGCACCAGCAGCGCTCGCACGTGGATCTGCGTCACAGTTCCGACAGCCAGACCCTGAGGAGGTGGCGTCAGCCTAACCACGGGTAAGACCAAACCGTATCTCGAGTACTCTCTAATCACCCACATCCATTTGGCAGACCCCTCTTCATAGAGCCTCACGAGGACGTGACGGTCCTGTATGCTGACGTCGTCAACTATACCCACCTGACGACCACCTTGGACGTCAAGAAACTGGTCGAGGCCCTCCACGATCTCTTCGTGCGCTTCGACATCGCCAGCGAAGAGTACGACGTGCTAAGGATCAAGTTCCTGGGCGACTGCTACTACTGCGTGGCCGGGCTGGCGAATCCCAACGCCGATCATGCCAAGTGTTGCGTGGACCTGGGTCTCCGGATGATCAAGGACATTCGCGATGTCAGGTGGGTCTCTCAATCCTCTAGTCATTTCTGATAAGGATTAGGACGACTAATCTCCTAATCTCAATCGGGAAAATTCATAAAAAGCATGAATGAAAGTCGAAGTTTGTATTGAAAGTGTGTTTATTTGAGGATGATGTCAGACCTGTTAGCTTAGTTTGGCGAACACTTCACAAACAGAGATAAGCCTGCACATAAATACGGTACGACTTTTAATGGACGAACAACGAACGCCAACAAAAGCTGCACTTAAATGATAAAATTAGAATACATTTGAAACCTGTAGCCAGCACATCTGTTGACCATTTTTCGCCCATCAGGGAAAAGCGTCACCTGAACATCGACATGCGGATCGGCGTGCACTCCGGCGACGTTCTCTCCGGCGTCATAGGGGCGGCCAAGTGGCAGTTCGACATTTGGTCCAAGGACGTAGACATTGCCAACCGACTGGAGGCCACCGGCGCCACTGGACGGGTGCACGTTAGCCAGAAGACCCTGGCCCTGCTCGACGGGGAGTACTTCTTCGAGGACGGCACCGAAAAGGCCCGCGAGGATCCGGTGCTGCAGAAGCACGGCATTCGCACTTTCCTGATCAAGTCGCTGCGCGTGAGTATTACTGGCGGAGATTGGGGCATCATTCACAGAACAGCTCTATTATATGGAACCGAAAGTTGTAGGCCCCCATGCACGACCCGCGGAGGCGTCAGCGCGAGCGACAGGCCAAGAAGCTGAGCGAGGCCAGCAAGGCAAACTTCATGCACAACTCCACGCTCCACCAGTACAACCAGGTGCGGAACCAGGCCAAGCTGGAGATGTGTCGGGAGCTGGACAAGATGCCCATCGGCAGGATTCAGTGAGTAACTGGGGAGTCTAACCAGGCCTATGGCCGACCATTGGAAAGACAATAAATAGGAAGATACTCAAGTTGGCATTCAAGTATAATACTTGAAGAGGCCTGATAGTGATTTTGAAAAAGATAAAGTAATGTCTTGTACTACTTTGAGGTGTACTACAATCGACATTAGAGACAGTCTTGCTAAGCTTTCAAAACTGCATCCACAGACTTACCAAGGTGTTCCGGCGGAGCACTCGCCTCACTCAGGACGAGATCGAAGAGGAGACCTTTCGACGCAACATCAGCTCCTGCTGCCTGTTCTTCCGCATCCGCAACTGGGAGTACCAGTACATGCAGGAGCCGGACGTAATGCTAAAGTACAGCATAGCCCTGGCCTGGGCCATCTACATGGGCCTGCTGACCATCCAGCTGCTGAGCAAAGAGTGAGTACTTCCACCGTCCCACGAGAATTAGTAATCAGCCACCTCCCTTTCAGTGCCCGCTACCACTACTGGTTCATCGACGGAACCACCATTATCCTGCTCACTTCACTGCTGATCGTGTCCTGGTACAAGAAGCTCTGGATCATGTACATGTCGGATGCAGAGGTGTCGTCGCCCAACAGCAGGCTCAGTGGCTTCTTCTTCCGGATGTCGGACGAAATGCAGCGCAATGTCTACATCAGGATAGTGATCTACTTTCTGACCATATTCTCCTACTGTGCGGTGGCCATAATGCAGGTGGTGGGCTGCAGCAGCAGTGACGACTACTTCGACGATGACCCGAGCGTGGATGAGCGGATGCAGTGCTTCCATCCTTGGGTGAGAAACCCCTCTAACGAACTGTCTTTCCTTGGTTTCACTTGGAGCTCTCCCTGCAGATCCTCACCAACTGCATGACTTTGGTCATCGGCATGTCCTTCCTCTTCACTCGCATACCTTTCATCATCAAGGCCTGCTTTTCCACCATAATCACAATCGCCTACGCGATTCTCGTGGTGTTCGAGTTCCACTACATCTACTCCAGCAGCCCGTCCACCAACGTCAACTTCAACGCCAAGTACTCCCACATTTTGCTGATGATCATCACGATGGGAATCTTTCATGTGATGGAACGCCAGACGGAGTTCATAGCCAAAGTGGATTACAAGTAATGTCTTCATGGAATTTTAGTCTCCTCCACTTCTAATCTCTTCCTGATCCTTTAGCTGGAAGCGGCAACTCATCAAGAAGCAGGAGGATGCCCTGATCACCAACGACACCATCAAAGTGCTTTTGACCAATATATTGCCCTCTCATGTTGGTATGTACCTCGTTTACGCGCAAGTGAATCCTTTTTGATCTTCTCCTCACCCCTCAGCCGACTTCTACCTGTCCAACCAACTCCAGAACGAGCTGTACTATGAGGAGTACGACAATGTGGCGGTGATGTTTGCCTCGATAAAGAACTTCGACACGGATAAGATTGGACTGAGTGTGCTGAACGAGATCATCTGTGACTTTGACGATGTGGTGAGTAACCTTTTGAAACCTTCGGGGACTGCCGGACCCGGTATAAGCAATTCTAATCCTATAATTTTTTAACCAGCTTAACAAGTACGGCCAGGCCCTGCGAGTGGAGAAGATCAAGGTGGCCAACTGGACGTACATGGCAGCCTGCGGCCTCGACGTCTCCCGCTCCGAGCAGGTCAACGCTCCCCAGATGAAGTTCCGGAATGTATCGCTGATGCCCAACGGGAGAAGGAGTCGGTACGACGGTGCCCGAAGCTCCAACACGGACGGAGTGCAGCGAGTTCCGTACGGGAACGGAAGCAACATTGCCCTTGATCTCGACCTGGAAAGGGGTCAGTACGAGGGAAATGTGGTCGCTAGCGCCCCGCGACCCAGTGCCTTCCAGAACAGCAGCAGCAGCAGCAACGAAGTCGTGAGGGTGATGGCCGAATTCGCCCTGGATCTGATGCGGACAATGCGCCGCTTCAGCGCGGAGAACATGCAGACGGAGTACGAGGGAAGCACCGACTACGGGATGCTGCGCATTGGCATTTCGCACGGCAGAGCCATGGCAGGGGTAGTGGGCATCTCGAAGCCGCACTACGACATCTGGGGCAATCCAGTGAACATGGCCTCGCGCATGGACTCGACGGGACTGCCCGGCCAGATCCAGGTCACTGAGAACACGGCCATGAAGCTGCGGGAGTTCAACATCCAATGCAACTACCGCGGCATGACCTTTGTGAAGGGTCGCGGTAACATCCCCACCTATATTGTTGGCATCGACAAGGAATACGAGTTCCTGCCGCACCGTGTGTCCAAAGGATCCAAAGAGGAGTAGCTGAATTCCAGGATATTAGAAATAAGATTCATGTATATACATTTTTTTAAGATAAACCCCAGATATAAAATCCTAATCCTTAGTTTATAAATGTTAAGCCTTGGTTTGTACCTCGTCTAGCTTGTATGGAAGCTCGACTCCCTCGTTCCTAGCGCATCTAATCAAACATTTAGATTAGTACTGAAACTATTATTCACACTCCAAAGATGGAGAACACAATTTTTAACGAGGATGTGGTAAACCTGCGTTCCTTGACGAACCTCAAGGGGTTCGAATGGCGGCATCTGAAGGTGAGTCCAACATCTAAAGGTGAGACCTATGTTCTCGATTGGATTGAATCCCTCCTTTCCAGCAAAAGTGTCACGAGCTGCATCTGGAGAGCGTCATGGACTCCTTGATAAACCTGAATCTTGTTGCCAATTTGGCTCGCTTTACACTATACATAGAAGCTCTCGTAATATCGCACGTAATAATGCTGTTATTAATGGTAGATGTGGGTTTGACTCCAATGCCTTTGGTATGACCCCTTATTGTCAGAGTTCTTCTTCAGAGAATTGAAGTCTACACGTTGGTCCCATATGCTTTGGTGGGCATTTTGACGCCTGTCATTGGATGGTACAGCTTCCAGAAAGACCTCAAACACCCCCATGTTATCCACACAATAGTGAGCGTTGCAATATCCCTTCTAATCATCATGGCCGACTTGTTCGAGTCCACCGTGTTACGTGGGGCGTATGGAATAGTTCCCAGCTACGATCACATACTCATCTTGTCGATTTATATATTCCTTCCCATCAGCTCATTAGAAGGCTTCAAGGTATATCTCCTGGGAGTGTCCGTCTCCCTAATTTACTTCTCCCACACGGTCTGGGTAGCGTATAGGTGCAAAAGCTTTATTAAAACCAAGATCGTTACCTACGGTCTCTACCTCTTCCTCCTTAACGCTGTCATGGTGTTCTGCAAACTCCAGCGACTATATGAGACAAGGCGTTGGATCGTCACCCGGTACCAGCTGGTTCTCCAGGGCATTACCTTTAAGGTGGGTAGGATAATCACAAGATGTTACTTAATTTAACTCCTCAGGTTGTGTTCAACGAAGAGAGGGCCCTGCTCGAGTCGATCCTGCCGCAGAGGATGTCCAACTTCCTGCGAGAGGACATGTCCAATAGACTTGCGTACGAGTCGAAGAATGTCTTTCGAGGAACTTACAGGAACCGGTCTGTGATCTCTGGCTTAAATATTTTAGTTTTCCTTTCAACTGTTTCGTTTCTTTATAGGAAACTATATATTGAACCGTACCAGGAAGTGACTATCTTGGTGGCCGACATGGTGAACTACACCTATCTTACCAGCCAGATGCGGGCGCACGAGCTGGTGGAAATCCTGCACGAGCTGTTTGTCAACTTTGACTTGGCGGCCAAGAACAACAAAGTTCTGCGAATCAAATTCCTCGGCGATGCCTACAACTGCGTGGCAGGGATCCCCACCTATTTTCCCACCCACGCCCACAGCTGCATTGACCAGGCGCTGGAGATGATCAGCATAACCCAGCAGCTGAGCCACCGGAAAAATTTAAACATCAATATGCGCATTGGGGTGCACACAGGAGGAGTGCTGGCGGGCATCATCGGGCACTCCAAGTGGCAGTTCGACATCTGGTCTAAGGACGTTGATATCACCAATCGGCTAGAGGCGTCTGGAAAGCCGGGCTTGGTGCATATTTCAGAAAGAACTATGGGCATGCTGGGGGACCAGTACGTGATCGAAAACGGCACAGATGCAGCCAAGCTGGATCCGATATTGCAGAGTTTCCGCACCTACCTAGTCAGTAGTCGATCTTCCGATGCAGTGGAACTCTCTGACTTGGAGGAACACAGCTCCTCCGACAGCTCCAGGGAAAGTTATGCCTCATTCGTCACTGGCGACGTTTATGATGAGATTCGGACCCGGGCGCACCGTGAGATGATCGAAGAGATGAGCCACATACCGGTGGGTCGACGGATTGCATGTCTACACCCGCCAAAGCTAAGAAAGAAAACCTTGTACGAGGAGCACATGTTCAAGTCCCAGATCGAGCCAGTTTTCCACACTTTCCGCGATCTTAAGATGGAGTGGAGATTCGTCAAGCAACCAGACCTCATGATGAAGTACAGCATGTTTGTTGTGGCCATAGCTACCATAGTAATCTTAAAAATGGTTCTGATTGACCCGTAAGTCCCTTTGAGGAACTAAATACTAGAAACATACACTTGATTAATCCCCGATCCGCACTTAAGGAGCGAATCAACCGACGAGGTCGTCCCGTTTAACGCCACACCGTTCGGGTATGTCCTACCACTGTTGCTGCTCTGCCTGCTGGCGCTCTTCAAGAAGCTTTGGTTGCAGAGGCGGCCGCTGACGCCCATGACCCAGCCCAAGCTCGTCCTCTTCCGCTGGCTCCTGAAAGGATCTGAGCTCATCGAGGGGTCGCTGCCCTTCCGGGTCAGTGTGGCGGTCGTGTCCCTCCTGATGCTGTACTTTATGTCATCCCAGCGAGTGGTGCGTAGACAAACCCATCCTCCCATCCTAGCTTCTACGTGGATGCCCTTTTCAGTTTCTCTGCGACATAGCGCAGCTGGAAATCGATGTTATAGACGCGGACCTGCACAACGTGCTGCCAGACCTAAAATGCTTTCTTCCGTGGGTAGGATCGGTGAGACTAGGCTGCCTAGATTACTCCTACTAAGAACCTTTTCTCGTAGGCCGTAACTTACGCTGTGGCTCTCATACTCAGTTTGTTGCTCGTTTTTTCCGGCGTTCCGTTGGTTATTAAGGTGGCACTGGGCATCTTTATCCTTGGCAGTCATTTAGGCACCGTTCATGCCTACTACGGATTTGCCTTTGAAAGATCGCGGACAACGAACGCTGGTCTGAAAGCGGACTGGGCTCACACCTGGTACCTGATTACATTTTTTTCCATCGTGTTGATAAGAGAGCGGCACTTCACCTACATAGTTAAAGCCATGTTCTAGTACGTGGTCCACCAAAGATACTCCCAAAAAAATAACCATCTACTAAAGCACATCTTTTACAGCACTCGCCATTTGTACTTAATAAAACACGAGCAAACCCAGGCCTCCACCCGCACCATCAAAGTCATCATGGCCAACATCTTGCCCTCCCATGTGGCAGAGGTTTTCAAGCAACGGCGACGCCAGGATCAGCTTTACTACGAGAACATTTCCAAGGTGGCTGTGATGTTCGCCGTACTCGATCATACGTCGCTGGAGACCGTGGGACTTCGAGTCCTGCATGAGATCATTGGCTTCTTCGACGATCTTTTGGCCAAATACCAGGGAAACCACAAAGTGGAGAAGATCAAGGTGATTGGTTGGACTTATATGGCGTGCTGTGGTCTCGACGTGGAGGACTACACAGATTTTTCTGTGAGCATTCAAGAGGGCTTAATCGAAGAAAATGAGGATGTGGAAAGGCCAGAAGGTATTCCATTTATAATGAATCAAATCAGTTTCTATCATAGTCCCGGTTCCAGAGCCTAGTGAGAGAAACGTTCGCTTTGCTTCAATATTGGAGGAACAGGACCCAGCCTGGAGTAGTCAGATTAATGCCGAAAACGTAGTCCTGACTATGACAGAATTCGCCTTCGACCTGTTTCGAATCATAGAAGAGATTGGGGCGGTAGAACAAGGCTCATCTTATTCCCCGTTGCGACTCAAAATTGGTAAGCTATTTTTGTAACTTATTTGATTGTAATCCACCCCTCCTTCCGTAGGGATCGCCCATGGCCCTGTTATGGCCGGTGTGGTGGGACTCTCGAAGCCGCATTATGACATCTGGGGTCATGCTGTGAACATGGCCTCCCGAATGGCAAGCACGGGAGTACAGGGCAGGATTCAAGTGCCTCGTAAGACCGCCAAAGTCTTGCGGGCGTTCAACATTCATTGCGAGTATAGGGGTCCGACCCCAGTAAAGGGCGTGGGTGATGTTCCCACCTACCTTGTGGCTCTGGAGCAAGACAAGAGCGAAACGCAATCTGACACTCCGCGATTCTCTAATGAACCATTTCAGAACGTAGAATTCTTCACTCAATCTTCTACCGACAAAACGCCAGACATTCATGAGTAGATTGCATAAAAAATTATTAAAAGGATATTATATTTTGTTTTTAGACCCAAACAGCGCTTTAATTTCCTTCTCAAACGAATTTTTAGAAAGTTATTAGCAAAACCTGATATAGAACTTTTTCAGAATAAAAGAGCTTAGATATTTTCAATGGGCATATAGATTCAAATTTATGTCCGTTAAATATACCAGGTTTAATACACTAAATATACTAAACAATATTTCGATACATTGCCTATCGATACATCTATTGCAAGACAGACGTTTATATTCAAGCTTTCGTAAAACTCATCTCTAAAAAAGCCCGCCATTTTCAAATTATGTACAAGTTACTAACAAGTTAGATAGCTTTTTTGAAAATAAGAAGTTGCCCTTTTCAGCAGTCTTTAGACCTTTTATCAATTGAAGAACGTCTTCCTGTTAGACTGTTAAAGTCTTCCAATATGTTAAACAAAAAAATACATCCTCATAGGACCTCTTAACTTAATGGACTAGTATCTAGCGATTATATTGTTAAATTTTAGTTTAATCATTTTACATTTACAAAGTTTCCGAGCTATAAACGTACGAGTTAAATACAGTAGTTTAAGTTTGTTTATGGCGCATTGTTGTTAACTGAACTATGGGCATTCATGTGGCTATGGGGCTCCAATATTTCAGGCTCCTGTGCTATGCCTCGCTAGGCTTCTCATTCAGCCAGGGCCGGAAGATTGGAAGCGTGGAGGGATAGTGGGTGTGGGTGTCCGGCTTGAGCACCGACTCCGGCCATGTATTCGGATTCGCAGAGTCACCGGAATTGCGGAACGGATATGTGGCAAGTACGATGGGCAGTTGCAGCTTAATCTCCTTTTCCAGGGACTTGGGTTCAATGACGAAGAAGACATCGTAGGAAGTCTTAATCAAGTGACAGCCTTGCAGGTTCGTTGGCGGCAGCGGTGGAACATACAGCTCGTTGTGCCACTCGTCCTTGCCACCGGGTCGGATCTTTCCGCGCACTAGAACGGCCAACTCCCGCTTCTCGGTCTGCACAACCTTGCCCCGAGCCAGGTACTCGATGGTCTGAAGGAAAAGGTGAATTCGTTGTAAGAGGCGCGTACAACCCATGATGAAGTACATACCTCTGTGAGAGATGCCTTTGTCCGTTTGACGGTCACGTTGCTGTGATTGGAAATGAATGCCGTGACCAGAATGTTCTCGCCCGGCACATACCCTCCGCGGTCCAGAGAAACCCTGCACTTGATCTGCCCTCCGCCTACGCAAACGACGCCCAGCTTGTGGTCAACCTCGCAGGTGAATGGTTGCTGCAAGGATGTCATATTAGTGATATAATGAAAAGAAGATTACCCACATCTACTTACCGCCAGAATGGGCTTCTCCAGGTTCAGGTCAATGGGGTTCATTACGATAAAGACCTGATGGTTTTTGTGGATAACGCCGTTGTTTTCCCGCAGTGCTGCCTTGCAATAGAACTGGATCCATCCATAGCGCCCTAGGAAGGTGGAAGGCAGGCCATGCGGCAGTCCGAGCTTGAAGGGAAAACTGTGAATGCCTGGGGAGAGGATGGCCGGCCCACCTTGATCCACGTCCCCGAGCAGTCTCATACGAAAATCAATGTAGTTCTCTTTGTCGTAGGTTCGTTCCTGCCGCCGGCCATTGCGGACGACGCCCTCGCCCACCACATGAAAGTGAAGACCTAATGCCGGCGTTTCGTCCTGGAGTTCGATGAGTACCCGGCCGGACAGGAACTGTCCCGGGAAGTAAAGCAATGATGTGTTGTCGAAGATGATCAGGAATTTAAGGAGTTTGCGTGGCATCTTTGCAGGGGATGATGGACACTTTCATTGGAGACTGCCTGAAATGGAGAGGAAACAAAGGGACATTACTTCTCCTGTCAGGCAGTTGAAAACCTTTAAAGGATCCCTAGTCCCTACAATTTCACTGACTACTAAAATACTCCAGATGGCCAAAAAATCACTCAAGAACCCACTTTTCGAGCTTCGTGCATGCGTTACGTTAGGATCGGCTAATGACAGCTTATCCGTCACAGTTGGATTGTTCTCCCCCTGCACCCCCGTATGTAAATATGTACGAATGGATGACTCTTCGCGTATTTATGTGGGTAGTATTTAGGCGGCAAAGGAAGCAAAAACCAGTTTGGTGTGGCCCCAGTTGCTGCTGCTGCAACACGACAGTCCAAACTTCCGCAGGGCAAGGTCAGCAGCCGGATTGGGAGCCTCTCGTGGCTCAGCCTCGGGACGGGTCACGCCCTCATCGCTGGCCTCGGCCATAGCCAAGTGTGTACATCGTTGCCAATATCGTAGGCTGCAACTACCATAATCGGAGAGCCACTTCGGTGCAATATTTGACAAACTGGGAAAATGGAAATTGGATATATAGGAATTGACGTAATTCCGAAGAGGCCAAGGAACCTGCATTCCTCTGATTTTCAGACAAAAAAGTGTAAATCTCTCTATATGGCCTCTTAACGTTTTTCGGGTTTCAACTACATTCCGATTCCGTTTCCATTGTGGGCGCCCACAAAAGCAATGTACGTATATAATCGCTTATTTTTCTGTTAGTAATACTCGCGCACATACAAATCAAGTTTGTGGACCGACTGGAGCACCGACACAGTCCGTCCCGATCCGATCCGACTCGCTGAAGCACTGGGAGCACGCTAACTTGGCTCGATCGCGACCTCACTCGCTGACGTTGGTTCGGCGACTGATCACCATGGCTCACAATGGTAGCCTTGCATCGTCTCGGGCTGAAAATAACTTGTTTGGAGCTGGTTTTTGTGAGCGATCTGTCGAGAGAGATTCAGCTGGAGCCGGCGATGGATGTCGTAATATGCCAATGAGTTTCCCCTCTCTCTTGTTTTTGTTATTGGCGCATACACACACCTTGTGTTTGGCTGTGTTTGTTTACCTTTTTTGGGAAAGGACAGGATACGCTCAATGACTTTCTTTTGCAGGTGTTTTATTTGAATAAAACAATGGAAACCCCACAAGGGAAGCCCTTAGAATGTAGCAAAAGACCTCTGGAATGGTTCCACACCCTGGGCACTCCGACCAAATGATACCATTCGACTTCAAGCCACTTGGAGCCCACTACTTATTATGCGACGTAGTGGAAATCGGTCGCACCTACAAGTGCCCGACTGGAGGAGGTCTATAAACTGGTGCTGGTATACACAGTATATCCCCGGACCCCCAAACCTGTGCAGACACATAAATGCACTAAGTGGCACACATTTATGCATAATGCATGCAATTCATACCGGTTTAGCGTTTAGTTTTCCAAATCGAGGTATCCAAATCGAAGAACCTCAACTGTAACTCATGAAAATGAAAGGCCAAAAGCCAAGTAACCTGCCAAGGAATAAACAACATAAACATAACTGGCTTTGCAGACACCAATATCTTGTCCAGATACTTGGATAACAGACTTAGAGTCTTGATGGTTCAGTTGCCGAAATTGGCAAATCCAGAGCTGTAGTCTTAGAGCAGCTTTCCAGTAATTCATTAAGACTAACCAATCACCTCTAACCACCGCGCTGATTAGACATTTATTTAGAAAAGCTAATACCACCAAGTTTCTCCTCAGATTCTTTTCCATCCACATTAAGCACACTTTGTGGTAATGAGCCGAGTTTTCCTTTTCAATGTTTTCTCTTCTTAATTGCTGGGAACTGTTGATCTCTAATGACCCTACCATCCACCATTCGTCGACCATTCGTCTGGCATTAGTGTTAGCCCAAAATAGGATTACCCTCAGCTGGTATGGTATGCTCGTTTAGACCGAAATGATAATCGAGTGGCTAGGCTCGTAGTTTTGGCCAGCAGACAATTAAGTCTGTGCTGGCGTTCCAGTCAGTACCACTTTGTAGCTGCTCCATGCACCACCTCATATCCGAGGCTCGGATCTTGGCTCCGTTTAGCGCTTTGTTAAGAAACGTCTCTCCATTCGGCTTCGGGTAATTACAGTAAACTCCACTGTGCGTCGTCTTTCATAACATCAGCGAAAGCCGCACCACTGTGGCTGGCGGGCAAGAATATCTCGGCGTAGCATCAGCCGCAAGGGGAGTGGCTCGGCTCAGAAAACGGATTTGTTTTGGTGGTTTGGGCCAAGTTATAAAACTTACCCACGATACCCGCTACATGTACATTCGAAGAGAAAAAACAAAAGGTGTTCGTTCCTTAACTCTTGCCTTGCCACACAAAGCTTCTGTGTTTGTCGGTGTGTGTTTGTTTTTGCCACTTGGCTCTTTCGTCAGCCGAGCGCCACTTGGACACGTCTCTCCGAGACGCTTCGGTGTTTCTTTTTAAGTCCGCCCCGACCGCGAAGTGGCTCAGTTGTAGCGATGACGCCGAGTGCGCTGGTAAGCCCGATCCCCGCCAGCACGTACTCTCTTTTCGGGGGAGCAGGTGTAGTGCGAGAAAGTTGAAACTGTAACAAGCCGAGTGTGGTGTAGTGTAGTGGTGGTGCAGTCAATGAGTCACCTGCCTTACGAGGTGCAGATGTGCAGCAGGAACTACTCCAGTTGGTCCGCGATCGTATCTGACCGCAGGAACACAGGAGTGTCGGTGGATTTGCATAATTGGCTAATTACCGATCTTGACACGTTGTTTAAAGTGGAGAACGTTTAGTGGCAAGAACTGTTAACGTCTGGTTTCATTCCGTTCACCGAGCAGCCACTAAGCGGCCGCCGAGTTCACTGTCCCGAGTAAACAATAGTTGGGCAAGAGTGGGCTAAGCGGAGCTGCATAAATTACGGCAATACCAAAGGCCTTTATGGCTTCGAGCCAAACCGTTAAGTGGCTGCCGCGACTCTTACAGCATCGGAGCTTTCTAACCCCCCAGCTCAGCTATATAACCCTTTTTGGAACTATCTCTTGTAGGATGGCAGCCGAACCGATGACCACTGACCACACAACAGGAGTAGGCTTGAAGCCCCAAAGTCCACAACCCACCGGGCTGTGCCGGGGGGACGACGGAGACGGGGACTCGCTTTCCTCCCTCTCGGACCACCTGACCATCTGGGTCGACGGCGAAGAGCACTGGATATCCGGCGTGGACGACAATACGACCTGCGCAGATCTGGTGTGGGCTCTGCTCAACTACCAGAATAATCCGCAGAGTCTGAGGAAGCCGACATGGAACCAGGAGTACGCCATTGTGCAGAAGCTGCAACACTACGAGGAGTACCTGGACGGGGGTGCCCGACTAGTTGATGTTATCTCGAAGCGACACGCTTCACTTCATGGCGAGGAAGTAAGTCAAATATTGAGGGTGATCCCCTTTCCATTAATTCTCTCTCCCTACCTCTGCCAGAGCCAGCTCCAGCTACGCCACCTGGGACCTTCATCGACGGTCAAGCACCCTGCGATCACCGACAAGGATAGTGGAATGGGCAGTCCTGTGGAGAGTTCGCGCAGCGTTCGCTTCCGGCGTAGGGGCAGGCACAAGGGGCTCCCCCTGGCCCGAGTAGGCCAGCTTTTGGAAGGGGAGCAGTGGGGGGAGTATGCGACTAGGGGCACCCCAAAGCAACCAAAGAGAAGCCGGAAACTACAAGTACGAAACGGCCAGGTGGCGCCAAACGAGACCCTGCTGACCACAATATTGGCTCAGGATGAGACGATCCTCCAGCAGATGTCCATGTTGCAGTAAGTGAAGTGGTATTGGTGCTATCACGTTCGACTTAAAACGTTTTACTCTTCACAGCGAAAAGGATCGACAGATCCGGAAAATAGAGGAGGAGAAGCATCTAAAGCGGGAAAGGGAGATGGGCAAGAACTACCTCCTGGAAACGTACCTGAAGGACCTGGAAGAGCAGGAGGAGAACGCCCCTCAAGTACAAGATCTCGATGAGGGCGTGATAAGGTTGCACCAAGATCGAAACATTGAAATAGGTATGTCCATGGCGATATAGGTATTCCGTTTCTTAATTAAATGGAATAATTAATTAATTAATTAATTAATTAATAATAATTATTATTTCAGCTGAAGAACCCGCTTGTAAGGACGACGGCTCCGTAACTGACGAAATGCGTTTGTTCTGGCTGGAGAAGATCCACGCAGTGAACAAGCAGCTGCAGCGGGAAGAAGAACGGCTCCTCAGCCTGCACGCCAAAGTTCGGAGGCACCACGTGAAGCGGGCATACCAATCGAAGAGCGAGGTTCTCCAGCACATCGATAGACTCGACTCGGAGCTGGCGGCGCAGGTGGCGGATATTCTTCAGGTGGAGCGGAAGCTCTTCACGGCCAATGAGCAGCTGAAAGCCAAGCTGGGCGTGCTCGAGTGTCTGGGTCGCGAATTCGAAACTTCGGTAGCCTTCAACGACAAAGCTCCATCTCCACTCACAGCTAGTGAGGATAGGTTGACCAAGTTGATTGACTCCTGCTCGCAGCACAAAGAAACCAAAAACGATCTCCGTGTCTCAGCCGTCGGGCAACCAGTATTAGAAGACCATTTACCCAAATCCAGCCGCATCCAATGTCTGAGCCAGCAGGAGTTGACAGAGAAGAACCTCAACGATCGCCATGTGCCCGACAAAGGCTTGTCCAAGCAACTGTTCATGGAGGAGCCTTCTACCTCAACCAACACCAGGCCCACCAGGCTCGATAAGTGTTATGCTCCAGCTCTCTACTCTGCCGGAACGGACATCCAACATCTGGGTACTCTCGTTTAGAATATCGTTTAAGAGATTTTCAAGTTTTTGTACCAAATTATCACCTAACCAAATACAGATTTGATTCATTGTTTATGTTTTAAATATTTTTTGTTAGTTTTATTAACAAAATGCCCTTATCACACTATAAAAAAAGCTAGACACCGCAAACAACATTTACTTAATAGACTTCTTCAGCTGCTGGACGAAGCCAGCATTGGGCTGGATGCACGGACGCCAGGACTTGACCAAGTTGTAGGCCTCCTCGTAGCCCATGTCTCGCCGTTGCATCAAGTAGCCGATTACAACGGCGGCGGAACGCGAAACTCCCGCATTGCAGTGAACCAGTACGCAGCCCCGCGATCTTCTGGCCTCGTCGATGAATTCGATTGAGACGGGCAGCACATAGGGCATTAAGTCGGTCTCTGGCAGGTCCAAGCAGGGTAGATGCTTGCATTTAAGTGTCGCGGGTAGCTCGACATTGGGAGTTTCAATGCCAATACTCAGGATGTGCGTAACCTTAAACTTGAGCACGTTTTCGGTGCTTACGGAGTCCTGAGAGCCGAGGTACAGAAACTCGCTTAGGATACAGGCGGGCACGGTATCGGGCTTGGTGTCTACCACGAAACCGTAGGCACGCGCCTCTAACTGCTGCTGCTGCTCAGGAAACAGATCGACATCCTTTTCGTCGCTGGGGGAAGTGCGCCGCTCGATGAAACGGGCACCGGTGGGCGTAGTTACTACTGTGTTGGTTGGCCGTAGATTAGCCAGACGCTTCTGCAGCTCGTACAGCAAAATCATCTTACTTTTGGTCCTCCCGGTAGTGCACACGACACAGGTAGAGTCCGCAGGCAGGGGCCAGAAGAACGCGGTGATCCCACGAGTTTTTTGAGGGAATTGTGAGCATCTGGTAAATACTTTTCTCGTCGATCCGCCCACAACCTAAGGCGAGCAGAGTGCCAACAATGCGCCTTACTTGCTTGTATAAAAATGATTTAGCTCGAATCTCGATGTCCCAGTAGTCGTACGTATCCGCGGCCAGAGCGGCGTTGTTTGCCACAGCAAGAGCTTTTCCTGGACGGATGGCTATATCGTCGATTTTGCGCAGTGTAAACATGGGATGATCACGTGAGGGGCTTTTTTGACGGCTTACGCTCATGAAGGTACGAAAGTCGTGGATTCCGATGAACATTCGAGCCGCATTCCGGACTCGTTCGATGTCGAAGTTTGTAGATCTGTGGGAATAATATATATATTCATCGTGCGCCTTATACTTTTCTAAGAGTGATATTTACTGTAGAAAATAGCAACGATCGAGTTCCTCAACTGGAACAAAAGACTCGTAACCCTTGTTTCGGAGCTTTCCGCTCTCCAAAGTGCCAGGATTTCGGGAGACAGCGAAACGGTAAAGATAGGTACGACCGGTGGCGTGGTAGCGGCAATGGAAGGTGTCGGACACTACCTGGCTGCTTAGGATGCGGATAGGAAGACGCTGTTTGTCGAGTGTCCGGTTAAGCACACCAGTTAGTGTGGTAGTATCATAGGGCTGACCATCATGCCGCTCCAGATCGACGTGAACCGTCGAGTGGAGAGCGTGTACACCTGCGTCAGTGCTGGAGCAGAATTAGTATGAATTTGAGGTTATTTTATGTTTAAACGTTTGATTTTTTAACTCACCGACTGGAAAGAACTGTTTGAATATCGTTAGTGGGCCGAAAAACGCGCAAAGCCAACTCCAAGCAGCCCTGAATGGTGTTAGTGTCCAGGCGGGCCTCTTCCGACTTGTTTACGGTCTTCTGAATACCACTATGAAATGGAATAAGTTGACCGACAGATGCATATATTGGTTTTTTTAAACTACCTACCGAAAGGTCGTGCCAATGTAGGATATATTCAGCAAATACCTGCAAGAGTTTACGATAATATATCAATAGAACAAACAATATAAAAACATGAACATAATACCTGTGCATAGTACCACCCCACGATGATGAGAAAAACAGCTGTTCTAGATATGTATCGATATATCGACAGATTTCTAGTGATGGGGAAATTAGAAAACGATATTCAGGCAATGTTTTGAATAAGGAAAGTTGCTCATGGGTTCGCTGATTACTGAATGGTACACTATTTCCTGATCGGATACAAATTGGCAGAGCTATGGCCATCGGAAGAAGCAAAAGTGTCCAAAATGGGAAATCCCACAATTTTATGGGGGGACCCCTAGGAAAAAAATCGAAAAATTTCAAAACGATATTCAGGCAAAGTTTTGAATGAGGAAAGTTGCTCAAGGGTTCGCTGATTACTGAATGGTACTTTATTTCCTGATCGGATACAAATTGGCAGAGCTAAGGCCATCGGAAGGAGCAAAAGTGTCCAAAAAGGGAAATCCCACAATTTTATGGAGGAACCCCTAGGAAAAAAATCGAAAAATTTGAAAACGATATTCAGGCAATGTTTTGAATGAAGAAAGTTGCTCATGGGTTCGCTGATTACTGAATGGTACTTTATTTCCTGATCGGATACAAATTGTCAGAGCTATGGCCATCGCAAGGAGCAAAAGTTTCCAAATTGGGAAAACTCCCAAGTCCCGTTAAAGGGGTACCCCTTGAAATATCTGCTACAATTAAAAATTATGTTTTAGGAATACTTTGAATATTATGCATAATCCAAATTATATTTGGGATTTCAAATTTAAATGTCTTTGGCGGCAGAAATGCGTTACCCAGCACAGGCCGCACTATCGATAAAATGCCCGTTATAGAAAAAGTCCTACCCACAAATTTGATCAGGTGACAACACTGCTTGTGTCAGTCATATAGAAGTTTTGTAATCATAAAATTAATAAGACCAGAGACTGGACAGCCGTGCCGTGCTCCTCCCACCGGTCAGATACAGTTGCAGGCTCTTGTTCAGCAAGTCCACCCAAATTGCAGGCGCCAAATCTTCCGACGACAACAGCAGCACATAACCGTACACAGAATGGCCGGCTTTCCCGACTACAATACTCAAATCGAGGAGAATGCTGAGGTGAACGCTTGGATTAGGTTCGGCCTGAGGTTGGGCGTCAGCGCCGCCCTGCATCCTTTTGAGTACTCCAAAACACTGATCCAGCTCGGCTACGAGCCGATCGCAGCCCGTCCTGGCAAGTCGATGCTGGGGAAGCCGATCATGAAGCTGCCGAATATTTTTCAGTATGGTGGGTGCAAAGTTCCCGGTTTTTGGATGCCGGCAAGCAGGATTTGATACGTGACTTTCCGCTTACAGCTGGACACATAAGGCAGATCGATGGCTTCTACGGTTGCTACCGCGGCTTAGCCCCGAAACTGGTGGGATCCGTGGTGGCCTTGGTGGTGAGCGAGCGGGTGGCCGACAAGCTGGGACTGGACAAGCCGGACGAAATCAAGGACGACTTAGACCTGAGTGAGGAGGAGATGCAAGTGGTTTCGCTAATCGATGGTTGGATGCCGTCTCATTTATTTTGTTTCTATCTTGCAGGTATGTCCAGTTCAAGACGACCCTGAAGCGAGACATTGTTCTGATGGTGAGCGGTATTGTCGCCTCACAGCCGTTTCACGTAATCTCGGTGCGCATGATGGCCCAGTTTGTGGGACGTGAAACCCTATACACCTCCATCTTGGGCTCCGTGGCTGAGATCTGGAAGACCGAGGGCATCGCAGGCTTCTTCGCTGGCATCGTTCCGAAGCTTCTTTGTGATGTGGCCTGTCTCGTGCTCAGCAGCTCCACGGTCTACATTCTAAACAAATACCTGATCAAGGACAAGCTGGGCAGGCAGTACAACGCCGGCTTCACGCAGTTTGCCATCTCCAGTCTCCTGTATCCCCTGCAGGTAGTTTCTACCTGTTGTGTTGTTAGTGGCTCCCGCCTTATGGCCGGGCAGCCACCAATAATGCCGGCCTACAACAACTGGGTGGACTGCTGGAACGACTTGCAAGTGCGTGGCGAGATCAAGCGCGGCAGCTCCCTTTTCTGGCGGTAAGTCCCAACAGTAACACCATGGAAATCATGACCTAACCCATCTACTTTGTACAGATCCCAACCATTGAGCGTTCCCATAGTGCCCACTTCTTTCGCGCCCTTGCCGAAGCTTGCGCGTTACCAGTAGACCGGAGATTACCTACTAGACCACCACGTTCAGGCATTGAAGGCGGCATGGACTGCACTCCGACCCAAGAAAACTGCATTTGTTTCACATTTCTGTCACAATTCTTTAACCCCAATATACTTAGATGCACTCCTGTGTTGAAGTCGGCAATGGCCTAGTGGTTGCCTAGTCCATATAATCGCCACCTTTATTTTCTGCATCCTATAGAACTGGTTAATTTTCTAAGTCAGACTAGCTTTTAAATCGGCATAGCTTGCGACATGATTCCTGTTACTGTTTTACTCAAAAAACATTTAAAAAAAATTAAATAAAAATTATTGCCAAATCAGTCGAAGAGGAGGGTATTTATCCTTGGGTCCTTGGAAGATAGAGTTCCACCACTCCACCATTATAAAAAAAATATTTTTTTTTGTTTTAAATAAGGCTTTTTGCTTTTATTAAATTTTCGCTAAAAACTAGAATTAAAATTAATAATCATAATAATTAATTAATAAGTAGAGTTAACGTAATGGTATTATTTAAAAACATTTTCGCGCACAATTATTTACAATTACACAATTATCGTTAACTTTTAAATTTACTTTTTTGCATTTTTTTTATGTTTCTTTACAGATTTATGTGAATTATTTTCTATTTTGCCGCCTTGGGGTTTCTCATTATTTTTTTTTTTAATAAATATTTGACTGTGATTTTTTAATCTTTTTATTTTTTTTTTTGCCGAAAATGTGTGCTTTTATTTTGTTTTTTTTTTTTAGGGATGCACCCGTGTTGTGATTCAACTCAGTGGGAGCTTGAAAATAGGACGAGTCGGATAATGGGATAATTAGTGTAGAGTATACCTAGTCGGGGAGGCAGAATCTGGAATGCGAATGCAATCACACCGATAGAATGTCACCGGTAGATGGGGGGCTTCTTGGGGGCGTGGGTGTTTTGTGTTCGGGACTTGGCTCGAGGCATCAAGCACCTACCTTTTGCTTAGAAAAACCAGTGTACTTTCGCCCACTTTCAAACTTTCGAAAAAAAAAAAAACGCAAAAACAAAAAATATACTAAAACAGAACGTATTTCATTTGGAGTTTTCGGCGCGCGCCAATTTGTCGCAATATCTTATATCCTAAAATACAAAACATTTCCCCCCCCCCCGTTGGGTGGTGGGGGGGAAACATTCAGCTGATCTCTTGTTCATCATCATCTCATCATCGTCTAAGAGGGAAGAGGGGGGAGTTTTCCTTTCTCAATATATATATGCACTTAGATTGCGGCCAGGACGACCGACTTTGATTTTCGCTAAGAACTACAATTAATGACTATATAGCTACAATTGTTGAAATTGTTGTTACTTTTGCACGCATTTAACAGTTTTTCTTTTTTGCTAATATTTTACGATTACTTTACGCATTTTTATTAAATATTTATTAATAAATAGTGTTTAGAATATATATATATATATACGCGTATTTACTTGGTATTCATTTCTTTTTTTTTTTTAACTTTATCGTCAGTGAGTTTTTCAGTTTTTTAGGGGGGCCGTGGAAGGATTTGTGGGATTATACCTAAACCAAGAGCATTTGTTTTTGGATTCTCAGGCTAGACCGCGTTTCGGGTTATCCATTTTATAACTTTAATACAGTAATTTACAGAATCTTAATGTTAGAATTCGCTTCACTAAAACTGTACAATTTAGCATTTCCTGTTTCCGCAGTGAGGCCTCACTGTACATCATCATAATCCCCTCTCTACATGTATATGCATACTAATCAAAGGTATATATATATATAATATAAGTATATATAGATAATATCTTGTTTACGCTCATGCGATTACAACAAATCAATTTTTGGGGCAGGGGCAGATATATATGGATTGGGAGGATTGGGCGTTTCTTACAAACTAACTGTACAAATTAAGACTGCCGGGTCGGGCTCGATCAATGACAACGCAAGTTGGTTACTTAATGGATGTAGGATATAGGTATAGGATAAAGGATATAGGACGCTGGACAAGGACAAGGACACGCGCTCAAGGACATGGCTGCCTCGCACTTCTTATGATTATCATCTAACCTCACAGTCTTTTTTCAATGGAAGTAAGCTGCCTCCTTCGCTGGTGGCGCCTCCTCCGCTACCGTTATTGTTGTTGTTCGAGTTGCTATTGCAGGAATTGCTGGAGGCCGATCCGGTGCCACTGGCCGAGGGCAGCGAGTTATTGCTGTTCTCATAGTTGCCCACATTGACGCACAGCGGCGTGGTGGCTCCCACGAGGGACACCGGCACACCCATCCCGCCCGACAAGCCCATTCCGCTCTCCGGCAGGGAAGTAGAGTCCTGGACATCGGCGCTTTTGCTGGAGTCAATCACCAGGCAGGGCGGGGAGGGGGTGCCAGTGTCCTTGCCCAGCAGGGCGGGCGAGGCGTTCGCGTTCTGGGAGTGCGGCGTGAAGCTGTTGAGCATAAGCCTCTCCGAGGGAGAGGTCTCCCCGAGGGGCGCCACCATCGGCAGCTCGGTCATCGGGGACTCGCTCTCCGGTGGCGGAGGCTCCTCCCGCTTGGCGCCGATGATGTAACCGCCGCCAGAGGAGTTCCTGGCTATCTTGAGACGGAGCGGCGCCTCCACCGCCGGCGGTTGGTCCACCGAAGCTATCTTTGTTGTGGTCGTGGTCTCCGTTTTTCGTTTTCCGAAACGGAGAATCAGCTTCGGCTTGTCGCCCGGCGAGGTGTTGGCCGTGTTCTCGATCAGCGTGCTGGTCATGGTGGTGGCGATGGTGGAACTGCTGCTCAGGATCAGTTGTTTGTGGCGCTTCTTCTCCTTTTTGTCCTTTTTGGGCTTGGAAGACTTGGGACGTTTGGTAGGCGGCTGGGGCATTACCAGGGGATCCCCACCGATGGCCAGGGCCAGGACCTCCTTCTTGCTGGTGTCCTCTCCCTTGTCGAAGTCCTGCATCACCTTCTTGCGATAGTTCATCGAGTCGCGCTTGATCTCCTCCAGCGTCGGAGTGCTGAAGTTGCTTGTAAGGCGCTTCTTGGGCGGACAGGTCAGCCGGGACATCTCGTAGCTGTAGCCCTGAGCCTCGCCGGTGCCGGAAGAAGCCGGAGGTTCATTGGCTGCCAGGTTCCGGATCTTGATCTTCAGCTTCTGCGGCTGGTGGTCGTCCTCGCTGCTCTCGAGTGTCTTGCTCCGTCCACGTCGCTTACCTGCACTGCTGGCCGCACCCGTCTTCCCGCTGTCGTTGTTGCTGCCCGAGCTGCAAGCGCTGCGCCTCCGGCCGTCGCCGGAAGATGTTCCTGCTCCCGGTATGGTGCCCAGCTGGTCCTCTCCTAGTCCAGCCAGGGAGTTGGCGTCGAGGGCTCGCAGCTCCCGACTGCTGCTCGAATTCTTCTTGGACCGCTTTGAGGCATTTCCAATGCCGCCCAGTTCCTCCTTCTCCTCCGATTTGCGCAGCAGGTTCTCGAGCGGCACACTGTCCGAGGCGGCTGGCAGGCCGCAGGAGCTGTCGTCGTTCAGGTTGTCCTTCTGCACCACGTACAGGCTGAGGAGCTCCTTCTTTCGCATGCGCCGTGAGTTGCCGCTGACCGCCGAGGAGGCGCTCACCACCGTCGAGGTGGAGACGGTAGCCTGGACCGCGTTGGAAGACTGCACCAGAGTGCTGGTCAGGCTGAGGGTGCTGCTGTTCGTTATGGAGTTGTAGTGCTCGGGGTAGGCCAGCGGGCTCTTGATCTTCAGCTTCAGCTGGCTTCGCGCGTCGGAGATCATCGCCTTGCTCTGGAGTATCGTCGTGTCCGAGTCGATGGACACCTCCTCCGAAGTCGCCTCCATTGAGGCCTCCACCAGGGAGCCCTCCACCAAGTGCGTGGCTGCCGAAGTGGTCACGGTGCTGGGCGCCATCTGGTTCGCCTCCGTGGAGTGCAGCAAGAGATTCGCTGCGTTGGGCTGCGGGTTGGGCGCGGATGGAGGCACGACAGGAGCCACCGGCACGGCCGGTTGCTTGCTCGGGGAGGTGCCTGTGCCCGTGGCCCGCAGGGCTGACTGGAACTGGCGCTCGTCCTCCTCGTCGAACTCGCTCAGCGTTTGGTCCGCCGTGCCGGAGTCGAAGGCGCCCAGCAGGTTGTTCTGGTAGGCCTCCTGGGATGCCGTGCTGAGCTGCGCCTCGAATCCGAGGTTGTACGTTCGCATGTCCACTGGTCCCGGTAGCACCGGGTGCAGGAGGGGATTTGTGCTTGGCGTGGTCGTTGCCTTGTTTTGGCCGCGCGGCGTTCTCAGCTCGAAGCTCCTTCGCCGGTCCCTCAGAGACTGCAGGTTCTCCACTCCCGGCCCAGCCATGTCGTCGTCGTAGTTGTTGAACTCGAACGGCGTTCCAACGAGGTTGTTCACGATGTGGGTATTGCTTCCGTAGTCCGCCATGGGGGGTGGCAACGTCATGGGTATTCCGCTCGAAGCCCCGGCTCCCCGGCCCCGACCTCGTCCTCGTCCGCGACCCCTGCCCTGCGACCCGGAGGCTCCGCTGCCGCGAGGAGCGCGCTGCCGAGGCTTACCCTGCAGCGTGTGCGTTTGCGGGTCGTACTTGACCTGGGGCAGGTTCACCACAGGCGCGGGAGTCGGTGGCGTCGGCGGCTGCAGGGGCTGCCGTGGCGACTTTCCTGGCGACTTGCCAGGCGGCACTTGGGGCGACTTGTGCGACTGCTTCTTGATCGAGTTCCCGCCACTGGCACTGTTCCGCTTGTTGGGCGAATCTTTGGCCGCCACTGGCACTGGAACGGGAAGAGGCACTGGAGGCGTTGGCGGCATCATGGAGGCTGCTTCCGCACAGCTGCTCATCAATGGTCCAGGGTACACGGGCATTTTTCCGTCCACAGGTGAGGTGAGGGCGAACTGGTGGTTCGGGGTGGTTGTGCTCTGGACAGGAACGGCGACAGGCGGGTGCGAGGGCTGCTGCTGCTGGGGCACGGGCAGCAATCCCAAAGTGGGCGTGGAGTAGGGCGTTCCGGAGTACTGGGTCGCCTGGGCCTGGGGTGGTAGGGCCGCCGGTACAGGACCCACGCCCACTCCGCCATTTCCATATAGGCTGGGGGAGTTCTCCGTGGATGCTGCCTGCGGATGCATCATGGCCGCCAGCTGGGGGTAGATGCCTCCGTTGTACTGGCTGTTCGGAGTACGTTGCTGCGGGTGAGTCGGTGTGGTGCGCTGCTGCTGCGGAGGTGCGGTGGTGTTGCCGAACATGGGCATGCTGTCGATTCCGTTGACCAGGGGGGCGTGGTTGAAGGGCGCTCCGGCATTGGATGGCACTGCGTTGGCGGGTGCTCCGTTTCCGCTCGGATAGCTGTTGAAGAAGTTCTTGCAGGACTCCAGGGAGGACATGTTCCGGGCCACGGATGCCGCGGCTGCTGCTGCCGCTGCCGAGGGAGGCGGATCATTGGATTCTGAGACTGAACTGGGGGAGCTGCTTCTTCTCTCCGCGATGAGGTCGTTCTCGTTCCACGGAATCCTTGCGAAGGGCGACTGCATGCGACTGTTCTCATCGTAGTCGTTTATCTTGTTGTTGCCTCCGGATCGGGTATGCGGTGGCACGGCCGTCACTCCTCGGAAGCCGGTCATGCTGTTCTTCACCACCGCCGCCGCCAGATCCACAAAGTCTGGCGTGGATCCGGGCGGCACTGCGCCACCGGCCCCTCCGTTGCTGGCCAGCGTACACGCTGATCCCTTCTGGAGGGGTGACTTTTCCAGGAAGATGCTCAGCGACGGAGGTTGCTGGGAGTTGGCAAAGTTCACCTGGAACCCACTGCCCGGCCCCAGGTTGTTGCTCATTGTGGCGTTGGTCGGCGTGGCGTTGGGCGTGTTCGTCAGGCTATTGGCGTAGCTGCCGCTGTTGGCGGTCATGGGCGAGTCCTTGATCGTCAGCGACGCCACCGAATTGGGACCGGAGTTGCTATACAGACAGCTTTGTTGTTGTTGTTGTTGTTGTTGTTGCTGATGCTGCTGCTGTTGTTGTTGTTGAAGCTGCTGCTGCTCCTTCTGAACATGGATGATATCCTCCGGGTCAGCAGCATTGTGGAAGGGAAACACTGATGGAATAGCCGGCGTGGGGGGCAGCAGGTCCACCGCCTCCTTGGAGCAACAATCGTCCTGCGCCTTCCGCTTGGTCTTGCGCAACTTCTCCAACAGATTCCGCGTGGCTTGGATGCTGTCCTCCTCGCAGATCGACTTCACCCTGTCCATGGTCGGGATGAGGCTCATCTGGCCCGGATTCGGGGGATTGAGAATGCTCGACGCAAAGTTGTTGAACTTGCTGTCCTCCATGTCCAGAATCGCGTCCACAATCGGCTCCTCCAGGGCACACGGAACCGATGACGCCGCTCCCATGGAGGGAGTCAGGTGTGGCACTGGCAGCGGGTCCATGAGGGACTGGTGGGTCGGAGGTAGCTGCTGGGGCTGCAAACTAGTCGCCACATCGGCCGCGGGTGACTGTACAATGAGCGGTGGTGCGGATCCCAAGGACTGCTGCTCCAGCGGCTGTGCATCCACTCCTGAGTTGGCCGAGTTGGAGTCCAGTTCTATAATCTCCGGTGGATCGGGCGGAATGACCGTCACCGCAGGAGAGGACGTGGAGGCGGAGTACTTGCTGGCGTTGGCCAACAGCTCGTTCTTCCGCTCCTCCTCCAGCTCACGGGCCATCTCCATCTCGTTAAGCAGGTGCTGGGTGTGATGCGTGTGCTCCTCGTCCGGCTCGTCGCTTCGTCTCCTTCTCCGCCGCCTGGAGCGCCATCGGATGCGCCGCCGTTCGCTCAGGTCGCTGCCAGCTTCGGACAGCTCATCGTTCGAGGTGGGTGTGGGAGTGGGTGAGGCGGGAAGTGGGGCAGCGGGCGGTCGCTCATCGTCGATGATGTCCGCCAGCTTGCTGGCGTTCGCCGACAGCTGCGTGTGCGTCGGAGCGGTGGTTAGCTCCTCATCAATGTCCATGGGCAGTTCGCCGGCCTCGGCCGCTACTATCGGCTCTGGCTCTGGCTCCGCTTCCGGCTCCGGCTTCTCGGGCTCCGGGTCGGGCTTCTCCTTCTCCGGTTCTGGGCTGGTTACCTTCCGGGTTGGCGTCGGGGATGGAGAGGGCGTTCGGGACTTTCGAGGTGGCGAGCTGGCGGCAGCGTTGTTGACCTGCTGCTGCTTCTTCCCCAGGAGCTTGTCCAGGGCGCTGCCCAGCTTACCACTGGCAGCCTTCCTTTGGTTGATCTCGTGCTCCAAGCTGGGCACCTTCTTCGGAGACTCGTCGGCCCGGGACTTGCGTCGCGCGGTGGACTTCTCCGGGGAGCTGGACTGCTTCTGTGCCGGCGAGGGAGGACGCGACTTGGAGCCGCGTGTCGCCCTCTTGGCAGACTGCTCCGACTGGGCGTCCAAGGATGCCTGGCGCCTGTGCACCGTCTTCGGCGTGCTGGGTACTGTATCCTCCTTGGTCGCTCCCACTGACTTCAGAGGAGATGTCTTTGGCGATTTGGTGGTAGAGTTCTGGCGGGTCCGGGACGCGGGTGGCTGGGGAGGAGGCGTGGGAGGCGCTGCTGGTGCCGCCGTCGAGGGTGCTGGCTTGTCGACGGACTTGCGGGGCAAACGCTTTGGCATATTGGAGGCGACTGATGGGGTGGAAGAGGCACCAGCCGGCACTGGCTGCTTCGCTGGCGGCTTCTCCGCTTCACTAGCCGGCGAATCGCTGTCGGAGTCGCTGTGGCTGCCGCTGCTAGAGCTGCTGCCGGAGCTGCTCGAGGAACTGGAACTGTCGCTGTCGCCGGAGCTGGAGCTGGAGAGATTCGGTGCGGCAAGGCGACGCTTCAGCGGACTCGTCGTCTTGCCACCAGAGGACGCGTCCTCCTTCGACCTTCGCCTATTGGGGGTCGCTTCCTTCGGCGTGATGGAAGTCTCCTTATGTGAGGTTCGTCTGGTTGGCTTGACCGGCGACGAGCTCTGCGCCGCCGCTACTCCTCCTGGTACAGACGCCACCGGCGCCGCGGTATCCTTCTCCGAGGTCTCGTTAGCGGATGAGAAGCTATCCTGGACAGGCTTGCTGCTCTTCAGCTGCTCCGCCGCCTTCTTGGCAGCCTGCCGCTGGGGAACCAGGGAGACCGCAAAGTTTGACTTGGCAGCAGCAGCCGAGGACTTCGCTTCGGTGGGCGCAGAAGCAGCAGGTTTATCCTTATCAGGTGCCGGTTCCCTCGGCACCTTGGGCGGTCTTCCGCGCTTGCCGCGCTCCGCAGGTGGATCTCCAGAGGCCTTGCCGGCCTTCGGAGGCTGTTCCTTGGTGCGACCCTTTTCGAGACTAGATTTGGAGTCAGGATCCGGCACTAACCGCGAGCCGGAATCCTTCGACTTGCCCTTGCTGAGTGACGAGGTGGAGTTGGAGTCCGGTTCCCGCAACCGGTCGTTGGCATCGGGCTGGAGCGTGGCGGCGAGATTCGTGGAACGCATGTTCTCAGATGCCTTCTTGGCGGCCTGCCGTTGCGGCACCACCAGGAGATCCGCCGGATATGGCAACTTGGTATTGGAGTTGGTTTTTGGCTTTGTGCTGTTGCTGGAACTCGTCCCTCCCTCCGCTGGCTCCTTCGCGTCCCGCCCAGACTTCGCCTTGCCGGACGCCGCCACAAGGGGCGTGCTCGGTGTCGTCCCGGGCACGAACTCCTTCATGGCCGCCTTCGTCCTGATAATCTGCTGGTTCTGCGAGTCACTTACATTGCTCTCCACGGTGGTTAGCTCCTCCGGGTCCTTCTCTGGTTCGGAGGAGCTATTCTCCGAGTCGGAATAGATGTGCTGGCCCATCTTTCGGTTGGCTGCCGGATTGGAGTCCCGCTGCCGGTCTCTGCTCAGAGGCAGCAGCTCCTCACTTTCGTCGCTCGACAGACTCTCATCGACGTCCCGGTCCATTTGGGCCAGGCCCCGCGTCGCTGTGGACAGTTTTCTTCTCGCTGGCGTGGCATCGGCTCCTGGCTTTGATTTGGCGGGCTGGGTCTTGTTAGGTACTGACTTGTCATGGATGGGGCCACGTCGCGCGAAGCCTTTGTCCGACTCTGGTCCGGTTCTTCGCCGCTCGTCCTCCTCGTCGCTGGAACTGCTTCCCGAGGCCGTATTCGGAGACGCAGCAGACGCACCCGCAGCGGCTTGACTCTGGCGTCGTTGACGCCGCTTCTGCCGCTGTTCCACGGATCGGGCGTAGCTCTGCTTCTTGAGGGGACTGTCCGCAGAGGACTTCCGTCGCGAGGCTCCGCTTGTGGGACTGGAGCTTCCGCTCTCGCTTCCGGAATCGCTGCCGGAGGAGCTGGCGGAACTGCTGCTTCCGTTCGCCGAACTGGAATCACCCGATGACGAACTGCCGCTAGACGAACGGGAGGACGCACTGCTCCGGGCATTGGAGTGGGATTGGGTTTTGTTTTGGGTCGACGTCCCCGCCGGCGCCCCGCTCTTTGAGGCACGCCTCCCGGCAGGCGGCTTCCCGGGTGGTGCCGCTCGCCCTTTGACACTCCCGCCCGCGGATCCCGTTTTGGCCGCCGAAGCGGACTTCTCGGGGGAGGTTGTGCGGGAGCTGAGGGCGCCGTTGTTGAGCTTCTTGCTGGGTGACGTCTTCGCCACCTGCTTCCGCTTGTTGGGGGACTGGGAGGCCCGACCGCGCTTGTTGGCTTGCTTGCCGCTCTGGAGCTTACCCATCAGCTGCTCCAGAACGTACTTAAGATCCTGGTACTGTGCAGGCACCGTCTGCTCCGCCGTCGAGCTGTAGAAGCGATCGTACAGCGTGGGCCCGTCATTGGCATATATAATGGCGTCCAGGTCCATGGAGGGGCGCTCCTTCTCGTCTTCCTTCGACTGTGTCAGCTGCTTGTCCTGACGCACCTCGTCCAGCACTCCCAGCTGCTTGTAGAAGACCTGCTCGCGCAGCTTGAACAGAGAGCGCGACAGCTTCTCGCGGCGACTAACCATGTAGCAGAGGTTGCGCACCCGCTCCAAGTCCTGGCGAAGATGCACCACCAGCTTGTGGTTCTCCAGGTCCTGTTGCTCCTGCTTGCGAGCGATCATCTCCACGTCCTCGGACTTGGGCGGTATCAGCTCGCGGTTGTGCCGGGACTTTCGCTTCAGCTTCCAGTAGTTGTAAATGGCGACGATGGCGTCGTGGTCCAGGTCGAACAGATGGCAACTGATGTCATTCACGTTCACGTGCTTGTCGAACTCGGCCTCCACCTCCTGCAGACGTTGCGCCCGCGCCTGGTTGCGCTCCTCGGACGTCAGTTCATTCTTTCTGTGATTTTTCCGCCGCCGCAGATCCTCTCCGGACGTTCCGCACGCATTGCTGCCCTCATCCGCGCCCCCACCCGAGGTCAGTTTGTTCGCCTTGTGCATGGAGCTAGCCAGCGAGCTGGTCGCACCGCCGGCACCATCCTTCTTGCCCTTGCTCATGCTGTGCTTCTGGCAGTAGGAGCGCAGCTTAACGCCATCCTCGGCGTTGCCCTCCTCGATGATGGCCCGCATCTCCAGGCCGTGCTGGAAGGCGCACGTAACGTGGTAGGCTGTTTTGCATGGCTTGACAGAGCACTGGATGCAACTGCCCACTCTCTTGCGACAGAGGACGCAGATTAGGGACCAGCGCGACTGGGGAATGCTTGAGATTTTCGTGATGGGTTCCATGCGGTCCACACAACCGATGCTGACCTCCGGAATCCATAGAGCGCATGAGACGTGCGCCCAGTGTTTTCCCGATTTGTTGGACTTCATGGCACCGCCCTTATTGGGGCACAGCACGCAGTCCGGCTTGATGCCCATGGAGCAGGTTCGACAAAGCCATTGGCCTGAAACCAAGTGGAGGTTAGAGAACTGGATGGAGAGACGCCATTGCCTATTTAGGAGCTTACCCGATGGAATTGCTGTAATGCCGTAACAAGCCTGATGAACGCAGATGTTGCAATTATCACAGAATACCATTTCGTTTGCCTCCTCGGAGTCGGGCGAGCGGCACACGTCGCAGATGACATTCTCGTCGAACTCTATGCCCAGGCCCTCCTCCTGCTTGAGTATGACCTGAATCTGTTCCCAGCAACGAACCTGTAGAGAATAAGAATGTTGTCTTCGTGGGGGAATCACTTGCTTGACCAACTCACCTCCAGCTCCTCGATAACTCGCTCGAACTGAGTCTCGTTGATGGGAAAAGCACCGCACTGGGCTCGATCTCCATTGTAGAGCCGCAGCCAGGCCTCGTCTATAGGATCTATGTCATAGGCACAAGTGTTCTCCGCCAAGGCAACGACATTCGTCAGGTAGTGCAGCTCCGGCGTGTAGTGCTCATCTTTGGTAATGCGCAGATAGCGATTCTTCGGACTGGAAACCCAAATGGTTAGTTGAGAATTCTAGAGCAGATCTATAGCGATCTTGGGATAACTTACAGCTTAAAGTCGTGTGCTGGCGAGACAATTGGCTCAGGCAGAACGTAGACACATGGCTCGGGTAGGGAGTCTGGGTTGACGGGCACCTGCACACCCTTTTCCCACTCCTGCTTCCATTGGTCCGTCACAATTAAATACTCATAGTTGGCCAGCGGTTCCGAGTCAGGCAATTTCATTGCGCTAATGAGATCCTTGCTGCAAAGTCAAAGGATAATACGAAAGGTAAATTATAGAATCTACAAAGTCGGATGGCTGGGTAATCACATACCGATACAGTTCAGCTGGTGCTTCCGTGGAGCTACGATTATAGATGCTCGACATCTTGATGTCCGCCACGGAGCGCGCCTGCCACGAGCTGCTCGTACTCGCCCCCTGCGACTTGCACTTGCTCGTCGACTTGGCAAGTTTCGTTGACTTGGATTTGCTATTGCTGGCGGCACCAGCCGCAATTCCTCCTCCTCCACCACCTCCTGCTCCCGTCTCCCGATCGGCCTCTGGATCGCCGTCATGCTTGCTGTTGTTCAGGGGCAAGAGCGGAACTCGACCCGAGCTCGCTATTCCTGTCACAGGTCCCGTTACAGATCCAGTGATGGCTCCTGCTGCCGCTATGGTTGCCGTGGTCGCCCCGTTGGGGGGCCTACCTTTGCGCCGCTTCGTAGGCGGCGGCTGCGGCTCAACATCCTTGCGCTGCTGCTGCGGCGGTGGCGGATGGTGCGACTGATGGTGATGCTGACTACCGCGCTTACCTCTTTGTGACATTTTTCATTGGTGTCGGTTGATTTTGTTTATGTTTTTGTTTCGGTTGGATATATTCCCTCCTTGTTGTGCTTGTTAGAGAACGGGTTCTGGCTTCTAGACCTGCCGGAGGATGAACATCGGATGGTCAGAGATCGGATCTTGGTAGCAGACTCCGGGATACTTACTACATGCTTAAGGCCACAGTTGGCGACACCACACCGGCTGCTGCTGCTGCGCTCTCCTGGTCGTGGTGCGTATGCTGTTATCGGTGAGCCGTCCTTGGTGCCCCTGGGACATGGACGCCGCTGCTGCCACAGCCCTGATTTTCAGTAGCGACGCCACTTTGCAGTCCGTGTGCGCTCCGCACTCTCCACGGGCCAGTTAGTCCACTCCCACCTCCTACTTGTTCCTTTTGTTATTGTTCGTGTTGTTTGCACAGAATTTGTGCGTTTTGCTTCCGCACTTCTTGATCTCGCGGCTGCTCTCGTTTTAGTTTTTCAGTTTATAGCCAAGCATCTGCTGACCTGCTGGAGAGGATTAGAAGTTAGGGCGCTCGACTGATTCAAGCAAATGCGCTGCGAGGACTTTCCACATTTTTTTTTTGTCTATTCCTTGTGTTTTCACACCGAAAATACACAAAAAAATATAGAAAAACGCTTGCGCTGCCAGCCAGTAGCTGCCCGTTGCGGCACGCGACTTGCGCCCTCTCGCTCCCACTCAGCACGCTCGCCTAAGGGCGCGCTCATTGCTGGCGAAGGTGCGAGCAAGAGGGCAAGCAGGTGGCGTGCGTGTCGGATCAGGCAGCTTCGACTCCTCTGCGGCAGCCTACAAAAACCTCCTTAGCCACTCTCCTGCTAGCCAAGTAATCAAGATTTTTTGCACTTTTTACAATATAATTGTTACAATTTTATTTGTTATTGCGAGTCGCGCACTGGGCCGTCATTCTGCGTCACTGCGCGAATTCGATTCTAAAAAACTCCCGCCCGTTCGGGTGGCCTCGCTTTCGCACAGTCTTGGGGGAGTTGATTTTTGTTATATATTTTTACGTTTGCGTTTCTTGCCGCCGTGGACACACGCGCAAGCCCCCTGTTGCTAGGCGATAGCGGGAGAGCCCCTCCGAATATCCCGTTCTTTCTTTTCAAACTCACTCACAATACAGTTGCATTTCCAATCGCAAGAATTATTTACAATTTTTCCGAAAATTTCGATCAGATTCGCCATTTGCTTTAGTGTGGCCAGATTCGATAAAAATAGTGTGGTCCTCTTGTGTATTCATAGTTATGCACAAATCCGTCAGATAAGCGTCAGCTATGTAGCGTTGCAATATAGCCTAGAGCGCGATTTTATTTTTGAATTAAAAAACTTAAATAGAGTTAATTGTTTATTAGCTATGTTTTAAAAATAATTTCGCGAAGACATTTTTTGTTTAACATGGTCAGCTGTATAGTTTTTACATCGGATGATTCGTAAATACAACGTATGTATGTATGTATTCGAAACATAGATTTCCGAAAAGGAATTAAAATTCATACAATCATTCAACGATAGAGCGAGTAAAGTCACACTATATATTTTTAAAATACTATTTTTGTTTTCCCAAAAATGTTTGATTTATGGTTGGTGCTTAAAATAACAATGTATCAACTAAAATATTATGCTATTTTGGGGTTTTCTGCCGTTTAGTGTCTACCAGTACAAACAAGAATTCCAGCTTCCTATCTTTATCATATTTCTTTTTATTTATAAAAAAAAAATGAAATAAGTGTTTAAATAAACGTTGATTGGAGAGTACAACTAAAACATCAATAGCGGTAAGGACCAGTGCTGCCAGTTAAGCACTCTAGCGACTTTTATAAAGTTTTTCAATAATTTACACATTGGAAATTTTGGAAAGATATTAATATTTCAAAAACATTTTTTTAAATTTTAAACATAATTGTGATTAAAAAATCATTTCAGCATCATTTAAATATCGATATCATGATATTTCATCAAGCAAAGTATATCGATACTTTGACAATCGATATATCATCGAAAATACTAAAATCCAATCGGAATTTGCTTAAGCGGGCCCCTTTTACTCCTACACAACACTAAATCGAATCGGAATTTGCCGAAGACGGTCGTCTTTTCGCGTCGCTCGAGTTTTCAACTTTAAACAGGAGAAAAAGTTGCCCGGTACGTGTTTCACGGCCTCAAAGTGTATGCAAAAATTCGCAAAAACAAGCTGCATAAGGATACGGCATAAGTGTTTGTCGGGAAATAGAAAAAGCTCCCTTAAATCTGATTTGCGAAATTGAAAAGTGCCGGAAAATTGGTGTACAAAACAAGGGACGCCGACGCCCGTGAATGTGTGTGTGTGAAAATCCTGGGCGGACGCCACTCCTTTTGCGCAAGGAATCTTTATAAAAAAAAAAAAAAAAACAAGTAAGCATTGTATAGAGAGCTGCGCCGGAGTACCAAAATCGCAAACACAAATAGGGGAGGCGTGCAAGGGGGTGCAAATAATATGTCGAGACTTTAAACCAGAGATTCCGATCGCATTAATGGATTCTGATTTTAGGGATAAATCATAAAATAAATAAAGTACTTAGGTTTTAGATAATTTCCTATGTACATATGTGAGCTGGGCTCTGTTGGCACTGCGCAGAATCGAAGCTAAAAAAAAAAAAAGATAACGAAAACTTGAATAATTCCATTTTGCAAAAATATACTTTTGCTCCAAACTGCAAAACTGCCAAACAGCTGGTGGGGGGCAAACACCTGGCGAAGAAAAGACGCCTTGAACGGCTCTCCTTATTTTTTGTGGCATTTTCGCAGCAGTCACGGCGGAATATAACTGGTTTTGGAGCCTTTTCGCGTAGGTGCAAGCGAGCAGGAAATAGCGCCTTGCAAAGAACCGTTGATCGGTCGGTCAGGTTAAGTGCTCCCCAACTTGGTGCGGGATCGAGAGAGAGAGAGAGAGCAAGGAGATTGCAAAGAAATCAAAACAAGAGACAACTGATTTTTGTTTTCTTTCCCGCTGTTGTCTTAGGTTCTATCTTGGTATAGGTGTGTGTCAGTCTGGGTGTGTTTGTGTGCGTTTCTGATAAGTTGCTATCATTCTGTTTTTGCTTTCCGTTAGCTCGTTTATCACTTTTCTTCTTCTTTTTTATGCCCCAAGCCCCAGGCCGCTGTTGTTGTTGTTGTTCTTGTTGTTTATTTTTTTTGCCTTCAAAGCGATTTATGCAGAAATGAACATTATTTGCACTATTTTTCCTTAATGCAGTGCCACAGTTACACTGACAAAAATAATGCAAGTCTTTTTAATTAAAAAAAATCAATGTTTTCTATAAATCAGTCTAGGATCTAGTCTAAGATTAGATAGTTGCTTTCTTATGGTTTATTACCTTGTTGACATTATAATTATTTTTATCTGTAAGTAGACTTTAAAGTCCACCCTCTTCTTGAAGGCTTTGTTTATTTTTAGTTGCGGAATTTCTGGTTACAACTAGTATTTAATTTCAATGGCTTCCCCCCCTGACCTGCTCCTTTTCTTTCATCCACCCCGACACTGACTCCAACTCCGACTCCGACTCTGACTCCTCCTCCTTTGTCTTCTGGAAACAGTTGCTCTCCATGTCATTTTGCTCCACAAACATACTCCATTGGGGAGCCACAAAACAGGGTAGAGATCTCTGGGGGAGGAGTGCTCCTCTTTTGTTGTTTATTTTTAGTATTCTTCCCCTTAATTTTGTTCCAATTCTTGAAAAATCATAAAATTTTTCCAGCAATTTGAATTTTTCTTCGAAAGTTCAAGGCATTTGCATAAAATTAATTCATTAATTAGTCAAATGTGGCCACAAATTATTCTTAATTAAAGCCACAGCCAAAGTGGACAGATTTGTGATCAGCATAGCTCTCTTCTTAAGGTCTATTCCCTACTTAAACCCCCCTTTAAAGCCCAAATCGATGGCATATCTGAGGCTGCCCACGCGCAGCTGGCCAAATCCAGTTTGGAGACCCCTCTGGCCCCGAGTCCAGCCTCTTGCGTCACTTTATTTGGCACAAGTTTGGCTCACGACTCGGGGGGCTTCCAGTTCCAGTGAAATATGGGTCTAGATTCTAGACTCTACAACCGAGGCAGCTTAAAAGGTAATGCCACCATATAAGTAGCCGTTTTCTGGTTGATCAGAGATCATCATAACTACTATATGTATATATATACTATAGGAACATAGGTATATTATAGCTATAAGCTCTCTCCAGACTTGTCTTTGGGGGTTAGTGAACCTTATAGCTAATACCTTATACCATACATACCTAATATCAGTAAGAACACCACCATTGTACTTGCTTAAAATTTAAAAAAATAATTTAAATATTTTTGCAACAAGTACTTGGGGAGTTGTGCAACTCAGAAGCCTACAATTGCAGCAGCCGCCCCAGAGCTGAATGGCAACTGGCTGCCAAGTTGCATGACTGGTTTTTCGAAAATTAGTAAACAATGTAAGTTGCGCCATTCATCTACACCTTCAAGGCCCGTTCCCAGCCCTCTGGCACGCGAAACCACCCGATTATGACATCTAAACGTGGCTAATTTATGGCCTACGAAGAATCCAGGACAACTCCTCCACCTGCCCAGGCACACCCTTGTTCCGGTTGACCCCGATTCCGGGTCAGGAACTGCCCAAAATGCTGTCTAATTTGTTAATTAGCGGCCTTAGGCCCTTTCCCCCCTCTGAGGGGCCCTATTCATTGGCTTCATTGGCTAATCCGGAGGGGGGATGCATTCGAGTGGACTCTGGAGAGTGCCCACCAGTCATGGGGGCTCAGTCATGGAGCCAGTGGCCGAACAATGTGTGTTTTCGGTTTTTTATTTTTTAAATTATTGTGCAGCTGCGGATATAAATGGATCTAAGGGGGGGGAAGCCAGAGCGTAAGGCAGACAGGAAGTGTGGGGGGCGGAAGGGCGGCAAGTGCTGGAGGAAAACACTGCCCCGAATAATGACTAAAGTTTATTTTTTTTTTTTGTTTTTTATTCGATTTCCCCTCTCAGTTGCTGCACTTTGTCCTTTGTTGTGTGAAGTACACTGCCAAAAAATTGGGGTGAGAATCCCAAGGCTTCTTCTTGTGTAAGCTTTCGGTTAGCTGGCATTTCCAAGGGTTGTTTCTTAGCTTCCACTGCATCCTCATCCACGGGAAAGTACAGTAGCCGGCAAGGGCAAACCAAGAGCCCTGGGAACTGCTAAAGGAAGAGGAGGAGGAGGAGGTCCAAAGAGGAGGAGGAGGAGGAGGAGGGTACACCTACCCAAGTGTAAAGTGTCTACTTAAGGTTGAGTCAACTTTGATTCTGCCTTTCTTTCAGGCTCCTTCTTCTTCTTACTTGCCACGCCCACCGCCCACGGTATGTCTGGTGGAGTTCTGGTTAAGGAGAGCCCTGAGACCAAGTGTGTATCTTGACAATGACGAGCGGCGCGTGGTCCTGAGTCTTAGGATGGGAGTTGCAATCGATATCTGGAGGAAGTACATCTTATATAGAAGTCTAATCCATTTCTTTGTAGAATCAAGACCCATAACTGCGCCATTAGAGACAAAGTTCATGCGAAACTGAATGAATTAGAAGCCAGCTGAGAGCCATCTGAGTTGCGAAAATTGAATTTTAATGGGAGTGTGAATCAGCTGATAGCGATAAGCCAAGATCTGCCGCTCCAGACAGCCCAGCGCCAGTCCAAGTTCAATTCTAGACATCGTGACTATCACGATGAGGGCAAGTGTTCCACAAAGCTGCAGCTGCAAGTCAAGATAAGAGCTACTAGTTAGTAACTAAAGCTAAAGCTACTAAACTATGACAGTGATAGATATAATAAATCTTAGAAATATAAGAATTATTATATTATTTCTGGCAGTGTACTTGCATTAGCATTCAAGGCGGCGGGCCACCCACTTGGCGGGTCTTAAGTGCAGAATTTTTTCTATTTTTTTCGCTTAAATATTTGACTGCACTTGACTCAAGTGGCGGTGGTGAGTGGAGGCCATCAGACAGAGGGAGGTAGTGGGTGGCTCTACTGCCTACCTGGCAACTGGAAACAGTGTTTGCCCTTTGCCCTCTGAGCCGATAATCCCTTTGGCTTTAAGGAAAACCAATAGAAGGGCTGCAGTTCTTCATGTTTGTAGTTCTTACAGATCTGGTTTCTATAATGCCATCTTTAATGCAATTTTCCGCATTCCAGCGAGCCCATATCTCCTCACGTGCATTTCAAGATTACTGGAGGGGGGAATTACAAAAGACCATTTGTCACATTTAAGATTTTGACTTTTTGGAGCCCATGCCCATCATTATGGCCCATTTTGGAGCTGCTACCTTTTTCACTTTTCATTACTTTTGCTTTCGGGGGCCAAGAGCGTTGAATTCCAGTCGCTTTTTTATTTGTTTAGCTTTTATTTTTTATTATTTGTGGTGTGTGTTGACATTGTCACGCTCTCCCCGATACGCTCGGCTAGGGGGGCGACCCTCGAAGCGAAGAGATCGTTTTTTTAAACGAAAATATATTTCTCTTTTTAAGCTTCGACTTTGCTTTCATTTTCGAGCCGTGGAGAAAGGGGTTAAGAGTGTGGAGAATGAGGAGAGTGGGGTTAAGGCTGGCGGCCAGATGTCTGTCGAGACTTTGGTCAGGGTCGTGGCTAGAAACAGCCTCCCTAACCCATCTGGCATGGAAGGGAATACCTTGAAAGCTGGCCTGAGAAACTCTCTGGTTCTCCAGCTCCAGGTCTGGCAGAGTCAGTCACGCAAGGCGGCAAACGGCAGACGACAGAAGGAGGAAGCCCTACTAATGTCAAGTTCATTGCCTCAATGAAACGACACCATAAACGGCAGAGCCGGCTGCCAAGCTCCACAAACATGGCCAGCTCTCCTACCATAACTCGTTTCTTGGAGTTCGATCCGTCTTCGCTGCCGGATCTGTCCAAGCTGGGCAGCTTGATGTTAGCTTGGATATCTGCCGATAGAGACTAAGATATTTTCACCGTATTTTAGCCAAAACGGATTTTGTGGCAGGAAAACAGGTTGCCAGTGTAAGGAGGAGGCCTTGGCTCGAGGCCACGTGCTCTTCCAGTCTAATTTAATGCGACATGGGTGATTATTTAACTTTAAAGTGACTTGCAACATGAACTCTACTTAGATGACTACTAGGAGAGGGTAATATTCTGTTTGAAATATAATTAGAAATTTAAAAAATATAAGAAAAGATAGATAGATAGAAAGATAGATATTAACAAAGGTTAAAGTTAGAAGAGATAGTAAGACTCTTTCCGAAAGTTGTATCTTTTCTAAAGGCTTTAAGTTATGGAGCTCTATTAACCTGCCTTTCATTACAAAGATTACAGATTACATCTGAGCTCATGGGAAGGGTAATGTAAGCATGTAAATCTTAGCCTATATGACTGTATCTTTGGGATACAGCATCTCTTAATCTAAATCTTTTACTTATATCTAGTGATTTTTAGAAAAACCCCTGGTTCTATAGCTTCAGTTTCAGTATTTTATTATATTTTCAGCCTTATACTTTAGTTCATTATTTATATTGAACTATAGTTTCTATAAGTACAATAGTTTCAGTGTTTAGTTATAGTTTCAATGATGATATACATACTGACTATATCATGGCTTAGATCTCATGCCATAGCGAAATCGATATTAGCTATAAGACCCCACTGCTTCATTAATGAGTAATTTCCAATATTTCCCAATTTACTTCGATTGTCTTAAATATGATTATTTTTTTTGATAGTTTTTTGTTAGTTTTTTGAGTCAAAACATGCTTCATAAAAATGAGTTACGGTTGCAAGTTGCTAACAATTACAGAAGCAGGCTATCGAGTCTATATTATACCCAACAGCACCAGTGTGTTACAAAATCCTATTATGGGGAAAGTATCTTCATAATTCAGCTAACAGGCTTAGATTGAGTATGAGTATCTTTGAGAAAGAGTATTGTAAACTGGCCACTTATCTCACAGCCACTCTTCCTCTAAAATGTCAACTTTTCTTTCCATAAACTAGATATCTTATGGAAGCCTAAGTAGATCAGAATTAGAATGTGCTGCCACCTGGATTGGCTTTCAATTAAAATCAATCAAGATTAGAGAACCAATTGGCGATCAAACCGGTGGTGGCGACTAATAACGGATGGAAGCCAATCTACAAGAGAGTCTTGGAGAGAGTAGCACCTCAACCCCCATATGGTAGTCCCACGAAGTGTGCGAATTCTAAAGGGATGAAGACGTACTAATATCTTCTATTTTGTTGTAGATTCCATGTCTCTTTTTATAGCCTTCTGGCCAAGTTACAAAGAAGTTTTATGTAAACCCGGTAAGGTGTTGGTTTCTCTTGTCATGCTGGCTCCTCGTTTTTATGGCCAGCCACCTTTTATGGTTCGGAGTTTAAGCTCTGAGACTCTGGGAAGATACGTGTAATGTCTGAAATTGGTTCGAGGCTAGAGGCTAGAGTCTTTAGCTCACCGATGTGGTCTTGCCTTTTAAGAGCCCTGCTGCCAAGTCAGTGGAAAGTTCATTCTGCCAGGCAGTGTGTTTATTCTAAATATTTAATAAAAGTTTAAGGTTTATCTTCCATAACTCCAAGACCTGCCTTAAGCTGGTTGGAGGAGCTTGGTGGCCTTACCACATACTATATAGGGAGAGAGTGACGACTGACCATCCGAGTGGCTACTGGAAACGGCCTTTGTTTATCAATTGATTCAACTTTCGCCCCCGGTTTTTGGTTTTTGGTTTTCGGTTTTCAACTCTTCTCTCTGTTTTTGCCCAGAGTATCTTTAGTTTCAGCTCCATACCCCAAATGAAACTAATTGCTTCCGTTCACAACATTTCACCTTCAATTTCCCGGCCCGGCCCGGCCCGGCAAGAAACTAATTTCGTATGCCTTGGAGGGGCACCTTAAAATGTGGCAATTCCATTCAGTTTCGGAGGCTAGCTCTGGGCTGCTTTTCGGTTCATTGAACTCGAATTACACTTCGAAAAAGGGGAAAAGGTGGCTTGCTCGAGGAGAGGATTTGGTAAACAAACATTGGAAGCCATTAGGAGGGTCTGGCTAGGAAACCTCTTTCCTCTAAAGTCTCAACTGAGACCCACTAGTTTTAATAAATGATATATATATGTTTCTCTCTTACTGCTTTGGCTTTTTGCAGAAATTTGCATTTTCATCTTTCGCAAGGCAAGCCAGCCCAGCACACACGAAAAATGCTGACACCGATGAGGCCAGCGGTGGGTTGATTGGCTGACAACCACGACATCCACGTCCACAGAAACAGCAGCGACTGCCAGCCACGCTTGAGTGCCAGCGAGTGGGAGGAAGTGGTGGAGTCGGGTCGAGGCATCTGGTCCAACTGGAAACCTACTCTTGTAAGAAACCTAAGGCCCTCTCTGCCATGACAAGTGTTTGGAGCAACTGCCTCTAAGAAGAAGGATCAGCCGGAGCAGTAAACCAAAAACAGCTAAGAAGCACCTACTAGTTGGCCAAGACAAGGTGAGTTATCCAAAAATGAGGTGAGAGATGATAAATGAGGTCTAAAGATGAGGTCTCTTATTCCGAGGTCTGGTATTGAATCTCCCATTCAGGATCTCCAAGGCTGACAGCTTCAGCGAGTGACTGATTGTCCTTTAAAGACTTGTGAGGTAAACACATTGTAGCCACCCAGACCAAGCCCAGTCCCAGGTGCCCAACCCAACCGACAATCCAGTTTGGTAGCCAACAGATCGGGACTTGGATACACATTCAGGTCTCCCCACCACCTGGCATCTAGTACTCTGCTAGGCTATCCGACTTGTTTTCTCACCGTCTAATTGGCATAATTTGTCTAACAAGACCAGGTAACCAACCAACCACTGGCTGACTGACAACAATAGGCAGTAACAGCGACAACTTGTTTGTTATTCACTGCAAGTCGGGGAGATGGGGGGGCAACCGTGTCGGAGGCATCTGGGATGGCAATAAAATAATGCAACTGAATGGCCTGAAACTAGACAGTTCTCTAGAGCTTTTAAAAAGTCAAATAATAATAATATTCTTAATAGGATTTTATTTCAAGTGCAGAGGCCTACGCGGAAAGTCTCTTGTAACGACCATGGCGGACAAGTTTAGACCCAAACCCCCCTCCCCAAGGTTAGTTCTTGGAGCTCGGATCAGGCCAAAAGTAAATGTCCAACTGAAATCGGGTTGTCTTTCAGTTAACCCCGACCCTATTGTTCTTCCGCTGGCTCCCAACATCATAATCTTCATAATCTCCATCTGTTTCTGTAACTATATCATACTTGCTCTGGCGCCAGCTTTAGTTTTTAATTCCTGGGAACTAGTTGACAGGCCAGCTCCAAGAACTCCTGGGGCTCACTAATTGCTCGCAATCTTGGCACTTCTCCTAGCAGTTCTAGAGCTCTTCGGAGTGGGGCCATCATTTCATTGTTGACATTGTTTTCGTTACACGCTCTGAGCTCTGTAGACTGAATGGTGACGCAATTATGACACATGGCGGTGGCTACCTGCTGCTCACCTCGGGATCGGGTGTCTCCCAGGCCTCCACTGCACGTGTTTCGGCTAACGAGCTCAGCTTAACATTTTCCGACTGCAATTAACTTTTATGCAAAAATTTGAGACCCCCCTTAGTCGGGTAAGCGGGTAAACGGGTTTTTGTGTCATTTGCGAGGCGCTAATTATGATCGTTATCGTTGTGATCGGGGTCATTTAGCCACGATAATGGTTTAAAATGATGATATAGTGAGTCTTAATCCATATTTATGCAAATGGAGGTGTTGATCTGGAGAGGAGGGTGTCTATAATTAGGACTTGATAAGAGGATATTAATAGCTTGTCTAGTTCTCTAAAGTAGGTAGTCTTGAGGGCTGTACTTCTTTGTTTATTCACCCCCCAGCCCTCCATCCATACACGCCCAACTGGCTTACCGGATAAGATAGTCTCTTAGTCTAATCTTTTGCCTCATCCATCTTGTTTCAGGGTCACATTCTGCTTAGATTAGATAGGTTTGGGTTTCTTAGTATCAGTACCTATGTATTTACAAGACCCGGGAAGCAGTAGGAACGACAGTTTAGAGGCAGCCTTTGTCTTCCTACGGGCATGGCCCTGCCCTTTCCCCAGTTAGGTGGACATGGGTGTTGTTTACTGGGGTTCTGGGGCGGCTGGGTGCTTGTTGACTTTGCGATAAGTTCGGCTGTCTGCTTTGTAGATAGTGTGGCGCGAAAATGGAGCTATGAGGTATAAGAGGTATAAGCTAGAGAGACTAGGAGAAACATATCCCTTACCATCTATAGAGCCCTTGGAAAGCCCACTTAGTCCATCGAGTAAATCATAACCAAGCCGTAGTACTTCCTATCAGTCCACGAGCCTATCAGCCCACCAACCCGATGTCGCGCCCTCTCTTTCGATGGCTCTCTGGCCAAAGAAAGCCCCAATCCCCTGCCAGCTGGCAATACCATTAATCGCCAAAGCACAACATTGAAATTTTGCTCACTTCGGCGATGACTTTCACACGCCGAGCACCTCGACGAGTCATCAATGGGCCTCTAATTGTGTTTGTTGTGAAACGTGAATTTTTGTCAAAAAATACAGAAAAGTAAACAAACCAACAAAAGAAAATCATAAACGCAAGAAATCAAAACCAAAAGGTGAAAATCGTTGCGAAAGTCTGTCGGAGAGGCGATCGATTGGCGAGAAAATGGCAAAGGTAATGGCAGTGAGCCACAACCATCGATTTAATCAGTTTTTCCATTTGGGGCGCGGCTGGTGGTGCTCTTTGGAAGGTAACAGTGATAGCGTTGGTAGATAGCACTCCGGAAGTGAATGGGTTTCGAATCTGAGAAGCTAGCATTCCAAACTATATACTCCTCCTCATTAGTTTCAAGTATAAACCATTTCCCTTTCTATTCTTGCAGTTTCGAAATGGAGAAATCGATGCATCACGCCCCCGCCCCGGCCGCCGTGGGTAAGGTCAGCCAGATAGCCAACATCTTCCAGCGCAAGCCCATCGAGATCCAGCCCGTGGAGCAACTGAGTGCCGTGGCTGCCGCCCATGCAGCTGCCGCCGCCGCCGCTGCTGCTGCCCACAACCCCACACCGGTGCGCACCGAATCCCACTCGGCCAGGTTCAACAACGCCCGAGCTCTGTTCGAGAAGCTTGGGGTGGAGTCCAACTCGAATGTCAGCTCCAGGCTTCTGAGAAGCGGCTCCCGGGAGGACAACCTTTGCGACGGATCGGACCGCTCTTCGTCGCGCTCCTCCGACAGGTCGCAGTCGCCGCCGAAGAGGAGGACCCCCTTCCCATCCGGCGTGTCCTTGGTCCACAACAACAACAATGCCACCGCAGCCCAGAACGGAGTGCCGAGCAGCGAACAGCGCCTGAGCAACAGCAAGTTCATTGTAGAGCCATCGGGCCAGGCTCCCCAGGGAGGAGGGGCCGTCAAGTTTCCCCAGCCGAACTTGTCCCGCTTGAAGTCGGGGGAGGAGGGATCACCGCCACCTGGAGGACCTCCCGTCGGCTCGGTGAGTGCCCTGTTCGCCAACTCGGGTGGTGAGAAGCCCGAGAAGCCGGAGCGCAAGTTCAACTCAAGGGAGCTGATCGAGAAGCAGAAGAAGTGGACCTCCCACTTCACCAAGACCAAGACCAGTCGCACCCACAGCGACCTCAACCGGTGCGACATTATCCGGACGGTGCCCGGCACGGGCCTCATCATGGACAGCGAGAAGGTGGCCAAGCCGGCGGCGGAGCCACCACAACCGCCGGCAAACACCAGTCCCAATCCTCCGGCAAGGTCGCAGGCTCCGCCGGAGATAAAGCCCCGCAGCGGGAAGATCGGCAGCCCCGTGAAGTCGCCCCCCCTTCCGCCCATTCCGGCGGCCAAGCCGAAGAACGTCAGTCCGGTGAAGCTGAATCAGGAGCGACTGCGTCAGTCGCCCACGAAAACGGCGGAGAACTCGCCGCCACCTCCGCCCGCCAAGTCCGCGGCAGTAACGGCCGCCATGCAGAGGTCCCTGCTCCAGGAGCAGCAGCAGGAGCTCCTGCGGAACAGCGGAGACGCACCCATTCCACCGGAGAAGCCGCGCAAAAAGTCCATAGATCTCATTGAGGAAACCCCGCCCACAACGGACTGCTCCACGCCCTCGTCCTGCGCCTCGCCCACCAACAGCTCCTACATTGTCCAGCCGGCCAAGAGGGGATCCGTGGACAATGCCATCGCCGCAGCAGGGCAGGTGTCCTACACCGGAAACGGCCTCACCGGAAGCACCAATTCCGCGGCCTCGGGATCTCCGGTGGCCAGCGCCTCCTCGGGTCCCTCCTCGCCGGCGCACACAGAGGACGAGAAGCAGGAAAACGAGTCCACAGAGAAGTCGGAGCTGGAGTACCCCCAGGGCATGCCCCGCCGGTTGCGCAGCGAAAATGAAGGTGAGTTCCATTAGGAATTTAAGAAAAGCTCCACGACAATGGCGGAGCAGGCCATCAAGATAAAGTTGGCACTGATAGCACTGATATCAGGTACTAGATAAAAAGAGGCATTACTCATGTCTTGGTTCCCTGTGGGAGTTCCAAACAAGGGCATTTGGCTCAAAGCGGACTACACCAGGTCACTTCCTCATGAACTCTGCTACCTCGAGTTCAAACACCTTCCAGCTCCCTTTGTGTGTTGGCCTGCTTGTCTGGCATGGCATGGCCCTCCTGGCTTGGCTCGGCTCGGCTCATTCCATTCCATTTAATCCCATCCCATCCCAGGCCTTGCCGGGCCAGGCCATTCCATTCCATTGCATCCCACATTCATTACAAGCTTTTCTAAGCGGCGTACAAATCGTGACTTGTGCGCCGCCTCAGACCGTGCTCCGTGCTCCGTGCTCCACCCCACCTGTCCTTACTCCTCCTCCCTCCTGGGCAACACTGGAAAAACTACATCTTCTTTTATAATACCAACTACAAGCTACCTAGCTACTATTTCTCTTAGTGTACTCGACTACTCTGGAGGCAAATTCCAATATGGGTCAAACACAGCAGGCATATCAAATGCAGCCCCCAACGCAGCCCACAGGGCCCAGCTCGACAGCATTCCAAACCAGCGTTCTGCCGTCCCGCTCCCGTTTCTGCAACTCCGAGTCTCTCGAGTGCAATGCTCACAATCTGTCGTCGCCCATCTTCATGGTCCGAGGCCCGTCCGCGGATTTTGTTGGGATTCCTTCTCCTCCGTCTTGCTCCGTCCGCCTTCCTGGACCTGGGCCTAGGCCTCCTCCTCTTCTAGCTCCAAACATAAAATTGTATTAATGCCAGATTAAAAATTCAATGATGCGTTGCTCCACGGCTCTTCTTCTGCCTTGGCTGCCTTCTTCTCCGCTGATTGCAAAATTGGAATTTGCACGCCGCATTTCCGCCACCAGCCTCAGCACTAAATCTCAGTCCGCGGCCCAGCCTCGGGAATGTCTTAGATGGGCTATACCCTGCTCGAGGAGTTCTTTTACTGCTTCGCTGGCTTGAGACTGAAAAGATATATGAGGTTTAGGAAACTAAGCTGTACCTTCATCTGGGATATTAAAATTACAATATTTATTATCATCTACAAGATAGATTCTAACTTTATCAATAGACTTAAGGGGGGACATCTGAGTAGAATTTTGAAAAAATCGAAATTTTTTTTTTTCGCTTAAAAAATACTTTAGGGTCTTAAAAATGACATATCAAAAGATAGAGTCCGGCAAAAGTGTCTAAGTGTCGAAATTTTTCATTCTGCGGCGATGCCTCACAGGTATATCCCACAGTACTTAAAACTTTAAACGCGTTTTTCTCGAAACCACTTTTTTTGAGTTGGCCGAACACCTAACTCGAACAACTCTTAACCTATCGATCTAAAATTTTGACAGTATACTCAGAATACCTATGTCTATCGACACACGTAGGATTTTTTTTTTATTTTGCTTACTTTTTTTTTATCAACAATTTTGTGACGTTTTTTGTTAGTGAAAATTGAAAATTTTGTTCAATCACTTGCCATTTTGGAAAAAATCAATATATCGAAAAAATCCTACGTGTGTCGATAGCCGTTGAGATAAAGAAACTAACCAAACTTGATTTTTTGTTCTATATCAAAAATTAAGGACGTTAGGTGTTCGGCCATGGACCCCCTTTAAAAAAATAGGGCCTACGAATAAGGGCTGCAGGGCCGCCATTTTGTTTTCGATTTATTAAAAAAAAATTTTATTGTGTAGTTTAAATATAATATAATAAAACCCCATTTACAAATTTTCGATTAGCTGTTTTGATTTGGCCAAAAAAAATTCGAGAAAAACCGCTTTTTTTTGGCCTGTTACTCAGATGTCCCCCCTTAAGAGATTATTATCTATATCTAATTCCTAAATTATAGAGATATTTTTTGGAGAGACGTCTGCCCACTTTTAGCCATGTATTCCACATTTTTCTGGCACGAAAATTTAAAACTTAAAAATCTCTGATATTTTTTTACTTGCCTAAATTTTTAACTTTTCAATCACTTTTTAGCGTATATCTTAACTATTTCGCAGCTGATTGAAAAACGGAATACCATCCAAAATCAGAAGTCTAATAAGATTCGATTTGCATAAAAAGATGCAACATAATCTAAAAAAAAAATTGGGCTCAATTTTTCGAAAAAATCATGAGGGTGATGCTGATTTCCTTAAAAAATTAACAAAAATTGGTCAAAAATGGTTTGGGCAGATTTTGATAGAAAATAATGCTACTCTCTTTTCTAAGATTGGGAAGGTATTCCATGTCTACATCTGACAAATATTAGCCAAGTTATGAAAATTTTTCTATTTCAAAATCGGAAAATTGGTATATCGCTTTTAATATCGCTTATTTCAACTATTTCTGGATAGATTCAAAAACCGAATACCATTTATTAATCAGAGATCCTAGCCTCTTCGATCTGCATTGAAAGATTTTAAAAATTGAACAATAAAATTTTTGGTCCGATTTTTGTCAAAAATCATGATGGTACCCCTTAAAAAAATTTCGAAAAATGGGTCAAAAATTGTGTTGCCAATTTTTGATGCAGAATGGAGGTACTTGGTTTTCTAAGAACGGGAAAGCATGACATTTCTGAATATGATCATTATTAGCTATATTATGAACATTTTTTCCATTTCAAAAATTGAAAAATTCAAACAATGTTTTTGATATTTTTTATATGTACAAAATGTAAACTTTTCAATCACTCTTTTTCGAATATTTATATTATTCCGCAACCGATTTAAAAGGGGAATGAAATTATTAATCAGAGATCCAAGCCGCTTCGATCTGCATGAAAACATCAATGAAATGATACGAACAAAATTTTAGTCATTTTTTGGGCAAAATTCCGATGGTACCCCTTAGAAAAATTACGAAAAATGGGTCAAAAAAGTTAAGGTCAGATTTTGGTTGGGAATAATGCTCCCAGAAGTTATATGTTCGGGACGGTATAACATTTTAGGATCTGTTAATTTTTGGCCAAGTTATAGCCATTTTCCATAAAAAAAATCCAAAAATTGTGACCATAAATTGTGAAATTTTTTAATTTAAAAAAATATAAGCTTTTTCTTCACTTTTTTGAGATTATTTCGGTTATTTCGCAACCGATTTAAGAATGGAGTAGCATTTATTAATCAGTGATCCATTCCCATTCTAACTGCACAAAAATATGCCAAAACTAGATAAAAAAAATTTTGGTTAAATTTTTGACAAAAATAATGATGGTACCCCTTAGAAAAATTACGAAAAATAATTATATCGCCAGGGATTGATTAAAAATTATACTACTCGGAGTTCTAAGAACGGGAAGGTATGCCATTTCAGGATCTGAAAAGTATACCCCGGTTAATAAACCTTTTTCTGTCTTGAAAATGACCAAAATTAAATATTCCTTCAAGTTCTGTTCTTCAACTGCGTATAAGTGATATAATCGATTACAAAGTCGACTTGGAGTAATACCCCTTTCTTAATACTCCTCCCTCTTATATGTTTGCTTCTTTAGTTCTCTACCCTTTTTTCTCTATCCTACTCCGCTGCGTTTTAAGTATCTTTTTCTGATTGTTTCAGGCCATAGTCTCATAAATGGGGGCCTTGGGATTTCGATTGGGGGAGCGAGTGCAAGAATACGGGCATGCATAGGTGGCATGGCAGAAATTTGAATGGCTGGTGCCGCCTGCTGCCACCGCTTGCCGCCTGTCACATGCACAAGAGTTTATAAATAAATCGGAAAATACTAGTCAAGCACTAGCCCCGTCGAAAGTTGGAGCAGCTGGTCTCCGTGGCAGGGAGGCGGAGTGCACCAAGTGTGCACTGAAAACAAAACAGAGAAACATTAGATGGCTCGTGTAAACATCATAATTCGGGGAAATAACATCATTACAAGGTCGTCTCTTGATTTTCAAATAAAATAGTTTAATGAGAGCTTTGGAAGGGGGTTTCCTGCTCTGAAGGATGGAGGATGGAACTAATTCCAAAGACAAACCCGAGACTATACACATATAGACACTCAACAAAGAGCCGGCATATGAAACAATAATAAATTCATTCGGGAATCTACATAGATTCTCTGGGAAAGTTTGCGAGCGATTGCGCACACTCCTGAAGCACTTTTTCCAGAGGAGCTTTTCGCGGAAAAGTTTCGCCAAGTCAACATGGCGCGAAAATGACAAAAATACAAAACAAAATTCAAAATAAGATACAGATACAAATATATTTGTTTAGCAAAAGCTTTTAGCCGATACACCAACCAGAGGAACTTGTTGACAAAAGCTTCTATAAGGTTTATCTGTGAAATACTTAGTTTTCTTTAGGGGGACATCGCAAGACATCGCTGGGCCCCCAAGAGTTCAACGCTCTGGCGTTAATGGAAGACGCGTGGGCTTCTGACATCCACTTTCTGACGTTCTCCACTGACCACCCGAGAGATACTCGCGGAAATATTAGCTATTTAAGTGCCATGTAAATTGAAAAATATTTATAGTTTATTAAGAGAATTACTAGAATTATTATTTAATCTAATAGGATAGCCTAGGATTATAATTCTAAGGATGTCCCTTCAAGCCTAGTTGATATAGGCATAAAGTTAGCCATTAGATTCTTATATTCGGAATGTAGCTACCACCCTCTACTGCCAGCTATTTCGAGGCAATTTTTATAATTAGATAGACCACGACTATATCACTATCCACTGGTGGGAGAATTTGTCCCAGCACTTGACATGTGGCGATCGTCGCGACCCTCTTGTCGCTCCATCATGCCAGTTTCTGGCCTTTCCCAACATTTCATTTTGCGGATTTTGCAATCTGGCGGCTTGTCAAGTGGCGGCCCTCGGAAAAGCTGTCGCGGATCGCAGATCGCGGTCGCTGGGAACTCAGATCACCCTGTGACTCGGCTGCCAGATGTCTGGCCCCAAGATGGCAAAGAGAATTTTCCTCGCAGCACTCTCGGTTTTCCGAGACGTCTCTCTGGGGCGATGCTGAAAAGGCGAAAAATTTTTCGGCTGGCGATCTCTCCGGCCAGCAGTTGATGTCGCGTTTCTGTGATAAGCGGGCCGAAAACTTTCGCAATCGTATTGTGACAAGATTCTGAACGCGTAATCCAAAGAATTCCCAAGATTAGAGTAATACGACACAGAAGAAGACAAATCAAAACAAATTATTCGCCGCACGTTGCCCCGGCATATATGATAGATAGATAGATGGAATAGACATACACAGTAACCATGAGATTGGGTCGTGATGGGTGTGGGTTGGTTCGGCTTTTGAGGGGCACGTGAGGTCCGCAGATTTGGCTTCCAGCTGCTGATAACGGATCCTCCGCTCTGGAAATCTGAAATCTGAAATCTTGAGTCTGGAAATGTCTTGAATGGTTTGGTGAGGTCTGGCTCAGGCTCGTTCGCTTCGGTCAGTTGATATTCTGGCCTCCGTCGGGAAAGTGTTGCTCCTTCATTTTCTTAAAAAAAAAAAAAGCGTTAAGGTAGGAATAGTGGCTTCATTGCATAATGGTTCTCCAACGGAGGAAGATCGTCCCAAGTGACCCTAATTGGAGTATTTTTTCATTAAGACAGAGATCAGTGACTCTGTAGATGCCGAGTATCGTTAATTGCTGGAAAAATTCTAGCTCTTTGCAGTTCAGAGAACTGCGTTCTGGCAAGAGTGCACCATGGCATCCGAGGCCCAGAATATTGGCATTGCCGAAAAACGTTAATACTTTTTTTATCGCTCGTCTGGCACTTTTGGCACTTCCCCGTCTGCCGCCGGGTTTATTTTAAAATTTGAAACTGTATGCCGCAGCAGAAATACCCAGCCATTGTCATGTGTTTGCAGTTTTCTTCATTCAGAGGTTGCAATGGCATTCGTTTTGGTGTTTTCCTGGACAGGAATGTAGCCGTTGCATACATAGAGATTGTGTGTCTCTTGGAATGTGTCCCAGCACTTTCAAATTCCAAATATTTTGCCAAAGTTGTGTTTATTTCGAGCCAATGTGTGTAAGCCACTTTGCTGGGAAAAGCTCCTTTGTTTTCGAGCATATGGCTATTGCATATCTGCATTGTCAGGACTTTCGGACTTTCTGGAGGCGACTGAGATGAGAGCCACCCACCCACATCTCCTCCTCTTGGCACATTTTGACAGCAACTTCCGCTTCTTGTCTTGACATTCCTGTTTGTCTTCCTTGTCACTTCCTCGGGCTCTCACAACTGCCGTTTGTCTTGTATAATTTGGCTCCCCTTCTGTTGTGGTTTCTCCAACAATTATTTTTGCATTTCTGCAAAAAACTCTTTCATTTTCCCAGAACTAGAAAGAGGCAGCTCGCCTCCACTTGCTTAGAATATGAATTTAATATCCCTATCCAATGATGTTCTCTTTAATTTTTGTACAAAAAAATTGAATTTTTTCGGGCACTTGCTCGCCTTTACTTTTTTAATTGTCTTTGTTCTCATGGCTTTTGTATTTTTTGCACAGCATTTATTTCGGGACCGGCTTTTTCATTAATTTTCGCATCTCATTATACAATACTCTGCAGAACAGAACGAAAAGTGAACAAAAGGCGATTTTCTCTTTGCCTTTCATCGATTTTGAATTTCGCCCGTGCGACCTGCGTTTGTTTATGCCCCGCCTTACGCCTCCCACTGCTCCCTCCCAGCTGCCGAGTGACCTTCGCATTTTGGCTTCGATTTTCATCAAGTTTATTTACTTGAACCGCATCAGAAATTACACATACGCCGCGTTGGCCCGGCCTTCGCCTCTCATCCTCTCATCGAACTGTCTCTTTGGAGACTGTTTGCTTTGGCATTAATTTTTCAGGCTGCTCTTGATTGAAAGTCAATGTGGTTCTGATTGGAATTAGGTTGGGGTAGCTTTTAGTTGTGTTTCTAGGGTAGTTCTTAGAGCAGGACCTATGGAAGCTCCTAGAGTAGCTCCAAGAGTAACTTTTAAAGTTGCTCCTAAGGTGGTTCATAGGGAAGCTGCAAGGTTAGCTCCTAAAGTATCTCCCAGAGTATCTCCCAAGGTAGTTCATAAAGTAACTCCAAGAGTAACTTCTAAAGTAGCAACTCCTAAGGTAGCTCCCAGGGTAGCTTCTATAGTAGCTCCAAGATTAACTCCTAAAGTAGCTTCTATGGTAGCCCCTTTGGTATATTTTAAAACATATACTAGAGTATCTCTTAGAGTAGCTCCTAGACTGGTTCTTAAGAAAGTTGCTAAGGTAGCTCCTGAGGTATCTTCTCGATTGTAGGGTAGCACCGATTTTACATCCTACAGTATCTTCTAAGATAGCTTCCAAAGTATCTCCCAGAGTACAGTAGCTCCTAAAGTAGAGTACCCCTAGATTAGCTATCACAGCATCCCCACATCATGGGTACTTTGTTTGTTGACCATCTTTAGCAACGTTTTCTAGATACAACAGACATCTCTAGATCCATCTATAGACCACAACATGCCCCTGAAACTATAATCAACCATTGAAAAGGTTCACGCCATAGAGAAGTTGTGACAAACAAAAATGTGTCTCAGTTTGCGGAAACTTTGCCAATCCTGTCGAGGTTAGTTTAGCCGTCTGGCATGTAAAAAACTAAAAATATTCCCAAAATACCTAACACATTCCGCGTATAAATATCTTGAAGAACTTCCACGGCATTCCTCCGAAATAGTCAATACTCTTGTGCTGCTTTGGATCCCCCTGGGGCCCATTGAGAGACGTGTATAAAGAAATCTAGCGTGTGGGTGGGCGACTATATTTACGCCGATCGTTGACAGGTTTAGCGTCTGCCAGGCAACAGCACTACCTAGATGGTCCGTGTCCAGGTCCATTAGGGAATCTCTGTTTTCCAAACTCATCTCTAAATAAATAAATTGTGGAAATGAGTGTGATGGTGTGGCCCGATTAATTAAACAATTCATTAAGTTGTCAAAACACTTTGGTTGGACGAGTCACTGAGTCACTTTCTAAGCTTTGACACTTTTGGAATCCGTTTCTACGAAATTGAGAAAAAAATACACAAAACTAAGGAGAACTACAAGGATGCCAGAGACTTCGCAGGCCGAGTGCGAGGAGGACAAGTCCCTTCTCTCGAACGACTTTGTGGTCATGATTGACTGCCTGCCGGAGCTGGAGGAAGCCTTCTGCCAGAGCTCCGAGGAGTACGATCTGGCCTGGATGTGGCTCAACAAGCTGACCACCTTCGAGTGCAGCACCATCTACGAGCTCCGGATGCGCAACGCCTTCATGAGCCACTTCAGTGTATGCCTCAACCAGAAGCGTCTGACTGGGATCTTCCTCCAGCAGCCGCCCGAGGAGCTGGAGTGGGTGAACTTTGATGATAACGCGCCACAAGAACTGGCCCTTGGTCAGGCCACTTGCTGCGCCATGCAGGCCGCCACCACTATGATGCAGAGGTCCAACAATGATGCGACTGCCCGCGACGCCCCTTGCTGCAGTCGGGGTCAGATGTCTCAGTCACAGTGCTCCTTTAGGAATCCCCGGGAGGAGTCTTATTATCCACCCAATTGCAGCCGCTACTCCGCAGGCCATTCCTTTCCTGGCTCTCAGGGGTTCGGGGACCCGGGAAGTTCCACAAGCGAGGAGGAACTGAGTCGCCAAGCCTCCGGCTACACTCTAATGGAGCCTCCGGCCACCTACCGCTCGAGGTCCTCGCCACCCAAATCCCCAAACCGCAACCAGTTGGCCTCCAACTCCTTCTCCAAGGATGACGCCTCCCACTTGCTGCACCTCATCCGGGGAGAGCTGCGCGGCGAACACGACTCCAAGCGGAACGACTTCCTGGAGCAGCAGCTGCGCCGCTACCGGGACTTCTACGCCATCCACAAGCACAAGGACCCGGACTTTGACGCTCCCGTGGTGGGGGATCTCAGCACGGAGCGCATCAACCTGCTCCTGAACATGCAGAAGGATCTCATCAAGTTGTTATTCGAGTAGCCTCTAACTATATTGTTTTTTTTTTTGCCGTGTATTCTTAGGGAGGACGAATAAATTTTAAATGGAAAACTTTTCTTATTATTTTTACCTTAAAGACTCCAAGATATGTAAAGGACATGCTCTAGACACCCTCTTTAATCCTCCAATTCCTTTCTCTGTTTCAGGTCGCAAATCTGTGGACGAAACTCCGGCCATCACCCAACATTCCACTCCGGGATCTGGCTCCGGATCGCCGCAAAGGGTGGCCAACAAGCGGAGCAGCATTACATTCAACATGCCGGCCGCCGGTCTCGGCCAGCGACCCCCGAGCATGATCTCCACCGCCAGCCAGGACGAGGGTGGATTCAACGAGTCTACGCCGGAGCTGAAGGCCAAACTGCAGCCCTCCTACGACCCATCGGAGGAGGAGCAGCAGCAGCACAGCTTGAACTACGTCGATGTGGGCTTCCGCCTCAATCCGGATGGCAGCGAGAGCCGCGAGGTCTACGGCTCCGAGGCCGAGCTCTACGACACAGCCAAGGTGACCGACATGCAGCGCAAGTTCCATGGCGCCAATGGGTTTGGCCGGGAATCCAGTACAGTGTACGCCATCATCAAGCCGGACGTCCAGGACGCCCAGCCCGTCGCACCCTCTAGGGCTGCGCACCTGCAGTCGCCCTCATCCTCCAGCGTGGACGGATCTCCGTTGCACCGCGGAGTCTACAGCTCCCCGCCCGTGGGAGTGGTGTCCCCGATTCGACGCCGGAACAGCAGCAGCAACAGCGTCCAGGAGCAGAGTGGCGGAGGCGGAAGCGCAAAGACGACGCCTCCCATATCGCCAGCTCGCTCGTCCTTCATCAAGGGCATCGCCCCCATTGCCTCCATCGACTCCCACGAAGAGGAGGGCCTGGACTACAACATTGAGGAGGAGGAGGAGGAGAACCTGGTGGTGGAGGTGCACCACGACGAGGACGAGGAGGAGGCACCCGTTCTGCCCGAACGTCGTCCCACCGCCCAGGGCTCGTTGGAGATGCAGGACCTGGAGTACGCGGACACCAGTGCCGGCGAAGACGAGGAGGACATCCTCAACCACCTCAAGGGCAGCGATGTCCTGGACGTGGAGCTCATCGACGATGTGGTGGACGAGGTAATCAAGGTCCATGTGACCCACAACGTGGCCCTTGCGCCACCAGAAGCCCCCATGCCGCGGGTGGACAGCTTCGCCGATGAGATGACCGCCGCCGAGGCCGAACGACTGTTGAGCTCAAGGTTTGTATCCTTAAGATATCCTTTTAAGTGTTGCATTTGCATGTCCTTTTAGGCATTAGAGTTGTCTGGTCTAGCCAGATTAGCATTTAAGTTCTTTGTTTTTGTAATGCATGCTAATATTATCTCAGTCCTGCATGACAGCTTTAAGGACATTCATCTGGGAAGCTTTCTCAGACAGCCTTCGCCTTGGCTTCCTTCCGGGCAGGTGACCCCACATCTTGAGCAAATATTTACCTTACTAGCCGGCCCTGTCTGCCACTATTCATCTTGAGGAAGTGCTGGTGGCTCTGGAAGGCTCCTTTATAGGCCTCCTCTAAGCTGGAAGCCGCCAAACGCGCTTTGTGATGAGGACTTCAATCCAGGCCTTCTTATTCTTGGCCTGGCTTCCTGCGAAAGAATTGACTTGCCATTGATTTATTGTAAACCAGGTGGAGTACCACTTCCTCCCCACTGCCCACTACAGTATCGACTGCAATTTTCAAGCGATTTCCCAGCCATTTCGTTTTGGCTTTCAGAACCCCCATAGTTTTCATGCCGGTGGCTCCGACGCCTTTTTTTTTTTTTGGCCATTTATTACCAGCCAGTACCAGGAATAACAGCTACCCCTGGCATATTCGCACGCAAATACCCAATTTCGTTTTAGCCACGGAAAAAATTACACTTACCCGTAGTTCCTTTCCAGCGCCAGGGTCCCCGCATACGTCAATTAGACGAGCGTTTTGGCCTTTTTATTTATGAGCCTTCCGCTCCACTCCACTCGATGCCAGAGAGCCGAGCCGAAAGCCGAACTTCCACTCGAGAGCTTTCCCTGCATGCACTTTCCACTCAAGAGTTTTTCTCTCATTTTCCGTGCAGTTTTGTCCTGCATTTTCGGAGCAACTCGAATCACATGCCCGCCGCTCGTTCGTCCTGTCGCATGGCTGGGAAAAAGTGTGTGTGTTTTTGTGAAAACCGTGCGGGGAAAACGAAATTCAGGAATCAGGACTCAGCACACCGAGAAAATCCGTTTAGACCGCGAAAAATAAATACCAAAGTAGTTACTATTTAAATTTAAAACAAGGACCATAACGAGGTTACCATTGGGTAGGTAGGTGCTAACTATAATATTAATATTTAATTTTCAGAACAGGATCTCGTCCGAAAGTACTCCTGTTTTTGGCTTTTAATTAGAACTCTGTCGGGCGAGCCTCGTTAGTGGCCAGATCCCGTGGTGACCTGTCGAATGACCAGTCCAGTCCGGTCGTCCGCCCATATGTATCCTCGAATGCATTAATGGCACTGGCCCGGATGCGAGTTGCTAATGATGATGATTTGTTTGCTGGTAGCACTTGATTGGATGTCTTTGTGGTTGCCCATTGAATGCCAGTGCATTCCAAAGATACCTCCATTGAGGCTTTTGCGGTTCAGCTGTCAAATGGTTGTGTAATCGGAATCCTTTGGGTTAATCACATTAAGGTTGAGTGGCTATCCAAGCGATGTCTTTTTGAGGAAGCTATTCGGTTTATACTCCCTCTTCGTTCAGATATTCAAATGAAATTTGTGTAGAGAGTGCGAGGTAATGCAATCATAAAAACAAGCTGAGGAGGAGTCCTCCTCCATCATCCTGGCAGACATCAGCCAGGCGACAAGTGCTAATCGCTCATTTGGCATTCAATATGGTCGCGCCATCCACTTTGCTTTCCTCCGGGGTGCCATCGCCTCGGTTAGTCACCCAAATTCGATTCAGCCAAGTTTGCTTTTAGTCCGGGACCGGGCTTTTAAGCTTAAAGTGCCACAGAGGAGCAAGTAGTAGTGGTCTTCTTAAAGGTGGAGAGAGTTTAAAGTGCACTTCTCCCCCTTACGAGCAATTATTTTGAAATAGTTACTCTCCGCTCCACAAAATTAACATATCCAGGGGGTTCTGGCTATGATTTTGTAAAGTCGGCCACTTTTCGCAGAGGGGGCGAATAAAATTCATAATTTCCCAGCCGAGGGGAAAAGCGCCAGTTGGTCAAATAATTGAAAAACTTCACGCCCCTGTGGGGGCTTCGAACTGGAAATTGAAATTCATTTGCAGCTCAGCTGGAAGTGGCAGCATTGTCACATGTGGCAAGTGCCAGCCTTTTGTATTCAACTCTTCAACGTTTTACATAAATTGCTGGGATGCAGGTCCTGGCCAGAGGAGAGGGAGCCATCTTCGAGTCCAATGCATTCATCTTCCGGGCGAACGTTGGGAGCTCAACAGGAGCGACTCTTTGGTGGCCTTGCCATTCTTTTTGGCAGCCTGCCCAGCTGACGGCACTGTCCCCAAAACGATTGTCCTTGACACGATGCCTTCCACTCCCCAAAGCCCTCTCGATGGTCAAGTGCTTCTCCGATCCAGTAGAGTTCTGGAATTTACAAAAATATGCGTTTAACTTTAGTTAGTAAGAGGGTATAGTTTTGGGAGGTTTAACTTTTCGTAGCTGCCGGCCACTGGCTGGTTAGCTTGGACCCCTTACCTTTGAACTTTTGGCGCCTTTTGAATTTTTTCGCTGGAGCTCTGGGCTCTATTTTAATTTCTGGTTGGCTCTCAGAAAAAGTTTCTGGTTCTGGCTTCGCGTTTTTAGTGCATTTCTTCCGCTTCTCCTATTGTTGCCCCTGCCACGCCGCGGCGTCGTAATCTTATTTGTGTGCTTGGCTTATCGCACGCCCACTCCAGCCCCTTTCGGCCTGGATTCCCCGCCCTCTTAGTTGCAACAAAGAGTGCCACATAAGAGGCGGTGCACAAAGTTTCGAGCGGAGCACGGAAATGGGGCACGAATGACGTTTTGGTCCATTTATTGGTATTTATTTCAATCGGTTCTCGGAATACCCTGCCTCACAGGCCATTACTATTATAATAATGCGAGGGTAGTGGCTCTTCGACTTCGGCAGCCACTCGACCCACCTTTTCTAATGCATTTCCCATCTCTGGACCACTCCATATGGCTCGAGCTCTCCTCCGTAACTTTGTTTTCCTGCCAAGTCCTCAGTTTGAGGCAAATAGTGGAATTTATAGCTCCGCCGCGTCGGAAAGCGTGAAGTTTTCTGCTAATTCGCATATAACGTCGGGATACAAGGACAAATAGTAGAAGTGTGACAGTGCCACTGTCTCTCCCGTGGCCGGGGCTGGGCTGGATGCCTGCTGCGAGGCGCCACACGCTGATTGCAAGTGGAAGTGCCAAAGTGTGGCATTAACTCGCTCCTCCACGCTCAGTTTTATGCAGCAAAGTTATTGAAGTTTGCATTTTTTTTGGGTGCAACTTTTGCTAGAAAAAGTTTTGCGAAAAATGTATTTAAAATTGTTTTTGCCAGCACTTGGCAACTGGAGCACCTCTAGAGGATTACTACGAGGGCGGGGGCTTTCATTAACCCTTCGGGGCAGGCCGAGGTTCTTCAAGCGTTTGATTGGCAGGATGTACAGGATACAGTTTGTTGTCATTTTACTTGAATCGAATGGATTTTCAATCGAACATCGCTTATCCACATCCACCCGGCCATGCAACTCGTTCCACATGCGGGCACGCACTCTGGAATATAATTGTTGCCAAGTTGTCATTTCCAACAATGTCCTGCCTCCGCCTCCGCCTCCGCCTCCTCCTCAACCATCCTTCTGCGCGATTGTGATTTCCTTGCTGCATACTTTGGTGCACACGCAGTAAATATTGTTTCTGGCTGATTGTTGCCACTCGGTCCATCGGGGGGGGTGTGCACTGTACAGTGTACATCTGTATGTAGGAATGCTGTTGTGCTATCGTACGTGTTCGCCATGATAAAATCCCGTTTTCAATTTTCATCGGTGGTCCACCTCTCTCGACTCCCTCGCTGCTGCTCTGCACGCTCGGATTCTGCATATGATTAAGAGCTAAATGGGTTAACCTCCGCCATTGCTCCAATTTATGCAAATAAATCCTATATTTAAAGCCCCGAAGCACTCCAAAATCGGTTCGAAACCCAAAATCCTGTCGTTTTAAATGGTCTCAAAAGTATTAAATTTAATGCATGTGATGTACATCGATCTAGTTTGTCATTCTAAAGAGACATTTTTAAACTCTCAAACTCTTTAAAACTTTATTTAATTAATTACATAAGGTATTTGAAGTCAAAAACAACAATATCTTAAAAGGTTGTGCCATTTTTTGTGTATTTCTGAATGGAAAATTATCCATTACTTCGCTGGCCATTATTATTACTGGCCAGATCTTGAAATGTTATACCTTCCCGGTCTCAGAACTCAAAGGAGCATCATTTTCCACCAAAAAAAAGGCAATATAATTTTTTACCCATTTTTCGAAAATTTTCCAAGGGGTACCCCTTATGATTTTTAGCAAAAAATTGCCAAAATTTTTGTGGTTTGATTTTTGGAAACTTTGGATGCAGATCGAATGGAATCAGATCCATGAATTATAAATGGCATTTCGTTTTGGAATCGCTTACCAAATAGTGAAAATATTCAATAAAATGTTAATGAAAAGTTACGTTTTTGGACATATAAAAAAACTCTTAAAACTGGTTCCAATTTAGGTATTTTAGGGACACAAAAATGTCTATATGTACCTCGGCTAATAAAAGCAGATGTTTTTATACATTTCCGAGCTTGGGATTCGAAGATGCATCCTTTTTTATCAAAAACTAGCAATAAAATTTTTAAGGGTTAAGTGGTTATTGACAAAAATCGGACCAAAAATTTTATTGTTAAATTTTTCAAATCTTTCAATGCAGATCGAAGAGGCTAGGATCTCTGATTCATAAATGGTATTCGGTTTTGTGATCTGTCCAGAAATAGTTGAAATATTTGATAAAAACTGATTAAAAATCTTCGATTTTGGTTTAATTAAAAATTATTAAAAACCATATACAAAATTTCCGATATTAAAATCGAAAAATGTTCATAACTTTGCTAATATTTGGCTGATCAGATCATGGAATACCTTCCAGCTCTAAGAAAACCGAGTAGCAACAGCATCAATCAAAACCTGACCCAACAATTTTTGATCCATTTTTATGATTTTTTTTTAAGGGTTCCATCATGATTTTGACCAAAAATTAAGAAAACATTTTTTTTTTCAATTTTTTGTATCTTTTGATGCCAATTAAAGCTTCTTAGCTTTTTGATTCATAATTGATATTCCGTTTTTGAATCGTTGAAGAAATATTTAAAATATTTGCCAAAAACTGGCTAAAAATCTGAAACTTTCCCCAAAAATAAAAAAAATTTCAAAAATAGTACTGCTTTTGTGAATGACGTTTCTCATGGGCGAACATAAAGGCAGACTAGGATAGACTCCCTAATCTGAGCCAGCAGCTATTAATACGCGAGGGCTGTAAACTGTAAAGCTCACGAATGACTAAACATAAATTCAGTTAAATTTATCGCAACAATAGAAGGCTGGCCGAGTCAGACACATGACGTCATTGTGGGCCATGGCCAGGACGAGCGCAGCCGAAACTCGACTCAGCCGCCAGCTCACCAGGGGAGACTTCAGCTCATTTTTTCCCCAATTTCGTCCTGGGAGAGTGCGAGCGCTCTTGAGTGAGTTTATGAGTCCTGAACTCTCTCTTGGTTTTCTCTCGCATGTGGCTCCGCTTTTGTAGGACAAGGCTTTTGCTCTGCGGTTTCTTTTGGCGGTTTTTTTTTTATTTAAATTAATTATGAACACACATGCATATGGGGAAAGAATAGGAGCTGACCTTGGGTTTCCTAATAGGACAGCGTGCCCCAATAAATGGGCAACAAAAAATGACAATTAAACATCCATTAACAGGATGTTGAATCCTTAGAGTTTCTACTTTCCGCGTTCTCCTGATTTTTGACTTTGTAATTATTTTCCCCCTCCTCCTCCCACTCCCCTGCCAGCGACAAGAACTTTGTCATCCTGTTTCTCACGTCACACACGGCGTATGCGTAATATTCTGTTATGCATGCAGCTGCGGGCGGAAAGGGGTGTACTTAAGCGACACGTACGCTTCAGGAGTTTGAAGCCCAGCGGGAACCTAGTGGCACACATTCCCCATTTCCACCAATTGATCACGAGAGTGTTCCATTTTATTTTAATTACAAACAACAACATGGTCCTCGAAGGGGACTATAGGAGTAGAGGATTAAATCCCATTCCGATCCTGAACTATTCCCAGTAAGCCGCTTAGAGTTTAGTTTTTTGTTTTATTCCGAAATGGCCAATATTTTTGGCGATTGTTGGCCAAGAGGGCTAAAGTTGGCTAATTGTTTGATTGGATTTGAGCAGCTCGTGCTGATGCTGATCCAAATGGTATTGTTTATAGAAGAGCCCCAAATCGGTAGCTGGGGGGAGCTTGGAACTACGCGCTTTAGAGCCAACTAATTAACATACAGCTAGTAGGGCTGCGTGTGAAAATGGCAATGGGAATGGAGGGAGTTGCTGCTGAAAAAGCCATTTAAATGCATGGCACAGGTGAAGCTAGCTGGGGGGACTACCACTTTTAGCTGTTTGATGTTGCCTCAGTGTCTGGTAGTGTCTGCCACTCGGCTCTCATTATCAACAACATAATCAGCCACTTGCAACAACTAAGACCATGTGTGTGTTTCAATGATTGGCAGAGTGTACACTGAACTAAAGATTTTAAAGGTTCTCTGAGGCAAACTCCAGGAGTACCAAGTATTTCTCTCACTGTATGATAGCTGACAATTGTTGGCAGTAATTAACAAACACTACGGGGAAACAGGCACCTTACACGTGACGTCACGCACAAGTGAGAGTGACAAACACTTGTTCGTTAAATGCACCCAACGCTCCAACTGTCTGCCTGGTGGGGTCAGGTGTGCCTCCGTATGCGACATAACTTGTCCTGCCTCCGGTCCTCCCGGAGGAGCCTGCTGGACGTGCTCGTGTAAGCGTGCATGTTTAATTCGACATTGCACCACGCCCAGCACTCCTCCCAGTACTCCGCCAGCCAACATTATTATTACGGGCGAATGAAAGGGTAACTTGTGGACTGGCAGAGCCAGGAAGTGTAGTATTGACACCACGCTGGCTGCTCTCGAATTAAAATGAGCATTAAATTATAATTGCACGCCCTAGTCCCGGCCAACTTGATGGCTGTAACTACATGCATGTTTTTAATTTGTTTGCTTTAATTTATTTATTTTAAAGTGCTTTAGTTTATTTATTATTTTTAAGAATTTTTTATTATTTTGTGCATTCATCTCTCACTTTGTTTATTTTCATTTAATTATCGTAACTTGCCTGTTGTTGTTGTTGTGCTTGTTCTGTCTTGTATCCTGTATCCTGTATACTGTGTCCTGTCTACGTAGCATTTTGGAAAACAAAATCAGGTTGGTCCTGCGAGCCAGCGAGACAAGTGATTCCTCATTTTTCTAATCAACTTTTATCCTCCGAATAGGCAACAGTCGCTGCTGTCGGACGAACAGGCCAAGGAAGTCGAGCAAATACTCAACGCCGCCCCAAGTGTGGGCGTGGCTGTTGCTGCCGTTGTTGCCACCGCAACATCGCCGACCAGCATCAAGAATCTCATCGAGGACTCGGCCCCCGTAGCGGAGCAGGACATTCAAATAGCTGCCGTGCCGGCCATTGTCGACGAGGAGGAGGACGACGAGGACATCGAGGAGGACCACGCTCGAGCCGAGTTCAACGAGGAGGCTGACGGCGACTCGGACGAGGTGGAAGCAGTTGACATTGTCGGATATGGTCAGGCCACCACAGCAGGACCTCTAAACGCCACCTTCACCAAGGCGGACAGCACTGAGACAGAGACCACGACCACTACCACACCCTCTACGGCCACCACTGCCACCACTCGCCACGACGACGACGAGCCAGAGTGGCTGAGGGACGTCCTCGAGGTGAGACTTGCCGCTTTAGCTGATAACCAAACATTTTTACTTAACTTCCACTTTCAGGCTCCAAAACGCAGTCTAGAGAATCTGCTCATTAGCTCCGGACCTTCGGCTGGCGGAGACGGGCAGCGGGAAGTACGGGAGCGGGAGGAGATCCTCCTCGAAGCCAAACATTCCGATCCTAACCAGACCTTTGTAACCGGCGGAGGAGAGTCGCTGCACGAGTCGATCGTGTCGGTGGAGTCGACCCAGTCGGACGCCACACTCAACCAGACCACCACGATCGATGACAGCATCATCTCTAGCAAGCACAATTCCACCTACTCCCTGGCGGATGCCGAGCCAGCCACCAATTCAACGGTTCTGAGCACCGGCGTGACCGAGCTAGACGACAGCCAGTACTACATACCGGAATACCCGCCTGTGAGGAGCAAGGAGGTGCTCGTGGAGGCAGGAGTGCACTACTTTGAGGATGGCAACTTTTGGATGGAAGTGCCTGGTAAGGATGAATAGTTTCTCACCTTTTATTGGAACTTCAAAAGTATCCTTCATCGCTTACAGGTCTCCTAGACTTCGACGACGACGACTGCTCCTATCCACCCATCACAGTGCGCAAGAACCCCAAGGTTCGCTTCAGCTCCGGACCCATACACGTGTACTCCACATTCTCCGTGAACGACTACGATCGGCGAAACGAAGATGTCGATCCGGTGGCCGCTTCGGCGGAATACGAGCTCGAGAAGCGCGTGGAGAAGATGCACGTCTTCCCCGTGGAGCTTATGAAGGGTCCCGAAGGATTGGGTCTCAGCATAATTGGTATGGGCGTTGGCGCTGACGCCGGCTTGGAGAAACTAGGAATATTTGTGAAAACCATTACCGACAACGGAGCAGCAGCCAGGGACGGCCGCATTCAGGTGGGCATCTTAAGGCCGGGTTACCAAGCAGCATAGGTCTTATATTTTAATTCCCTCTTTCAGGTCAACGACCAGATCATTGAAGTGGACGGCAAGAGCCTCGTGGGAGTCACCCAAGCGTACGCAGCCTCTGTGCTGCGCAACACCTCCGGTCTAGTCAAGTTCCAAATCGGACGCGAGCGCGATCCCGAGAACTCAGAGGTGGCCCAGCTCATCAGGCTGAGCTTGCAGGCCGATCGCGAGAAGGAAGAGCGCCTCAAGCGGTTAGTTCCTTGCCTCTCATCCTATAACTCTTTTTGTAATTTCCCATCCTGTTACTATCCTAGCCAACAAGAGGAGTACCTACGTCGCACCCTCGACTACTCCGAGGACTCCACCCAGCCGGTGTCGGCCAATTCGAGTGTTTGCGAGGGTCCTTCCAGCCCGGTCCAGGTCGAGCATCCGATGGAGGTGGAGGCCACTCACTCGCAGGAGGTAGAGTCGCTGAAGCGGCTGCTACAGGAGGTAAGGACTGCCCAGGCCGATCAGAATGTATCTTGATGCTGTTGTTAACTTGTGTGTTCTTGTGTTCTTCTCTCTCCTTTTGCTGAATTTCAACATTTGTGGGTGGATATTGAAATGCAGCACAAAGCGGTAATTGGATTTGTGAAAACGTCATTGAAAGCCAAATTTTAGACACTGCCAGAAATTGTAGAGCACATTCTCGAAACACGTTTACCATTTAGTTTTATAACCTAGACCTTATGGTTCTCGTTGATTAAGATGTTGAGTTGCATTCTGTTTATATTTAAGAACCATTTATTATTTTATTATTCTTATTTATTTATTTTATTTTATTTTTTTTTATTCTTTTCCCAGAGTGAAATGGGTTGCCTGGTTAAGGATGAAATAATCCAAAATCTCAAACGAAAGGTTCGCTTACTTTTTACTTTTGTTTCTCCATTTCATCTCATCTCATCCCTCATCTGCACCAAACTCCCATGAAAGCCCAGTCCCAGATACTAATAAAGTCTTAACCCTTCCCAGCTGGTCAAGCTCGAGACGACGGGCAACGAGAATGAGCTGCTCAGCGAGCGACTGCGTCAGAGCGAGCGGGAGCTCGGCAACATCCGGAAGGAGGCGGCCAACCTGCAGAACATGCTGCAGCAGTCCCAGGGCCAGTACATGGCCCTCGACAAGAAGTACAACAAAGCCAAGCGCCTGGTGCGGGAGTACCAGCAGCGGGAGCTGGACATGTGCCACCGCGAGGAGTTCTACCAGCAGCTGCTGCAGGAAAAGGACACCGAGTATAATGCCCTGGTCAAGAAGCTCAAGGATCGGGTCATCAACCTCGAGCACGAGCTGCAGGAGACGCAGCGAAAGGCCGGGTTCCCTGTGGGCCTGCCCTACGACAGTGCCACCCTAAAGCTCACACCACAGATGATGCGCAAGGCGCCGCCAAAGCCCCTCTTCCACAAGCTGGAGACGGAGCTGTCGGACACTGAGATCTCGGACCTCTCGCCCGATGGCGATGGGGTCAAAACGGCCACGGTGGAGCGCAAGGTTCCGGTCAAGGACGAACTGGACGCAGCAGTGCCCCAGCACGAGCTGCTGGACAATTCTGTGAACAAGACCAAGATCGACCTGGGTAAGTACCCTTTATTACTTATATTCTCATCTCGGTTTGTTTTGTCATAGCTTTGTCGAAAGACCGTCTTGGCTCAAAGGGAGGGATTATGGTCTAAAGAACGACCTGATTTGAAGATTCCCGCCGTTATCTCGTTTTGGCGAATGCCTTGAAGAGCTCCCCCTTTTTAAGGAGGCTATCTTCCTTCAAGGTGAATGGGTTTCAGACCTAAAAGTATCAGGACGTAGTTCTGGAAATACCCAAGAAGATACCTTATAGAGATTCTAGTCCTAGTGACTTGGCCTAATTGATGCCGATTCCATAACGATACCAATGTGATCTCCACTTCTTCAAATGTGGTTCTATTTCCATGAAGGAAGTGTCTAAAGATCATCTAAGAGTCAGAGACCCTAAGACAAGCCTTAAGTGGGTTCAGTACCCCATCTATCCAAGTGTCTTGAGGCCTACCTGCTATAGTTACCCGCATCCTGGCAACTATATCCTTCTACCTCTTCCTTAAACGATTCCCCCCTTTGAGCCATAGCCTGGTTCAGGACAAGTGATTCATTTTGTTTTTGAGCTGCACTTCCGGGCTGACCTCCAATCACCTGCCTCGACCTACCTTTTGTTTTGCCTTTATCGCTCCTCCTTCTTTTGTACTTTCACTGCCATTTTGTGCTAACTGTTATTCTCTTTCTTTTCACATTTCTCCGCATTTTATATTTTGCCTCTCTGTGTCTGCCGTCTCTGTTGTCGTTCCTTCTCGTTGTTCATGTTTGCGTTACGTTTTCTTGCTCGTTGTTTTGTGACTGCCACGCCTACACGCTGCGCCCTCATTTCGCCCAACAACAAAATAATAATTAAAAAAAAAAACAAAACCAAAAAAAATTCCAAAAACACAAATGCACCCCCAAATCGCAACCGATTTTTAAAACAAAAGCCTCCCGGGGCGGTCTAGCCAATCGCCAGCTGCCCTCCACGAACGGAGCCAACGGCACCGCCAACGGAGACGCCCAGCTCTCGAACGGGAACCTCATCAAGCGCAGCCGGAGCAACAGCCGCAGCTCGGAGTGCACGCTGGACGACAGCGACGAGGAGGAGGCGGACGAGGGCTCCTCCCCGAACTTGGCGGGCACTGGGGCGAACGCCCACGAGACGATCAGCAGCCTCTCCAATGGGAACTCGCACCTGCTGGCCAACGTGAACAACCTGCTCCAGCACCATCCGCCGGCGATGGTCGCCACGTCAACGGTGACCCCCTCCAACGGCCATTTGGGCACCACCACGGCCATCCTGCTGAATTCGACGTCGTCGGCCTCCTCCAGCTCGTCGAACCAGTCGACGGCGCGGGAGGCTCAGATCAATCAGCTGTACGCCCAGGTGCACAAGGACCCCAGCAAGCAGCAGCAGCAGTTGCAGCAGCAGCAGGCGGCGACCAGCATCAGCATACCCGGCATCTTCAAGAACTCCCTGGGCTCGCCGGCGGACAGCGGCGGTCTCAACGACTTCCATCGCGGCAGCATGACCACCTTCGGGACGGGTCCGGCCAGCAGCAGCAACCGGGATCTCAACAGCTCGTACGACTCCATACTCGGGTCCAACGACAAGCTCTCGGAGAACGAGCCGGCGGAGAGCTGGATGTACCCCAGCCGGCGACGGGTAGCTCCCAACGGCAGTAAAGTGCCGCTGCCCGGTTCCAGCTTCACGGACCAACTCAACCAGGCACTGTCCGATCGCGAGAGGTGGGTTTTTGGGGGAGAAGTAGAGAAGTTTCATTTGCTAAACGGCTGCTTCAACTTTGCAGGCGACTTGGGGACGGATCCTCGCGACACTCCAGCGACGACTACACGGAGATCAACAAGAGCCAGAGCGCCGCGGCGATCAACTGCAAGACGCTGATCAACGAGATCCGCCAGGCGGTGAACGAGGCGCAGCCCAAAGGTGAACTATGCCCCACCACCAACCTAGTCACGAACCGAATCTAGTCACTTCAGCCAAACCGATATCAACCAGATCAATCCTCCGAATCTCTCCCCTATTTAGCTACATAGGTCGTAAGCCTCCAGACTAACCTCCATTCAGTACCCAGACAGCCAGACAGCCTCCCCGACAGACCAGACCGTCTCATCTCATTCTCATACAAATCTGTACATATGTTTACCGTTCAATCCGTTCAAGCCGTTCAATATATATAACCCGATATATACTATACCTATATAAGGTCTTGAGATTTCATTGAAAGCTGTTTACCGTTAACATTAACCACATCTTCCACACTGTCCTCTATCTATCTTTGAATGTCTACGCTAACCCCACTACGCTAACGAGCGGTGCTGAGCGGTGCACTCTGAACTTACTAACCTCTGTCTCCGGATTCTCTGTCTTCCCCTCTCTCTCTCTCCCCCAAATGATCGATCGATCCAAAGTTAAACAAGTCGTTCCACAATCACTCTCCCCGCCCGGCACAGTCCCCTGGCAGCAGCAGCACCATCCCCAGCTCCAGCAGCAGCCGTCCGCCCACACCACCGGCCCGCCCTCGCCCACCAGCATGTCCTCGGGCTGCTCCTCGCCGGGCTACTCGCCCAGCCGCACCCTGGACCTCTCTGGATCAAGCTCCAGCTTCTCGGATCGCAAGGCGGCGGCTGCCGGTTACCACTACAAGGGTGGCCCCGTCCACGAGTGGACCAAGGATCAGGTGGGTGTAGAATTTACCAGCTAACTAGAAACAGTCACTCATGTATCTCCTCGCAGGTGGGCCACTGGCTGATGGGCATCGAGCTGGAGCGCTACATACCCGTCTTCAAGGAGCACAACGTGGAGGGCGGAGCGCTGCTCACCCTCGACTCGAAGGACTTCAAGACGCTGGGCGTGAGCGGCGACGACAAGCACCGGCTGAAGAAGCGCCTGAAGGACCTCAAGGCGAACATCGAGAAGGAGCGCAAGGACATGGAGCGCGAGCGACGGGAGCGCGAGAAGGCCATTCGCAAGGCCGAGAAGAAGGCGGCCAAAAAGAAGTAGTTGAATTGTTAGCCAGTAAGACTCTGAAGAACAGAATGTAGCCAAAAACCAAAAGCGTACGCAGTATATGTAGTCTATGCATACACACCACAAACACACACACACACAAGCAACACACTCGTATTAGCAGTTATATATATATTTATACGCATCTAATGATAACATAATTTATTTGTACAACACCCACTTCTATTACACATACGTACTACATTTTAACCTATCTCTACTACCCTAATGGAATTATAGATGTAATTACTCTAGAGAGGAGGGCGCGGAGTGCATCCCGCTGTGTTAGGAGGGTTAGGAGCGAGATTCCCCAAGAGAGTACGACCAGACAACAGTCGACAGCTCCCAACCCAATGATGGAGCTAGCAACTAACTCAAAAGGCGTTGGACTGACTGATTTTACGATTAATTTAAAAACAAAAACAAAGGAAATTCTTTTTTAAAAGCCAACCAAAACCAAATAGCCATTTGAAGAGGAGCGGAGCTTGGAGTAGACGGATGTACGGCAGTGGGAGGAGTTTGAGAGGAGACTTGAACATTAATATTAATAGCGACTAATTTAATCCACGGAATGTCTCGTTTTTTTCTAATTATTTATCTGTGTAATTTAATGACTAGTGCGTACTCGATAATATTCAATTCTAGATATAATAACCTATACATATATACGAAACATAAACGGTGGATTGTATTCTATGTCAGACACCTATGGATTACGTATAACAACTAACAACTAATGCTAAAGTATTGTATTGTACTGTATTGTGTATGCTATGCCCGAAAGTCACTGAGTACTTAAGTATAAAGCTGATACCATTTTTGTTCCCTGTTACCAGCAAAGGCCAAACCAATGCAAGTGTCCACCAGCCAAAAAGAAAGTAATCTTTAATCTTTAATGTAATTCGTTAGTTAATATGAGTGAGTGAGTGAGTGTTAGAGTTTGTTTTTCTGCCTTGTATAGTTTTTTGTAGAACTCTTGTATTTGTATATTTTATGCCTAGTTTATGTCTTTCTATCCTTGTGTGTTCTTGTGTTGTGTACTTACTTTTACGTTTATCTTATAATTTCAAAATGTTGCAATAAATCTATAAACCAAATCCTAACTATCGGATCTACGTTAGTCTCTACAGAGCTATGGCCACAGAACCAGGACCCAACTTTGAATTTTATCAAAGAAAAACCAAGTTTAGAAACTAGTCCTTGTTTGGTGTTAACAATTAGCGTAATAATACCTATATGAACATATATGAATACTCTCTCCTTTCTATCTAACTCTCTACCAACTACCATTCTGTCTCTATTTGACTTTTAAGACCCCGGCCGTGGCCAGGTGGACGTCCATCTAGGTGGACGACCCGGGAAGCCGATGGCCGGCAGCGCATATTCACCGCATGTGCATTCACGTCTCGTCGCAAGTCCTTAATATAGCTTTTGAAAAGCTCGCCTCTAAACAGTGCCACAAAAACCATAAAAAACCAAAACAAAAAATCAACCATTATAACTTACAAAAAATGATAACGAAAGACACAATCAAATCGAATCACTTGAACAAATTCAAAATGCAAATTTTTGTGGCGCTGCACGCGTCAAGTGGAGATCAAGTGGATCTCCCCATCCCGGATATTTGGAGAAACCTGATCCGAGAGATGTGATCGCGTGCCGCCGCCACACAAAACGCTCCCGAATATGTGTGTGTGTTCTTTTAAATTGTGCACTTTGTTTACAGTTTATTTTTGGGTAATTGTTAGTAAGCGATTTACATCACATTTAAAACAAAAACGAATATCTTTGAAGAGTATAGGAACCAGTTTGGAATTCGTGAATCAAATTAAACGATTAAAGAACCTTAAGTCGCACCTGTCACCTCGAAATCCTCAAAGAGTAGAGGCCCGACAGGGGCGCCTGATAAACAAAAAATAAAACGAAATGTTAAACACCTACAGAACACATTCGTGCCTTTTTCATTGCGAAAAACCGTCCCAACCAGAATGAACGAACTAATTACCCAGAGCAGAGGAAGACCGTCCTGGTGGAGGGCACTTGGCTGGACACTGACACCCTTCCAGCTCACACAGTCCCACCCCGGCTAGGATGCGTGTGCACTCCTTTGTCACGAATACGTTGAAATATTAAAACTCCCGCAAATGCCTTAGATGAAAATTATATTACCCATTAGATACTCAATATTATTGATTATTTTGCTCGTAGAATTATAGCCCTTTCGAAAACTGGCTTTTTGTCTCCGATTTTGGGAACTTAACGACCAAAGTTGGCTCGGTTTTGTGGCCTCGGGAGTTGGAATTGGATGTGGATGTGGATTTGGATTTGGGAGACTTGTGACTATCGTTCTCACTTAATTATAATTTTAAATGAACTTTAACTCATTTTGGTTGCTCATTCCAATCATTCTTAAACTTTCTGTTTTAAATATTTGAATAATGGCCATTAAATCTTAATTATTTAAATCTTCAATTAATAATTCAAATTTGTTTGAGTTTTGAGTTTGTGAATTTTGTACTGCGTATCTGTCGTATCATTTGTGCAAATGAGTCTATTTTGTTCATATCATAACTAGTTATACTCTTTGAATTTAGAAATCCCTTCTTCAGAAAACCCCAGAACTTCCGCAAAAGATTACTCGAAACTTAATTCGCAAAGGAATAGAAACCTCTTATTAATACAAATCAACGTCAATATTTAAGAATTGGTCATTTAAAATTACAAAATGCAACTCAATCTTAGCAAATCATGGAAAATAATGAGTTATGCAGAACAACAGACAGTGCTAATAAATATACTCCGAAATAAACCCAAATGGAAACCGTGTTGTTTACTCCCCTCACTGGGCCAATCTGCGTTATCGGTGCATCCATCACGTTCCTGTTTATAAATGCAGCACAAACAGCTCGAATGGGTTTGTTGTTCCGCTGCACAATCTGGGAGGGAACGGAGATACCCTCTCCAAGATACACACACTTTACAGCCTGAAGATGCCACCAAACGACCTGCGATCGAGATCTTCCACGGAAAGATGAATGGAACATTTTGAAACATTAGCTGGGTTTTCCTTATCATCGTGGAATTTTCCACTGTTTCTTTAGAGAGTGGTCGGCATGTTGTGACCTCTGCACACACTTTGGGTATTGTCGTAGGGTGCACCATAGAGCATTCGAGACTCGGGTTTCGGCCCTGGGCCTCTGAAGTTCCCACACAATCGTCAACAGATTATTTTTCCTCACGTTGCCGCACCGGAGAGCCTAGCAACCAAAGGGATAGATTAATTAAAATAGGATTATGATTAGTTGGTTAGTCGCATTTTTAGTTAGTCATTTGAGTCTAGTCTTATAACCCTTGACTAGTGTGCGATTAAATTCTTTCGACATGCCGAGAGTTGTTTACACATTCTGCTAGAAATGATTACGCCTCGGATCATTGCCTACGAAGACCCCCCACGAACTGATAAGGATGTTTTGAAATCTATGCGTCTCATCATTCAATATTTAATATAAATATGCTAAAATATTGCAATAAATGCATCATGCCACATCGTTTTTGATTGAGAAATGCACTGTTACTGGGTGATTCAAGATGCAGTCACTATTTCAACAGGCTCGTGTGACGGGGTGTCTGGGCCAGAGCCCTAGGAACTGATGATCTATCAAAACTTTCCGCCTTCTCCGGAGGCTGATAACCCTTGACAGAGGTTACCAGGCAAATTAAATATAATTCTCGGCCAGTGGCATGTTTTGAAAATAATTTTAAAAATAGCTAGAGATGTTTGTGTTTGCAAAAAGTGATAGAATATACTTCAGATTCTGGTAATATTGGGTCTCAACTGAAGAGCTGACTAAGTTTGATTTCAAGAAATAGCTCTTTATGAGTCTATGAGGAAAGAATTCGAGGTCTGATGCTATAAAGCTCATATCAAAAAGTCCATATAATTGAACCCACCTGCCGGGACAATGGCGACATCATTTATGATTACATTATTTGGTTTCTTATCTGAGCTCTCTCGGGGAAAGAGTTGTTTGCCTCCCAGTTGTGGTCTCCCCACTTGGAGGTAAATATACTGATTCGCTCAACTCAATTAATTGGCCACAACAATTCCGGCTGAATAATATGCTACATAATAGGCCCGCGCAAACAATTTAAATTGAATGCTGAACAATCAGCGCAATGACTATGGCTATCCCGATGCCGATCCCGGTTCCGACAGAATCCGATCTTGGTTTTCCTGAAGCGACGCTTCATCAGACCCCGTCGTCGTCGTCGTCGTCGGCAGCAGAAGCAGCAGCGACGTCAACGCAGGCGCAGGCTATATAGTTTAAAAGTCGGCATCCCGGAGCCGAACGACTTCACAATTCCGTAAGCCCTCGAACAGTCAACAGCTCCGCGGAGGATACAATCGACGCAAAAAATATATATGTTTTTATTGAAGAACATTCGAAATTAACCAACAGCTGTGAAAAGTAACAAGATTACAAAGGAAATTCCGGTTCCAGATCACCAGTTCGGTTTCAGTTCCAGATTTCTAAATTGGCTTTTGCAAAAGCGAATAGAAACGTGGCCCGATTTTGACTTTTGATTCGATTTGCGCGAAAGTTTCGATTTGCATAAACAGCGAAAGAGCCGCTGAGATTATATAATTACAGTGAATTGTTCATCTCGAGAGCAGCATCTCCCATCCGTACAATGACGGGATATAATTCCAATGGCGAGGTTGCCACCAGCAATGGCAATGGACACTCCAATGGCCACTCCAACGGACAGAAGACGGCCGACTACACAGCCCAGGAGAACGCCTCGTAAGTAGAGTGGGGGTTAGTGACTATATCTTACATAGTCCATATCGGAGGGCCTCACGCCAGGCGCTCGTTTGCTGCAATCACCTCCAGTTGGGATTTCCAATAACAGCAATGCTTAATGGGGCTATTTGCTTTTCCTCCACCCCGCCAATGTCCTCCTTTGCACTTACTCTACCCCACCTCGACCTCTGCTCTCGCTTACTCCTGTGACCCGCTTTCCAAAGGCCGAATCGATACGGCCTTGGATGTGACTGCCACTTTCCGTAGCAAGCCTTTCTAGACACTTCACTTTCCTATAATTTCCTAAAAAAAAACACTGCTGCCTGCAATAGCCCAAGTTCGGTCTCCGGAAATCCTTCGCAAAATTTCGTGCCTGCTTTTTCTGTTGGGTTAGCCAGGAGCACTGCTCTAAGATCTCTTACCACCGGCAGGATGTGCTCGCGGGACTGCTGCGCCGGCCCAGGAGGCTCCAACAAGGGAGCCGCCAATTCCTGTACGGAGAAGAAGGGCAAGGCTAGTATGGTGAACGGCGAGAAGATCATACCCACGCCCCAGAGTCTTTTGTAAGTTTCCACAAAGTATCCTCCAAGAGGGGGAGTTGGGAGAGGACGGGAATCTCTTTCACACCTATCCCTGACTTAGTTGTCAGTTTGATTCTGTTGTCTATCCAATCAAAACCTGTTCCCTGCCGTTGTTGCATCTTAAAAATGTGCAACACAGACTGCTGTTCCAATCCCAGGGGCAAGGCCGGCAACAAGACCGCCATCCTAGATCCCGAGGTGTTTGTACCCATTCTAGCCACCCCGCAGTCTGAGCTGTAAGTCCTCAATTCTGTTTTGTTTATAAAAACCAGTTTGGAATTCGAATTAGAACCAGAAAGCTAAAGACTCTAGAGTCTAGACCTTGTCCTTGATCTTTCCGCTATCAAAAATCTGTGTGGTGGTATTTCGAATTTGAATTAAGTCATTCCAGTATTCCAGAGGGGCTTATCATTTTTCGCGGCTTGACGTCGGCAGGTCATTAAAATCTTATTCTGAATATATACAAACCGAATAAAATTATATTGAATGATCCGGTTGGTCAATGGGCTCGCTCTCCTGGTTTGAAATTAAGGAAAACATAATTATATATTATATTATTATCTACTAAAAGTAGTGAACTTCAACAACATCTCATATTCTTGTGTAAGCAGTGTTGGCCATGTAACCAAGCCCCCTATGAAAGCGGGTGTGTTCGTCCCGTGATCTTGACACAGGCCCCCCCAGTACGTAATCTTTACTACCAGTACCAGTTCCGTCAGTAATTGGAAAATTGTCCGATAAAGAATGCTATCCACTTGGCCACCGCACCACCAACTTGGTAGGCACTCTGATTAGTTTCTAAACTTGTTTTCGATTTCGATGCTGAATATTGATAAGGCGGCGAAAAGTCGTCGCGTGTTTCGAATGAATTTGCATAAATGCTGCCGACTAGCTGCCGGGGGGTTTAATTTTATTAAGGCTATTCATGCTAAACTAACCAATTAATACAAGTTATGATGGAGGAGGCCTGATGCGGCATTTGCCTTAATGACGCACTTTATGTTTACACTTGATGATGTTTTTGTTTTTCATCTGCAACAATTGATAATATTGGGAGCATCATTACAGGGGCTTATCAGCCTGGGGTCTGATGGAAAAACAAGTGATGAATGATGAAAGCATTTGAGCACGTGGGGTTAGGGGTTCATATGTAGTAACAGCGTTTGACGAACCGCAGCTTATTCGGTTCAAAGTCGTCAAGTGTAGTTTTCAAGCAGCTGAAGTTCATTAAAAGTTTTAATTGAATTCCAATTTTATTGGTAGCTTGGAGCTTTAATTACTCTAGAGCACTACGCGGCCCAAATAGTCATGCAATCTTACCATATTGTTTCTTTTATCGATTGGAGCCAATAAATGATAAGCGTTCTTTGCGGGGGCGTACTACCATCCATATCTTATGACCGTGTTTTTAATAAGAATGGAAACTTACCCAACAAATCAAATCAACCTTCTTTTTACCCTTATTTCAGAAAAAATGGTGGCAAAATCGAGTGTTATTTAACGCCTGAGGAATTAAGAGCAATACGCGTTCTAAACGAAGACACGTTTGTAGTCCAATTTCAAAATTAGCTAACTTTTCATGTTTCCTTTTTGTTATTTTGTCCAAACATTAAAAATGTCTTCATTCTAAAGTTTTTTTTAAAGTGATAACATCTTTGTTGTTTTATTAGAACCATCATGGTATATGTTTATTGGCAGGAAAGTTAAATTATATTGTCACATTTTAATTACCAATTAGTCATCAAAAACAAAGTGGAATCTTTCATAAAAGGTGAAAGGTTCTTGTATTTTAATACCAATTTAACCCATATTGTATAGTTTGTCCAATTCGTAAGTCATTTTTCTATTAAAAACCTTCGTAAAAGTTTCTATTTAAAAACCTACATTGTTTTTTCCGTTTTGTCTCTTTCGTCTTATCATTAAACTGATTGAAAGTTTATGTCTAACCAACCCAAATTATTTTATCAAAAATGTCTTATGTTCAACATTTCATACCATTAAAAAATATTGGATTATAATCATTTCCTAATTTCAACAGGTATCCGTATGAAGTAATCCAGGAAATTGCTGATTTCATCATCAAGGGCTCTGGCATGCGCCCCAAAATCGGCATTATCTGCGGCTCCGGACTCGGCTCGTTGGCGGAAATAATCCAGGATCCCAAGATCTTCGAATATGAAAAGATTCCCAACTTCCCCGTGTCGACCGTTGAGGGCCATGCGGGTAAACTAGTCCTTGGAACCCTGGAAGGCGCTACGGTAATGGCCATGCAGGGACGATTCCACTTCTACGAAGGCTACCCCCTGGCCAAGTGCTCCATGCCGGTGCGAGTAATGAAGCTGTGCGGCGTGGAATACCTCTTCGCCACCAATGCGGCTGGCGGTATCAATCCCCGGTATGCTGTGGGTGATATAATGCTGATGCACGACCATGTGAACATGCTGGGATTCGCTGGAAACTCGCCGCTCCAGGGACCCAACGATCCTAGATTTGGTCCCCGCTTCCCCGCCCTCGTGAATTCCTACAACAAAGAAATGATCAACAAGGCCCTCGAGATCAGCAAGACTATGGGCATCGAGTCGAACGTTCATGTCGGTGTCTACTCCTGTTTGGGCGGTCCGAACTACGAGACCATCGCCGAGCTGAAGGCTCTGCGAATGATGGGCGTGGATGCAGTGGGCATGTCCACAGTTCACGAAGTAATCACCGCCCGGCACTGTGACATGAAGGTGTTTGCTTTCAGCCTCATCACCAACAAATGCGCCACCGAATACAGCGACAAGAAGGACGAGGAGGCCACCCATGAGGAGGTAGGTTTAGAAAGCGTCAATATCTTTGTTTTCCATTTTTCCTGATGGGACCCCTTGGAAATGGGGTTTTCCCCTATAGGGCCCACTGTGGTGGCTATATCTTCGCCAATTCTCATCCGATACTAAAGCGGAGTACCTCAATCAATTCCTGGATCGATTCTCCACCATTCTGCACCAAAATCCTGAGAAAAAATATTTTTTAGATTTTTTGTCCATTTTTCCAGTTGGGAACCCTTGAAAATGGGGTTTTCCCCTATAGGGCCCACTGTGATGGCTATATCTTCGCCAATTCTCATCCGATTCTAAAGCGGAGTACCTTAAACGATTTCTATGTCGATTTCTCCACCATTCTGCATCAAAATCCTGACACAAAATATTTTTGAGATTTTTTGTCCATTTTTCCTGATGGGATCTCTTGAAAATGGGGTTTTCCCCTATAGGGCCCACTGTGATGGCTATATCTTCGCCAATTCTCATCCGATTCTCAAGCGGAGTACCTCAAACGATTTCTGGATCGTTTCTCCACCGTTCTGCATCAAAACCCTGACACAAAATATTTTTTAGATTTTTTGTCCATTTTTCCTGATGGGATCCCTCGAAAATGGGGTTTCCCCCTGTAGGATCCTTATGAAAGTTGGTATGTCGTATTATTTTGTAAAAATACCGAAGTTGTGGCATTTCCTATCAGTCAGTTATTCAGTTTTAAAATATGTCAAAATATCGCATGCGATTTTTGGCAGCCTCGAAAAATGGAAAAACTCTCGCATGCTAGTAAAGTGGAAAATGAAGAAACAACGTAATGGGCTTGGTATAAATACCTCACTAAAATATCATATTTTAACGTAGTCCAACGTATAGGTCTTGAACAAAATATTTCGCTCAAAACATTTGAGAAAAATCAAATTTTAAATAAAACATATAGAAATGTATTTTTTTTGTTTAACATTTTGTTTATTTATTTCATTTTAGGTGATGGCCGTGGCAAAGAACAGACAGAAGGCTTGCTGCGAATTGGTCGCACGTCTCGTCCGCGAAATTCACGCCTCCGCGTCCTAGGCAGCGACGGCGGGAAATAGTGATGGATGCTAAATTTAACAATAGTTAATTCACTTAAACTCGCAGTCACGACTCACTACGACATCAACTGTCCCAAAATTTACAGTATAAGCTTAGGCCATAAATACAACTAAATTATGTAAAATAAATTTCTCAAATAAAATAAAAACTAAACGTACACAATGATACGCAATAATAAAAACAAATACATAGAAGTAGATACAAAGTGGTAAAAAATAAAGCTAATATTGAAAGGATTTCGAATTAAAAACAATGGTTAACCAAATCTAGTCAAATTTTTGGTGTTTGCAGAGATAAAACAAATGCAATTTCGTAAAATTTTTAAAAAATAAACGTAAAACAACAGACCTTAGAACTATAACTATACGTAAAAGCGATTATCTCGAAACTGCATTAAAATGAAGCGGTTAGCATATTTATTGCCTGGCCTTTGCACTTTGTAAAATAATTTTAAAGTGCCGCCTGCCTACATTTGTATATATATATGTTTATATAAAGTTGTATGTACTTGTAAAATAGAAAGTACATAGGGATATGCGCACGTGTATATATGATACTTGGTATACTAAAAAGGCCTAATATGTAGAGTATGTTATAGGGTCTGTTTGTGCCGATTGCAAAAGCATTGCTAAGAAAATTTTCTTTGAGTGATTGTTTTTTGTGATATAGTGTTCAAGTCTATAAGGTTGCATTGTGCTCCTCTCTCCTAGAACAGCCCTCGCTCCTTCTTCAGTTTCGTTTGCTTCCAGATGGGCAGCTGCTCGAACTCCGCCCGGCTGCAGCCCAGTGCCAACTTGAAGTCATCACTGTTCAGGTAGACCTCCAGACGAGTGGGTTCCACGCCCTCGGGCAAGGGACGTGCCTTGAGCACCTCCAGCGGGTATTCGGTCTGGGTCATTTGTGCTAGCATTTCGCTAATGGTTACGGGGATATTTGTTCGACCATCCTAATAAATAATAAATATTTGTTAATAACTTTTATCGGACTACTATTCCACTGTTATACCTCTTCATTGATGTCGCGCACATCTGATCGATCTGTCCACTCGGGGAAGAGAGCCTTGAAGGCCACCGGTTCTAGACCGGCCCACACCACCTGTCCTCGGATGCCATGGAAGGGTTCTTTGTCGTTTTCGCCGTGCTTGGCACGCCAATAGTCGACGGCTGTTTCTAGGGCAGCACGTCGCTCTGAGATCCAGCGATTCACCCCAGCCCGGTTGTCGTTCGTGGGACTGCTACGTTCATCTGTATTTACTGAAGAAGGGAATATTATAAAAAAAACCCACTTAATCAGGATTAAATTTTACATACTTTTCACATCCTCCAAGGGCCACCAGCCCATCCAAAGCCATAGCACGTCGCCATCGTCCAAAAGGAAGCTGGTCGGTTGCCTGGCATTGTACAGTTGCTCTTGGCTGAAGGGATACGGACTCTGTAGTTCTTGGCAACGTAATGGATCAATCAATTCCATAGCTTTGAATACGCCCTGCGTACTGGAGAAATTGAAGATCCTTAGCTGGTAGTTGTAGGCCTTGGAGGACTCGATAAGACTGTCGTACTCCTTGCGCTGATCGCTTAATCCTACGGCCTTACGACACTCCTCTGTTTCGGAGCCCTCCTCCATCTCTGAAACGTTGACACCTTCGCAGCTGAAGAGGTCCTTGGGCTTTTCGGTGACGAGTTCCTTGGACGCTTCCAAGGCCAGAGATCGGGTGTGGGCAGCACTCTTAGATCCATGCCAGACGATTACACTTCCCTGACTTCCATGAATTAGAAGCATGGAGTTCCGGGAGCGCAACTGACTCGCCTGGCAGTCGACTTCTTTGAGGAGAGTTTCCTCTTTAACGTTGCCCTGCAGCTGATACAGTCGCCACTGGCTACGCCTTTCCAGGCAATCCTCCTTGCGTCCTCGATGCTGCCAAAGTTGGCGGAACAAGCGCACGAAGGCGGTGCACTCGTCTCCCTGAGACACCCGCATCTGAGCTCCCTTTTCCTTATCCAGCTCCACGGTCAGAAGAGCTGCAGCTCCCTTTTCGTTGGCACTGGACTGCCGGCCCTGCCAGGTGAAGTAGACACAGCGGTCACGTCCCACCGTGCTTCGGTTCGAGACCTTTCCACTCAGTTCCCGCACTGTCACCGAAATCTGGTAAATCCAGCGCACTATGTAGCTCTCAGCTGAGTAAAAATGCCCGTAATCCTCGCGAGCATTTTCCGAATCGAAGTTGAACTCGTGGATCTGCCACTTGTCTGTGGACTTTGTGATTACATCAAAGTGCCGCATGGTATCCGTATCATAGTAGAAATTGCCGCGACCCAGGTTGGCCTGTTCCAGGACCAGATTTGGTTCTTGGTAGGGTTCTCCCTTGAACAGAGCAGCTCCGTTAAGGGCACGCACTTCGTGGATTCCATTGGCGAGGTAATCTTTTTCCAAGTCCTCGCGCTCCAGCTCCGGCCAGTCGCTGAACTTCTCCTTAAATAGCACCGTTTCCATGTTCTGGGTGATCTTCCCGAGAATGCACCATTCCGGACGCTTGGCAGTTCTCTTGGCATACTTGGTGTTCTCACGACGACCCACAATGCAGGCATAGTTCAGTGGATTGAGGTAGCACTGGGCGTAGTCCGCGGAGTTTTCGGCACCAAAGTGTTCCTGCGCCAGTCGCATGGCCGCCCTCTTGGCGTCCGAGGGGGCGTTCTTGCCGTTCCAAACGTACAGCTCGCTGCCAAAGTCAAAGATGAGCACCTTGCGAGTGTCCAGCATGTCCACCTTGGGAATGCATCCCCAGAACTTGTCCAGTGGAATCAAGCCATCATCTTGGAACTCGTAGATCTTGTTCGTCTCGATCAGGCTGCTCTCGAACACGTCGTCCTCGTCGGCATGTCCGCAGTCGGCAATTTCCGACTTGTCGTCCTCCTTCTTCCCCAGGAGTTGCCAGAACTGGCGCCACTGCCTCTCGTTCACGTACTTCCCATCGGTGAGGATTACCTCCTGAGAGGCAGTGCAGCCCAGATCCTTGTTCTCCACAATGGCAGCGCAAATCTTCTTACTGCGCGAAATCTCAATCACGTTGGCGAAGGAGCCAACGTAGCGGAAAAGCTGGGGGCCAGCGACTAGGATGAAGCAATCTCCTCGGTTGAGGGAAGTGTGAACGGGCTCCACCAGACGGGTCTGGACATGAGTGCGTCCCTTAATGTGGAGCAGCATGACCGGCTTGTGGGGCAGCCACATCTGTTGCAGGGGGATGGACGAGGAGCGCAGGGCCACCGACTTGAAATCCTCAATGGAGGCCAGGCCTGCGATAGCCTCCGCGGCCAGGTTTGCGTTTTGGCCATCTGTTAGAAGGATAAAGACGGAATTAGTTCAAGTCTTAGGCGATGGAAGACATGACTTACATGACTCCAGCTTAAGGCGTCTGAGTTCACGCTCGGCTATTCCGGACTTTACTTCCGTGTATTCTGAGCTGATGTCCTCGCGGGCGGCCAAACTCTTGAGGGGATTGCGAGCAGCTCGGCGTCCCTTGGGTCCCTGCACGTTTCGCTTGCTCACCAAGCTGAAAGAAATTAGAAACCGAAACGAATTTTAGATTTGAATTTTAAAATCAGGCTGTTGGTTTTCCAAAAATTGTAGTTCTGGGAAGCCTTGTGGATAACTTACCGCTCCGTGGGCTTGATGTCGTCGAAGGAACTGATCTCAAGCTGCACGGTCTCCTCCTTCTTGGGCGCCGAGGCAAAGAAGTTCTCAAAGGTCTCCTTGTCGTCCAGACGAGGAACCAGAATCCTGGCCCCCACATTGGTGGGTGCCGCGGCGCTCTTGTTGTTGGCCAGCTCCTTGTTGTGCTTGGCGGTTTGTGGAGCACTTCGCTCCCCATCCGAGTCCGAGCTGCTGCTGTTGGAGCGGCTCAGGCTGGGCACCTCCTCCTCCGGGTTGACACTCAAGCTGCGCAGCGTGCTTTTGGTGCTAGCACTGCCCGTGGTGACCATCATGGAGGGGCTCTTGGCCAGGCCCAGCTGCGGCTGGTTGGCGCTGCGCACCTCCAGCATGGGGCACTTCTTGGCCACATCGTTGGGCGAGCGCTCGAACTGGAGCTCTACGGGGGACTGGGCCTTCTTCTGCAGCCGGCCAGCGACTGTGAACTTCTTGGCATCGGTTTGTTCTGCGGATGATGGGAGTTTTCAGTTGAAGTCACTGTTGTGGACTAAGGATGCCTTACCTATCCGCTGCTTCCAGTTTTCAGAGTTGCACTTGAGTTGGCTGAGGCGGTCGGATACCTTGCCGCCCTCCAGGCTAGTGGGTATAAGCGGGGATGGGGGCAGCGGCTTGTCCGACAGCGAGTGGGCCAAAGAGAGCGATTCCTGAAAGAGATACAGATACAGTGTATTTTAGTATTCGGTTTCAAGATGATCTCCAAAACAAGAAAGGAAAGCTAACTTCGGGCGGAGCCGAAGTTTATATACCCTTGCAGTTAAAACCGGATATATATCGCAAACATCAGATATAGTTGGCCGATCCTTATGAAAATATGATAATATAACCCAATTTAATATAATACAAAAACCAAACCTAAAAATATCCCAAACTTCTATCTTCAAAAACACAAAAGTTGGGGAATTTCCGATCGTTCAGTTATATGGCAGCTATAGGATATAGTCGGCCGATCCTAATGAAATTTGGTACGTTAGATCAACGGACCAAAAATAGAATCTGTATTAAATTTCAGCTTTCTATCTTCAAAAACACAAAAGTTGAGTAATTTCCGATCGTTCAGTTATATGGCAGCTATAGGATATAGTCGGCCGATTCTAATGAAATTTGGCATGTCGTAATGTTTTGCCAAAAATAGCTCTCAAATCAAATTTGAAGCTAGTGTCAAATTTGAACTCTCTAACTCTAAAAACACCAAAGTTATACCATTTCCGATCAATCAGTTATATGGCAGCTATAGGATATAGTCGGCCGATCCTGGCCGTTCCGACTTATATACTGCGTGCAAAGGAAAGAAGGATGTGTGCAAAGTTTCAAGACGATAGCTTTTAAACTGAGAGACTAGTTCGCGTAGAAACGGACAGACAGACAGACGGACAGACGGACATGCTCATATCAACTCAGGAGGTGATCCTGATCAAGAATATATATACTTTATAGGGTCGGAGATGTCTCCTTCACTGCGTTGCACACTTTTGACCAAAATTATAATACCCTCTGCAAGGGTATAATGAATATTCATATTTGTCCCAAAGTAGAGGAGACAATCGTGATTACGTTCACTTTCCAAAGACTGAACCACCCATAAAGAAATTAACAAATTTTAATAGCCACAAATATGGTCAACAATCGCGGCCTTATCGAGTGGCCGGCCTCACCGCTGGGTTGTTCCCATGAGTCAGCCACCTGCTACCACCACTTCTAGCTATAATCCCAATAAAAGGTTTGTTTAAGGAAAAAGCTTTTACCAGTTTTACTTTTTCCATTCCAGCCACTGCCACCGACTTTGCCTTTAATTTTGTTTACTTTTTTCCAGCGATGGGCGCACCTTGAAAACAGCCTCAGTGCCAAGTACGCTCCTCCATTAGTGACCCGCGGATTGATGCGCAAAAAGACCAACTGCGAGCACAATGCCAATTCGGTGACTGCCAATCGCCGTTTGGCTAATTGCCCGCCCCGACCGAAGCTCTGGGGCTCGAGAGCTTCAGTTTGAGACAGTGCCAGTCATACGATTAGATAAGGGGAGCTGCACAGAAAAATAATTCCACACCAAACACTACCAAGTAGATCTAGTGCCTCTGATGCGTTTCTTTCAGTGTGTTGGGTAGTAGTTCGATAGGGAGATATGGTATGCCTATTCGTCTTTATAGGGTGTGGTCTCCTGTTGGCTTTGTTTACGTTCGAAAAGTGTCAAGGCATAATTAATCTTATCTTTCATTTATTCATTGAAGAGAACCAAACAATCTTTGTTAATTTTATTGTAAATAATATTTATTAGCTTGCATTATGCAATTTTAGATGCTCATTTCAGTCTTTTATTAAAAATCAGGGCTCTCCAAACAGATAAACATATGTAGAGTAGTCCCAACCTTGACGAACTCAGCTCACTCCCCTTTCCATACACTTCTCTCGAATTTCCGAGTGTGTCATCCAAAACAGACCATGAATCATCCAATATAAATTGATAAAGCACATAAAGACCTGGTATAAAGAGCTAATGGGGCGCGGAAGAGAGTGTGCCACGGCAGTTTCCTTAACCGAGATGGGACTCCAAACTGAGAACTCTAAAGACAAAAGCCACTTTACCTGAAAACCCAAAACCAACATCACCAAAAAAGAGTATGACGCCACAGAATCTCAGCAAATAAATGCCAATTTATAATATTTTATTGCCAGTTTGTTGTTTCCACTATTTGCCTATTTGCGTCACTTTATTTACATTTGTACTGAAAATGCTAAAATTAGCATATAGTTTTGAGGAATTTGGTTATTATTTTGGGCCACTAATCCACTCCAAGTTCAATAGCAGACATGGCCATGGAAGTATTAATGGATATGGGTGCTTTTTATTAATCAGCACTTGTTGGGAAGTAGTCTTTCCTTTCAGTGATAAGCCTATATCTTCATTGTTGGCTGGTCAGTTGCAGTCTCCAGAGTTCCAGAGTTGAGTGGCCAGCGAAGAATGCAAAGCCCAGGCCTTTCACTGCCGGGTGGACGGATCTTCCAGCTCAGCAAGTGGTCGCTCCATCAAATCAATCAAAAAAAAAAAACACATCACAATGATTTTGCGGCGAATCTCTCTACCCCATATTCCAATTTATAATTAATGATCGCTGCAGAGACTTGATTTGCGTCAATTTATTTGACAAATTGAGTTTGCGGCCAAGACGCGCTTCGATGATTACGAAATGTGTAAACTTTTAAGAGACTTTTACCTTAGAAACCACTAGAGAAATATTCAGCAGCTGTATCGTGGGGATAGAAATGAAGACTACTGACAGCTGTGCATACTAGCTATGCAATTAATGGGTTCTGTTTTTACGAATATGTATATATTGAGGTTTATTTCTTATATTTTGTAGTGTGTTTGTGTTGCATTTGATACAATTTCATAGATCTAACAATAATATTAATACTACAAATTCACAATTTTCATATTATACTCTCTATCAGTTGATTAGTTTAGCAGTACGGTTCGCATGATGAAACAAACAAAGAAACATTTACACAATTACTACACTAAGTACGGCCAACTAAGTGAGCTTTCTTTACTTTGATTTGCTTAAAACATCCGTCGTTTAAACAAACAAAATGCAGGGGAAACCATCAGAGAATGGCACTTTCAGGGACTTCCATCTAACATATAGACTCGTTGAGGAATACCGATTCATCCACCGAGGAGGACTGCTCTTCGTTGAGCAGATCGGTGATGGAGTAGGCGGAGAGTGTCCGAGAGAACCGCCTTTCCGAGAGGATCTCATCGATGCTGGTCACTGGCGACAAGCAGTTGAGGTTGCGTGGCTCCTCCGGCTCCTCGGCGCTCCTGGCAATCACCTGAAATATATCCTCCATACTGGTCTGGAGGCACAGGGATGGAGGCTTCCTCAGGAGAACCGGCGATGAGGGTTCTGCTTCGGGGGAACTGGATAGCGGCGATGCGGTTGAGGGAGTGGCCGAGGTGCCCCTCGTACGCCTGGCCACCGGCACAGCCATCGGCTCCCAGTCGCTGTGCGAAGAAGTCGTCTTCTTGGTGCCCGGCTCCTCCTCCAGCTCCTGCCAGAGGTGCATTGACTGCTCGATGTGCTGCAGCTGGGCACTGAGCTGGCTGGCAATGCTCGGCTTCCTGGAGGCGCAGGGTGTCGAGTCGCGGGAGTCGTCGCTGGCCCCGAACATCCGGATCTCAGGCAGCCGGATCTCAGGGGCCACCCTGCTCACCTGCCGCGTGTTTCCCGACTCGAACATTCGCGCAATCTTGGTGACATTACTCCTCTTCACGGGCGCTGGAACCGGCGGCGCTAATTCCTCCTTCGCCTGGACTTGCTGCCTTTTAGGGTAGACCCTGGTAACTGGTTTTCTCGCCTTGGGCTTGACCTTTCCGGAGGCCTGCTCCTGGGCCAGGACATGGCAGCACAGCTCCGGGCCGTAGCAGCGATGGTAGTGGTTCCTGTGGGCCTCGTAGTCCGCGTCCGCAAAGCGCTTCATCCTCACCAGGGACTTGGGCACTAGGGTGAGGACTACGTAGGCGACCAGCAGGTATGGCAGCCACTCGGCCCACTCCCTGGCCGTGTCCAAGTAGTCCATATAGTCCGCCATGCTGGCCATGACACTCTCACTTGGCAATATTAACTTTTATTATGCCTCTCCACTGATATCGTTTTTGCAGTTTCTGATAAAGGGTAATGGTCTATTATGACATCACTCGCACTGTTATTGGAGGAGTATTATTATGGGTTTTATTGATTTGAAAGAACGGAAAACATTGCAAAATATTAAAGCTCTAATTAATGGCTATTTATTTTGCAATGTTTTCCATTAATTTTACAACTGGCATTCGCTGTTGGAAAGGTACCAAGTCCATAGTTCATTTAATATTTCATATATTTTGTTGCTAAAAGTTCACTTGTACTGATCTCCCACTGCACTGCATCCTTTCGCACCTTTCTAGACAAGAGTTGGCCTCCGTTTGGCGTTTCACATTACTCTTAATATTTTAAAAGCCTTTATTTATAGTTTAGTGACCATAACGCTTTATTTATTTGCTTTTATTTTTGCAAATATTTTGTGGGGGGGATCGTTGTTTCGGTTTCAGTTTTCGGTTTTCAGTTTTCGGCTTTCGGCGCCTTTTGTATTCCGTTGCGCCTCGCGGTCGTTCTCTTTTTGAAACCAAGTGCCGACGACGCCAGCGAAGCAGCCGATCTGGGCCCCAAAACTTGACGAAAGCGAATCACAGAGGCACAGTGGGTCGCATGCTTGGGGTTTTTGGTTAAAAATGATTTCTCTTTTTTCTCTTTTTATTTTAAAAACATAATTTTTGTAGTTTTATTCTTCTGGCTCTGTCTTCTTTAGGGATATAAAGATACTTTCTTCTACTGGCACTCCCCTTAAGCCTCTTATTTCAGGAAGACAGCTCCCTGCTGGGGCTTTGGGAGTCTCTTTCGTTGAGTTGGATGGCCTCTCTCTTCTCTCCAGCCTGCCGCACTTGCGCAGAATTCTTTTTCGCAATCTGAAGATGCCTTTATTCTTCTCCTTGGGTCAAGCTCAAGAAAGAGAGTTGGAAGAAGGGCCACTCGACCCTTTGGCCATCCTTTGTCTGGCCTCACTCCTCTACCTCCATCTCCATTACGAGGTATGTATATTTGCCTTGTTTATCAGACTCTGGCGACATATGCAAACAGCTCACGTAGGTAAACAAACCCAATTTAGAACGAGAGCATCACGAACAGCCCCAACAACCGATGTCGCTTTGTGATTTATGGGAATTTGTTGCTAATTGTTGATTTTCCGCCCCTAGAATTTGTGTCATCTTTCTGTAAGTTGCACATCATAATATAGTATTTATGAGTGTATTTTTGCGTGGGTTTATTTCTCTATAGATTCTCTAAGATTTGTAATGGCCAGAAGATTGCGGTCACTTTTAAGATTTCATTTCTTCAAAAATCTATTTTGACAGTCGCCTCTCGAGAAAGCTTCACATGGTGGGTGGGTGGTGGCTGACAGCTGACAGCCAGTGGGAGGTCAGCCTTGAAACACTTTCTTGTGGCGATTATTTTTTATTAAATTATTCCAATTCCAATTCACTTTTCACTTTTTTTTAATGCCATCGGCGAATGCCAGACATATACAAAATAAAGACACTAATATACACCAACTGTCTTCCTGCTGGGGCACAGTTTATGCAACTCAGGAAACCACTTGGCATCACTTTTTATGCAACTCGCCTCTAGTTTTAGTTTCAGTCTCAGTCTCAGTCTCAGCTTATCAATTTTAATGTCAATTGAAGCCGGCAGAGATGGCAGAGTCGAGTAATAATGCAAAACAATAACAATAACCCGCCACTAAAGCCAGACTTGGGTGTGGCGCAGCAGCGAGTGGTGCGATCCGCATGCCTTAGAGTCGCGACTGGGACTGCATCGAGTCGGTCGGCTGGCGAGATCCCAGAGCCGGCTTGGCATCGGGAAGCGTACTCGGGAGAGCGAACTGCACTCGGCGAAAAGAGGAAGTGTTTTCAAAGCCATCTACGGTTTGCAAAACTAAATTAGTTTATTTTAAATGCATTTGGATATTGTAGGCTTTTTAGAGAAAAGATACTCTGAGGTCAGTGCCCCAGCGAGGATGCCACAGTCTGGCAGTCATCTGCCAAAGTTCGAGTGACTCACCAGCCAAAAACGCAGCCAAGGAGGCCCAACTAACTAAAAATAAACCAATGCAGGTTCGACAATGATGTAATGGTCTAAAAATTCAATAGCACCGATGGCACCAGAAGATCGGATCTTCAGAGAAAGAGAGCCAACGGAACTAGACGACACGCCACCTTATCTTTTCGAAAATTAATGAATCACACACAGAAGCAATAAAAATAATCAGCAATAAGCAGGCAGGCCAGGCCAGGCAGGCTGGCAGGCCATTCCGAATGCTTGCAGCTTGTAGATACAAACGGCCAGATACAGATACATTCGCGGACACAGATACAGATACATGGGCAGATAAAAGAAGAGACCCGAGAGGGCAGCAGTTGATTTTAGAAGTTTATAAAAAAAAAAATAAATAAGAAAAGAAAACAAGGGCATGGACTAATGAACAAGTACAGCAGCAGCCGCAACATCATCCCAACCATCCCAACAACAACAATGATAATGAAGTTGAGGTCGGAACGCGCCACAAGAAACTGCAAGTATATCAAATTTACAAAACAATTTACAACAGAAGGCAGAAGGAAAACGAGCTGCCAGCCAACCAGGCCTGCTGGCTACGAGCTGGGGAGATGAGCACGTTCAAGATCGAGACAGAGATCAAATGGTGGGCCCTTAAACAAGAAATAATAGCATATAGTAAGCTGGCTGGGTTCTAAAAACTGGCTGGCTCGGCCCACGACGACAGGGGCAGGTTTAGAAAATTATGGCCAAATGCAAGTTGGCAGCCTGGATGCTCTCCTGGTCCTCTGAGAGATGGGTTCTGTACACCATCCAGTTCAAGTCCAAGCCATTGTTATGTGCCTTTTGCGATCATGGCCTGATAAATTGTACTAAATTGCTGGATTTCTCTTTCCAGAGTGACACACGCCGGGGACCCAGAAGGGCTTAACCATCAGAGCAGAGAAAAATGGGTCGCCCAGAACTCTAGCGGGGGCTGGAGAATAGAAATCCATCTTAATTTTAAATAAATTGTTGTGTAATGGGCGTCAAGTGTCGTGTGGCGGAAAATGAGGGTACCGTACCAGATCTTGCGAGGTGACTCTATAAGAAATCTGATGAACTCCATGTTTACATCAAACATCAACATCAATGTTATTTTACTTGGAACTGTTTAGAATCTAAACTTGAGATAGGAAAGAGCTTCACGGAATGGAAAGCCAGTGCCAGGCAGCTTGTAATTTTCCAACAAAAGCCATAAACTGAAAACTGAAACAGCAACAGCTGTGGCAACAATAACGAAAGCGACAGCACTTCCAAACTAATTTGACTCGGGATCTGGGCGGGGGATTGGCTTCTGGAACTAGCTCAGAAGTCAGAAGATCGGGTCAGAAGATGCCTCTGACATGATTTCCTCAAAGTTCTTTCTTCCAGCACAGATCCACGAAGCCATCTCTGACAGATGACGGGCGTTGCAACTAATTAAATGTGATTAGGGGGGGAGGTGTGGACTACCCGCATAATTAGTAGCCAGAAGTAATCGTTTAATTGGAAACGAAAGAAAAGGGGCGCGACAGCGGAAAGAGTTCACTAAACTTTCACGCCCAGCACCGGACTAACTGACTAAGTGGCAATGGCACGGAGCCACGAGCGGAGTGGTCATGTCCATAAATATTGGCCAAGAGCAAGCAACACTTTCGGGCAGGTGAAATTAGCTACCAAACCTGCACTTCCTCTTCACCAATCAAGGTTTTCGATTTCGTTTGGGCTAGTCGTTAAAAAGAAACGCACTCGTTAGATGGCGCCACAACATGCGAGGCCCAAAAGTATGCAATATATATATTTGATGTTTGTAGAATTTGTGTAAAATAAGTGGATTTTTGATAAAAAATTAAAAAATTGGAATAAAATATATAAATTAAAGGTAACTTCTATGTCTTTTAGTTAAATAAATGTTTTATTTTATTTTATAAACGTACCCTCATCTATCACTAGCAGTATTAGTCATTCTTTACCTCAAATAGCCTTACTTTTTAAATATTTCCCTTACTACTTCAAGAATATTGGGATTATGTTATAAAATATTTATAATATAAACACAGATTAGAGGCCTAAGAATCTTTGCACTTCCCAGAATTATAAACAAGCCACTTTATCTCTAATATAGCCGCTCCAAGGCTCCTATCCCGCGGAAAAAACCACATCTCACCTCCCCCACCAGGTACCGAGAGTGCGTTCAGGTATCACTTGCACTTTTCGCATTATTATGTCATTGCCGCCAGGTTTCACGCTCGCCCGCCACTCTCGATCGGCAAACAACATTTCTGAGGCATTGCAGAAATAACAGAAAAGCGCAACAATAACGATAAACAAAACGATTAGCAATAAGGAAGCGATTTGAACGCAACACCACCAAGATGATGGTGGTGGTGCATGCTCCACCGCTTAACCCAACGGCCAAACGGTAACGCATGTTTGTATTTCAGATCGTCCACCAGACACCAGGTATTACTGCGGAGTGGTACTCACGTTTACAAAGTTTTCGCGGCGCACATCGTCGACCTCGTCGCGCTTCGAGATTCGCTTCTTCCAGTCATCCTCGCCGCTCTTCTGCAGGGCCGCCAAGCGCTCCGCGATCGAGCCGGTCTTGGCGATCGAACGCTGATCCGGGCCCATGACCTGGTTTAGTGGGGATTGGGTTGAAATGTCATTCAGAGATACACATTCAGATCTTATTTTTTGAAGTAAAACTCACCTCAGTCTCTTCTGATGAATGTTGGGCTTCTTGCAAGGATTGAGAAGCGTCTGCGGGATCCTGATCCTTGGACTTCTCTGGCGTATTCTTGGCTGATGATGTGCTGCTACTGCTACTGGTGGTGGTGTTGTCAGCCTCCTTGGCTACATGACGCAACTTCACAAATCCACTGGCTCCAATGGGGGGCAGCTGGGGACCAAGGCCGATGCCGGATGATATGGCCGAGTGACTTTTGCTTTTCGCAACGGTGTTGCTGCAATAGAAAATAAAATGATAAGCTGGTGAATCATTCGCATAAGGTGCGTATCTGCGAGATACAAATGCACTGCATGGGCAGTTCAGTTCGTTCCCATTTCCACATCTCCAACCTCCCCATTATAGGAAACTCGTGACTTGGAATTTTCCCGGCCACTAATGAGAGTTGGGGACTTTTCCGTTCTTCTTTGAAGAGAATGACCAGGAAGAGGTCTACTCTATGAGGTCCAAACTTTCTCCTTTAATGGGAGACTGGCTGGGGGTTCTCGATAAGACAAGGTCTCAGTTTCCTGCCACCCTGCTTGTAGAGATCGAGGTGGCTTATTCACAAAAGTTTACCCAGAAGACGGCGATTATTAGTCAGCCGGGAACTCGTTTGGATGTTGGATCGAGAACACCACTCACCACTGTCTCTGCCTCTGGGAGGGAAGTCTGGTCCAGATGCTAAAGGTGGACTGCACGCGGCGAGCGAACAAAGACGAATGAGCTCCGATTCGGCGAAAAAAATGGAAATAAAGGCCAATACCAGCATGGCCAGGTCCAGAAGATACCTATCCTAGGCCGAAGCAGGAGCTTAGTACCTGTCGAAGTGGCAGGTAAGCAAACACACCGCTGACAGCCAAATTGCATATTAATTTGGGAAATGCTTTCAAGGGAAACTGTGGGCCGGCCAGGTGTACGAGATTTTAGGTTCTACCTGGAGGAGAGGTTCAGACCAGCTGTCTAAGAATTTCAGAATTTAATGGAATATTACGAGAAACTGCAAACAAATACAGGACATTGGTGAATGGATTTTGGAGTGGGAGGAAGGCAGACCCCCAAAGGTCAAAGGCGAGACACGCGATTGGACGTCAGCAGGGACCCTGCCCTAGACTTCCTCGATGGCTGATGATTCTAATGCACTAATTGCCCTTTGGAAACCGTTTAGCAAGCAATTAGTTAGAGTGCCAAAGCTTATGGGTGCGGCATAAGCTCGTGGCCAGCACCACTCCCACAATAAAAGCCAATAAACGGTGGCCAGCAGAGAGGACTAGAGGACTATAATTATAAGCCATTCCAAGGATCGTTGATCGCTTCTTTCGGCTCTGGAGGGGGGGCACATTTTGTAATTCAATTACCCAGTACCCAGCACCCAGACCCAGTCTCAGTGAGGTAATTAAATTTTTTCGCCATCCAAAGTGAATGGAGAAAGACTAAGAGTGATCACGCCATCTCTATAGCTATAGCTATAGCTTTAGTTGTGGAGCTCCGACTAAGAGGCCTTAATGATATAACAAAATGAATTGTTTTATAAACTATTTGCCGCGGCATAAATAATTGCACGCCACAGAGAGCTGGTGTGGATCTTCTGTTTATGAGCCCGTCACGTCAAACTAATGAAGCTGTAAGTGCTCCCAGGTTCCACTCGAGGTGTTGAAAATTTATGCAGAAATACGAGATGATTATGCGGAGAATACTCGCTGCTACTTCTCTGGCCAGTCAGGGGTACTTGTATATATGAAGAGAAATACAATAAATCAACGTCCCTGGGTTTAAGCGGTTTCGAACAAGGTTAACTATAAAACATTTATAATAATAACATCTGATCTGAAAACAACACATATATTTCCAACAGAAGCTTCAGACCGCAAATGAAATAGGTACTTAATATGAGACTGATATCTAATGGCTAGAATAGCAGACACTTTACAAAAAAGACTATATACCTTTCTAAATCAAACTAGAAAGACCTCCAATAAATTCCCCAAAGGTATACCCCTTATTTCCAAGTGCAAGTGTCCAAATACCTCCCCTGATATGTCAGCTATTTCTCAAGTCATCCACCAGGTAAGCAGAAATTCGCTTATGTAATATATGCTTATTGTGCCAGAAAGCGAAATCATATAGAGTGTTGAGCTTCAAAAGCTAATGAACATTTCAGACTCGGACTGGATCTCTGGGGGATTCAAGTTCGCTCGCCTTTGACTTTCCCACGCAGTGTTTTTCCGCTTCAGGGGCTCAGGGAAGAGGTTGCCCTGGAGGGCGGAGGATGGTAATGACGTTAAATTACAACGTCAACATGGGCCTACAGCGTGTCTCAGAGTCTCTTTTGTTTTTCAGCCACTTGGCTCTTGTCTCTCTTGTCGGGCCATTCGAGCCAACATAGCAATAGTTTCGACGGGGTTACAAGGTAAAAATTTCACCTTTAAGATCAAGGTTTGAGAGCGATTCAGTGACCTATGAGGTGGAAGATTTCTAAACCGAATTATGTTTAGAAACATCATGAGTTTGGCAACCATGTTGCGGAACTTTCCTCATCAGCTGACTTACAGACCGGCGCAGTATCCTTGGCACGTGCTGTCTGGTGGATTACACCCCCCAGTGAGTAAGCAGGACTCCCAGACACGCTTGCCGGTTGCCGGGGGTAACCGACTGCGTCAAAACAAACCCAGCTTTGTCCGGGAGTCGATGGCCAAAAAAAGTTCTGCCCCGGGGGTGGTGAACTCTGCGAGGGATGAGCCAGCTGGTCTGGTGTGTGGGTGTCTGGGAGGCGCCGACAGATGGCAGTAGAGTGACTGGCTGGAACTGCAGCGGAAGCAGGAAACATGCGTTTTTTTTTGGCAAACCAAACAAAGAGCCAAACTCTAGATGGCTGGAGAGGTGGATGAGTCTTGGATGCAGCCATCTCCGAGGAGGTGGGTTTGCCTTTCGGTTGGCTGGCTACGTGCCTGTCACGGGTTTCCCCAATTAGGGGGGTTGGGCGTACCTAGTATTGATTGAGTTTTCCCTGCCCCCCCTAACTACCAGCCCCAACCCGCATTGAATTCTTCCGCTTTCAGGTTCAGTTCCCCTGGGAATATCGTGAGTCAACGATTTCTTGCCGGCTTTTATGCTTTTCTTTTCTTTGTTACTTTTGTATCTATGTATCGGTCAGATACAACGAAGACACTCCCGTTTACCGTTCTTGTGGCGTCATCGACTCTCATGCCTTTCCCGCTTTTTGACATTTTTGGTATCTTGTTTTGGTTTTTCGGCCAGGCCCAGACCCAGAGCCAGAGACACTGGCTTGGAGAACAAGTGCGGATGTCATTCGAGTACCTTAATTGACCGCGAAGGGAATGTACTCGTTGTCTCCAGTACTTCGGCTCCCTCTTCTAGTTGGCTGGGGCAACTACCTTTTCAACTCCAATGAACTCTGCCGTCAAGTTCAACGAGTTGGCTCAGCAGAACTGGAGTCAGTCCATTCAACTGAGGAACGTCACTCGCAAAAATGGTTATTATTTAAAGAAAACGATGATAATAAACAGACTTAGTAGATTTGCTTTCCTGCTTTTATTTAAAATTAAAGTCGGGAATCTATTTGTTTGTTTGTTTTTAAGGGCAGGTTCGGGGTCTAGCCTCGCTTCGATTGTCGCAGCTGTGTTGTCTAGAATCTAGACTTTAGAGGGTTATTGTGGCTATAAGGGGACCAGGGGACATATATGATTCGAGTATTGAGTATTAAAAAATATTTTTAATTACCCTGTACAATTACTAGATACTTACTATTACAAGTCGCACTTTGGCTACTTAATACCAGCTGTCTTTTGATGGGCTTTTGATGGAATAATTAAAAAACGAGCTGCATTTTTATTATCAGCTATATATATTGTCAAACTACAGTGATCGATAAGTTAAAAGACCATTTCAAAAGTGGATTTAATTTAATATTTTTCACCAAGGCACTCAAGTTACTCATCAGAGGCTATATATACCTCGAAACTCTAATTTCGCTATATTTCCACCCAACTAGGAGCCTTTTTCGAGGCTGTACTGTATTTATATACATCCTACCACCTACCACCACCCCTCCCGCTAGCCATTGACGACCTTAAAATTTGTTAGAATTAAACGCTCACTTAATTCGCAATGCAAGCCATGAATAGCGAGACCTGAGAGCTGCAACTTCCAATAGTTTGAAACTTTTCAGTTTCAAAAACAGGTTCCCCGCCGAGAGCTTCCACTCTCAGAGCACGAGCCCCAAGTGAAGCCCCATTCTATATGGTATCAGTGCGCAATATATATAGTTTTTTTGAAACCGAAATCGCGCTTGGCTGGTCAAGCGGGCGGCTATCGGAGCTGGTGCCCGCCAGTTGAGCGACAAAAGCGGCGGCGACAACAACGCCGAAAGTGAATCTTTAAACAGCCCACAGCCTTAATCGCCAGGGAAGTTCGTGAAAAACCCAACAACAACGACAACAACATGTTGCTGACCCTGATAGCTGGCACTCTGATCTTGCTCCTGACCTGGGACTTTGCCCGCAAGCGCCAGCGCGTTGCCACATTGGAGAGTTCCAAGATCACGGGGCCGCTGTCGCTGCCGATCCTCGGCTGTGGCCTGCAAGCCCTCCACCTGGGGGCCGAGAGTGAGTCCTTCGGAGAGAAGCCCTCCTTCCGATCTTGTCTCATGACCTACAACCTTTGCAGACATCATCCAGTGGGTGGGGGAGCAGTTTGAGCGGTATGGCAAGACCTTTCGGATGTGGGTACTCGGGGAGTCCCTGATCTACACCAAGGACCTCCGGCAGTTTGAACACATCCTGGGCAGTACCACCCTGCTGGAGAAGGGGCAGCTGTACAAGTTCCTGCGACCCTTCCTCAACGACGGCCTGCTCCTCAGCACGGGCAGGAAGTGGCACTCGCGGCGGAAGGCCTTCACCCACGCCTTCCACTTCACCGTCCTGGAGCACTACGTGGAGATCATGGACCGGAGCAGTGGGATAATGGTGGAGAAGCTCCGCCCAGTGGCGGATGGGAAGACACCGGTGGACATGCTCAAGTTCGTGTCCTTGGCGGCGCTGGATGTGATCACAGGTGAGGTGCTTAGCTAGGGGGTGAGCCGGGTCAGGTGAGCGTCTTACTAAGCGGTGCTAATGGAATAGACTCTGCCCTCCATCCAACAACTACTAAGTTTTGAAAATCTCCACCCTTTAGAGGCTGCCATGGGCGTGCAGGTGAATGCCCAAAACGACCCCGACTTCCCCTACATCAAGGCGCTCAAGAGGTGGGTCATATCACCCTCCTGTGAACCACTTAACCCTCTCCCAACTTCCTTCCAGTGTGGTCTACATCCAGCCCAATCGGATGCTCAAGTTCTCGCAGCGCTTCGACTGGCTGTTTCCCCTGGCGGCGCCCCTGCTCTATCGGAAGCTGCTGGACGACATCCGCGTCATGCACCACTTCACCGACAAGGTCATCCGGGAGAGGCGATCCACTGTGGAGCGGGCGATAGCCGACGGCAGCTACAGGCCACTGAGTAGGTGAACCACAACCATAAATACTACCACAACTAACTCTCTTTCTTGGTGATAGGTCTGGGTGATGCGGAGATCGGGCGTAAGTCGCAGATGGCTCTGCTGGACATCCTCCTGCAGGTCTCCATTAACGGCGAGTCCCTGACGGACGCCGACATCCGCGAGGAGGTGGACACGTTTATGTTCGAGGGCGACGACACCACCAGCAGCGGGGTATCCCACGCCCTGTACGCCATCGCCCGCCACCCGGAGGTGCAGCAGCGCATCTACGAGGAGTTGCTGGACGTCCTGGGTCCGGACCCCGAGTCTCCGGTCACCCAGGCCCTGCTGCAGAACCTCAAGTACCTGGACTGCGTCATCAAGGAGACCATGCGCCTCTATCCGGCCGTGCCCGCCATCGGCAGACACACCCAGCGGGAGATCAAGGTCGGCGAGCAGACAATCCCGGCCGACACGAGCATCTACCTGGTGCTCTACTTCGCCCACCGGGATCCGGACCACTTTCCCGATCCCCTGAGCTTCAAGCCCGAGCGCTTCCTGGAGGGGCAGGAGGAGGCCCACGAGACCTTCGCCTATGTGCCCTTCAGCGCCGGGCCGAAGAACTGCATCGGCCAGAAGTTTGCCGTCCTCGAGATGAAGGCGATGATCAGCAAGGTGCTGAGGAGCTACGAGCTGCTACCCCTGGGCGAGGACCTAAAGCCCATGATGAACTTTATTCTGCGCTCCTCTTCGGGCATCAATGTGGGGTTGAGGCCGAGGGTTTGATAAGAGGGGGGTTCTATCCTCCACTAGGTTTTAGGGGTTTGGGTTCGGGAATGGTCGTGATATATTACTTAAGAGCTTATATTGTAGTTTAGGAATAAAGTCTTCAGAATCAGAATTACTCACTTGTTACAATCGGACGCGGCGCACTGCGACTCACCCGCCTGACTCGAGCTCCTCGAAAGTTGGACAAATATTTGCCAAGATCGTATAATTAGGCCCCCAAACAAGAGCTATTTGAGTAGCGGATGAGCGTGGCGCGCCATAAACTATTCCCAGTATTTGTTTTCGGCAAACATTTATGCTTGCTACTCGGACAGGCCGACTTCACACCGGTTATTACGGCAATTTAATTTAATTTATTGACGTCACTTGCAGGGGGAGATGCAATTGGGGGAGTCACTCATTTCTCGGAAATGGAGCATCCAAGGCGATCCTAATTCAATCACTCCAACCGGCCGGATCTAGGGCTTATCTGTGGTGCTCTGTTGGTCCAAGAGATAATGCGCCAAGCCGATAGAAAGATTTTGCAAAACCAGCTAGCAGATACCAAATCTCTTATCAGATATCGCGAAAGGAAATAACATAACAGGCTTATCGTCCCGTGCCTGTCAGCCGCATCGGCCGGATTCGCATATAAAAGGCCATCCCAGCCAGACAGAATGCGTCAAAAGTGTATCCATCTCAGAGTCTAGAGACTAGAGACTAGAGCATCTCCTCCGCAATGTCCGCCCTGAAAATGTCAGTCTTTGTCGCGATCGCAATCGCCCTACTGGGTCTAGCCACGTCTGGTGAGGCCATCAGCCGGCCCCTGCCTCCCTACGTGGGCCTGCCCAGCCAGGACAGCCTCACGCACCTGTTCCTGACCTCGCGGGTTACGCGTCGCGATCCCTTCGCCTCGGTGGCCTGTTTCGGCGGCTACATCGGCGAGTCCAACACCATAACGGAGCTCTACAGTGGCGACTACAGCGGCTGCGCCAAACAGGCCGCGGACTCGCGTCATGGCATCGACACCGACTTCCTGCCCACGCGCCGGAGCATCGAGAGGAGTGGCGAGCGCGTCTGCCAGGAGCTGAGGGCATGCAACACGATCAACGGCACCCTCGACTCCCTCAACTGCCACGCCAATGTGGTGAGTCTCTGGAGGGTCGGCAAGGAGTGGAAAACTAACCCTTCTCCTTTCAGGGCTCCAACAACACGGTCTCCACCTACAGCATCTCCGGCAACGCCACAGAGTCGGCCAGCATTCTGCAGGAGCGCTACCGGGTGGTGGACCTCCATCACGAGCAGTGCGTCCGCAAGGCGGAGCGTCGCTATGTGGAGTCCACGGCCAGGAACTACAACTACCTGCAGGCCTGCCTGGATGGACGGGCGAAGCCGAAGCCCATGCCCACCAGTACCAGTACGAGTACTACCACGACCACAACCACCACCACCACCACAGAGGCTCCCGCAACAGAGGCGCCCACCACCACCGACAGTCCCTTGAACATGGAGGATCAGTTCAAGCAGCTCCTAAACTTGTTGAACTAGTCACGGGGGTCAGGGAGAACCACTTTCTAGGGGAAGGGTTTCCGAATTAAACAACTACTTGGAAAACGAGAAAACAAAGCCTGGTCTTCCACTCATTTGTTAGCTCTCCTCCACCACTCGATGACCCTATCTCCCCCATCATCTGGAGGTGTGTCCACACCTCTTATCGGAAACACTTTTGATTAATGAATAGTTTTAGGAGACCATTCTGATAAAAAAAATGGCATGAAAACTTTGAAGAAATGGCAGCAGGAATCTTGAGGAGATTGGAGAGGCAGCCAGAATGGTAATACCTCCATTTAGGGCACAAAGCAGAAGACTATCTGCTTGAACACGTTTGGCTTTTATGGCTGTGGTGGCTTTGGCTTTGTTTCTTCTGGCGGTGGCGGCTTTTCTATTCGAATGTCTCTGACCATTTTGGACGACGACTAGGGCCGCCGAGAACCTGAAAGCGGCGGAAAACAAAGACCACTTGGACCAGAGACGAACACCTGTTGGGTCCACAGCAAGGCCTAGACTGTGGCTTATTTATTGGCACAATTGGCGTGCCGTTGGACAAGTTTCTACAGCCGAGGCAGCGTAGGCAGGGGAGTATGTGCCATTCCAGGAATGCGTCGAGAACCTGCCACTGAAGTCTGGCCGGAGGAAGGGGTGGGGCTTCTAATTACAATGCCACTTGCAGGTCTGTGAGGTTCTTATAAGGTGTGGCAGATAAAAAGACGTGATTGCAACAGGCCACTAATAATTTCGAATAAAAATTCAACTGATTGGCAGGCTACTTGAGTCACTCGACGAAGACCTTGCTATAAAGTCAGTGATTATGTGAGGTTTTTTGAGAACTATATATATTCCTAACCCACATCGACAGCTCATTTTACGCGCTTCGGTGAGCTCTAGCACTGGGTCTGGCCCACTCAGCCGTGCCGAACCAACAAAATATCACCAGGCCTGTCAACGATTTGCAACCGAAACAGGTTTCCACATCGAAAAGCTTTTCATTTTCCTTGGCGGGGCAGAAAATTGGGGAAATGTGTTAATGCAGAGACTCACTCGGTATTTGCATAAAAAAACATAAATTGCCAAAAGCCACAGAGCCTGGTTCGGGCCAATTAAGGCAAGAGTTGCAAGTGCCAGAGTCGAGATATGAGAGAACGACTAGCTACTACCCTGTAAAAGCTTATTCAAGAGCCTAAATACCTATTAATATCTCTGTAGATCTCCTAGCATCTTAGCCCCTTTGACATTTTAGGCAACTCTTCTTGTGCCCACAGCTGGCAGTACTGGTAGTACCCTCCTCCTTATAGAGCAGCTCCCAACCAGCTGTACGCAAAACTAGTTTTCTGCAAAAATCGACAAAAAAAAAAAAAACTGAAAGCTCAGAAAAGGAAATCGTCGCCCGCCGTCATCCAAGTCGTGGCTGCTGCCTTTTAAGGCATTTTTGCCTGTTGCGTGTTGCGCATGCGCCTTGTGGCCTATCGATTATAGTGTTTCGGAGTGTGAGAGACACTGTCCCCCCCAGTGTATGGCTGTATCCGTTCGTGGATTCGGGTCATTCGCATTTTCACATTTTAAGGCGCAAGTGGTTTTGTTTTTTTTTGAGATTTCTGCCTTCCAGGCACTTGCTCGAGTGGCAACTTTTACTGTCCATGGCCAGGGACTCTCTCCTCCGCCTCCTGTCTTCCTGACCCTGCTGGAGCAGCTTTCTTCATTACCTCATATAGCACCATAGCCATTAATAATCGATTAGCAGTCTATGGCGAGAGGATGCTGATGATTTCCAAGCTAAGGAAGTGGGTAGAACTTCCTCTATGACGAGTCATAGAAGTTCGACTGTTAGTGTCACCTGTCAGCAAGTCACTGGCAAGCAACAGGTGTCTAATTGAGTGACTGACAACCGACAGACGAGACACCCAAGATGGGATGATTGGGGGGCTGGGAGTTGGAATGGAAATGGCGATGGCCAAACAATGCCATTCAGAGGAGAAGCTCACAAGCCATTGTTTGTCACTCTGTCGACTGGAAATCGATAGCACTGATAACCAGCAGGACACGAGGCGGAATACTTCGAGGAAGTTACTCAGCTTCAGACAAAGGAAGTGGAACAAGCCCATGGAGGAGAACTAAAGGAATAACAAATGTCCAATGATGATATCTATGGCAGGACAAGCAGACAAAGCAGCCACAGTAGGAGTCTGAATGTTGGATGCTGGAGAAGCCACTACTAAGAAACCAGAACTAGCCGGCGATGCAGATTTATGAGTGCCTGTCATCCAACAAAGGAGGAGGAGGCCGCGACTTGTCCGAAATGAGTTCATTGCACGCTGATCCCAAGGAGGATGCTGGAGGCTCCTGCATTTCCTAATGAGTTGTCAACTGGCTGATGAGTTCTATTTGCCAGCCAGACATACAAAAAAATAAACACAAGCTGGGAGGAGAGAAGTGCAAACAGTCTGCTGGGATTTGCATATTATCCTGTCGGGGTCGGGGGACTTCGCGAGTCTCAATGTCAGTGTCAGACTGAGTCTGGGAGCTGTGAAGTAAAGTGACAGGTTAAGAGCATCTATTTCAGGCGTTACTCTGAAGGAGGCACTTCCTAAAAAGAATGGAATTATAAATATATGTGATAACTATGACTCCCAAGAGATATGTTAGACTTTGAGGCGGTTCATTAAAAATATTTTCTAATTAAAATCGAATCAATTCAGATTATACCCACCATTCTATAGAAATTTCTTCTATCTTCAAGCTCCTCCCTAAGCCTCAATTGCTATTTAAAACCACCTTTTAATGAGATGGCCAGTTGGGGAGCTGTATCTCATGGTTTGAGCAACCCAATCAAGGGTTATCTACCCACAAAGCCATCTCAATCAGCTGATAGTTGGGCCAATCCACTTTCAACAGACAAATTGAGGAAGCGGAGCAGTTTAAAACCGACACACAGCTATCCACAGATACCCAAGGCAACAGCTGTGCAAACCGTAACCCAAAAGATACAGATACAAACGGAGATAGAGAGATACAAATAATAGAGTCAGGATTGTGTAATATACATTAGAAATTTGGTTGTGTACACTAGAGTCTCCGAGACAGAGAACAGGTCCCATAAACTTGCCAGATTTTCCAATAAAAGGAATATTTATAGCTTGGACTGGATTCTATAGCAATGCTGGCTCCCCCCACAAACATAATTAATGGAAATCCATAGCTGTGAGTTAATGGCTGTATAATCTGGAAATCCATTTCCCCGCCGCATCAAATAACATGCCTCCAAATGGAAATGTTTCTCCAGTTGATGGCAGGAGGGTGGGGGATGGCATCGATAATGCATCATCCGATCATGCAGCATATGCCACATGCACTCAAATAGAAAATAAGCTTTTTTTTTTGTTTTTGGGTTTTGGGCGAGGCCTAGACCCTCAGAGAACATTGTTTCAGCTGCGGCTTTGGCTCATTAGCGTTGGGAGTCACGTTCTGGTAGCCAGACGGGGTTGGACTTTCCACAAAACACTTTCCCATGCCTCCCATGCCACTCACAAACTGGGTATCATAAAAATCCAAACCGATAAGCGGCACTCGAATCTGTCTATTTATGGAGAGTCGCGACTGTTTTGTTTACTTTTCGGTAAATAGACCCCAGAGATTAATTTAGTTTGTAGTTTTATTAATGGCTTTTATTTATTGTTAAGTTTCCGAGTAAATTAAACACTTGAAGTAATAAAGCAACCTTTGAAATTCGAGAGGAATCAGTTACCCTGGAAGCCTTATATTCCAAGTATTGGGTGTGGGGTTTGGGGTCTGGGATCTGGCTAGGCACGCTCCCCATCCAAGGCCTGCCAATTGCCAACTAATTTCGATTTCATTTCTCGCCAGAGGCAGACCAAAAAATAAATAAAAACCAAAATTATGCAAATTCATTGAAAACGAAAGGCATTCTCCAAGCACTTTGATTCGCTCCGCTTTTGATTTTTAATTAGTTGTTGGCGTGGGTTGGATTATGATGCAACTTTGCTCAGTTTTTTGGAATAATTATAGAGCTCTAGGGCCTGGGATTTGATTGATTTGCCTTTTTGATTCGTTTTTCTATGATGGCCTGAATAAGGGGGACCTTGAACCGCCATCCAAAAGACAAAGAAACATAATAGACTGAATATTTGCCTAAAACTATGGCACTCGAAATTGGAATAAAAATAATAGCAGAGACGGCTGCAATCTTCAAGAGACGGAGAAACAATGGAGCACAAATATACGTTGCAATAATTGCTTCCAATTTGCAATTTTTACTCTCGGAAATACTAATTACTTGCAAGCTTCTCTGAATCAGCAAAAATATGAATGACGACAGAGGAGTTTGGTTTTATTTTCAGACTCTGGTAGGGGAACCAGGTAGCAGAAACCCTCCATCCCAGGTTCAAATGTAGTCTTTAGTTGCAGATTCTTTTGTTTGCACCAACCTTTAAACGAGAGCAATGCCAAATTCCAGACGTTGCTGCACTTCCACTTTCAATTGTCTCGACGGATCGCCCGATGCATCGAAGCATCAATGGCTTTTTTGCAGCCGGCACGACGCGCGCGCTTAAATGCGTAAACAAACACAGACAAACAAACAACAGTCGGGCTCGGAGCGACGCGTAAACACGTCCGAACGCAATGGGAGCCACTAGAAACTTGGGGCTCAACAAGCGACTCGCAATCCACAATCGTAAAACCGGCTTTGAAATGTTAGGGGTGCGGGAGACTTGGGGATAGGGATGGACTATCTTATATATCGATAACATTGTGTCGTGACTATCGAACGGGTGGTTCGTGTCTTTGCTTAGTGCAAATCTGTATCGAACACAGACCGAGTAAAATGAGTGCAACTAATGCAGTTAGAGCTGGTTTTCACCAAGCAAGGGAGAACGAAGAAAATATCATATTATAGCATATATATTCTAAAATAATTTGTACTATATATTGGCGATAACTATCGGTTAACATATACCTAGCAACTCGATAAATACTAAAGATTTGGTATTTAGTGTTGGAAAAGGTTCTCTGGCACTGTTAACATACTGCCCGTTAACAACATGGCGCCAACATACAATTCAAATCCCCGTTCAAAATTAAATTTCATCCAATTATATTAAACAATAAACTATGCTAGCATGCGGTTAATCAACATCCAGTTAGTAAGCACAACGGAAGGATTATTTTCATAGAACTTTATTCGCGTTTCTCATAGGTTTCTTTGGCTTCCAGTAAAAATATATATCGAGGCGTAATATTTCGTTTAAACAAGTCTTCAGTAAAATATATTGTTCAGATTCATGTGAATACACGTGTATATATATCAGTTGATTAGTTTTGCAAAAATCGTAGTGTAAGCAATGCGAATTGGAACTTAGTTGCTAATTTTTACAAAGTGTTTCGGCCGAAGAAGCTTGTAAAAGGTTCTCGGTTGCTGCTGTGCCACCAGCAACGTGGGCCTCCCTTGTGGCTGCTGCTGTTGCTGCTGCCGATGTAGTTGCTGCTGCGGCTGCTGCTGTGGTAGCGGCGGTATCTGGCCAAGAGGGCAGTAATAGCTCCTTGCCACGGGCATCACTTTGGCTAGGAAACTTTCGTTCGTTCGGGGCATGGAAATTGGTGCGGGAAATTGATTTAATCAAGAGTTTGCGGCAAACGAGCACACACGAATAGAATGGAGCTTGTGAAGACATTTACAATGAACTTCTAACTAATGTAAATTCCGTCGCAAGTTTGTGTTAATTGTATATTTAGTTTCGCTTGGGAACCAGTCTTGAGGTGCACACACATTGGACGCATGTATGGCGTTTATGATGGCCACTTTCAGGGCGCTGCATGATCCTTCCGAGGGTATGTTAGTAGCTAGGGGTTAGAGCACTAACACGCGGAGAACGGCACAGAGGAGTGGCGAGGGATGCGAGGGCCTGGCGTGTACCAGGACCAGGACTCACCCATCAGCCTGCTGCTGTTGCTGCTGCTGTTGGCGGCGCCTTCTCGCCACTGCGCTGTTCTTGATGATGGCTTCGATCTCCCGGCCGCCGGAGCTCTCGCCCTCTGACGCGGAGGCGCAGTTTCCGGCCGCCTCCTCGCTGGCCGCAACTCGAGGCTGACCCAGGGTGGCCAGGTTCCTCACCAGGCTCACCGCGTCGTCGTGCTTCGGAGTGGCGTTCTCCTTGGCCACGTTGCGCAGGATGTGTGCCAGGTTTCGCTGGGGGTTGTCCACCTCGTCACCGGCGGGCCGCGTTGCGTCCGCTGTGGTGGCCGACTTGCGCAGGTTGGAGACAGTGGCGTGGGTGGAGCGCTTGAGCCGGTTCTTCAACTCGGCGTTCAGGTCCACGGGCATAAGGCCGCGACCCATGCCGAGGATGGGCTTTCCCGCCTTTAGGATGCTCTTGAGGGGCTCGGCTGGCTTTTCTGAAAATATATTAGAAGACAATTAGTGGCAATCCAACAAGATCGAAGGGGTATAGGGTGTGTTTAGTCCACAAAAGAGTAGCAAGTCATTCCATCCAAACGGGCAGGCCACATGCAAATACTCACTCAGAGCTGGAACATCAAGACTCAACGATTCATGCTTTAGATTCAGTTTAGCACTTTCTTGGATTTATTTCTCGTTTCAACAACTTCCATTAATTAAATATTACAGTAATAATAATAAGTGTAATACATTCTCATCGTAATATAATGCCGGTTAAGGTACAATTCGCTCTAAGGTTAAATAAAAAGTATTAATGTATAAATAAGCACAAAGCAGTTTCGCATAATAATAGTAACGATTGGTTAACTGGAAGGTTTGCTGGCCAGGCACTAAGTGGAATAGTGGCCGTTTTGGAATAAAACTGTCTCTCGGTTTAAATACAATTCCTAGAAGCTAGAAGTCCTTTGAAGGTTCCTTCCCTTCATATTTCGTTCGACACTGCTGGGGTTTGGGGTTTGATTTCGTTTCGTTCATTGTTTTATTTGGATAACTACGAGACTAATACAAAGCATTGGGGCGAGTAGTGGGGCGGTCGGGGCAGTGGGGACCGGGCGCATCTATCACACTGAGCGCAGGACCCCCCGCACGAAGAGAGCGGTAATTTTCAGGGATTTCGTTTTTTTCGAAAAAATTGGGGGGCACTGGAAAAAAAGAAGTGCAGTGATGGGGGGAATTGAAAAATTGGGGAATTTTGAATGCATGGCCAAAATAGACAATTTTTCAGCCCAGTATCTCGCCGCAGAGCCGCTTGAAGTCCTTCCCAGCCGCGTGCAGCTCGTCCTGCGTCACCTCAATGTCCTCGAAGCTGTCGATGGCGATCTTCCGCCGCCCAACCACCGGAGAGTGGGCCCGCTTGGCGCTCGGCATGGCCGTCGGACTCACACTGCCGCTGGCATAGTGATCCATGGAGACGGGACGGGTCCGCTTTAGGAGCTCCCGGCGCTTGGGCGTCGAGGGGAAGCGCACATGCACGTTGGTGGCTTCCACCTGGATGGGCTGCCTTTCCGATGTCTTGGGGGGCAGCGATTGGGTCTTCAGCACAGTGGTGGTGTTGAAGGTCTCCTTAACGCCAAAGTACTTGGCGTAGCGGTCGTCCACATTGGGCGGCTTGGGGGTCATCGACATGGGGGTACTGATCTCGGTGGTGTGGCGCCGGTTGACGGGCTGTGCCTGCGGCTGCTGCTGCTGGACCAGCCTGTTGATCTTTCTGCGCATCTCGGACACCTTTTGAGGGGCCCGATCCTCGTCGGCGTTCACCTGGTGTTGCTGGTTGGAGGCGCAGTTCTCCTTGCCCGATTCCGAACCGCTGTCGCTGGTTCCGTTCGAGAACTTGAAGTTCGTGTGACTGATCTTCTCCTGCTGCTGCTGCTGCTGCTTCTCGAAGAAGGGGGACTTGATCTTGCCGATGGTGCGCACAGTGACGTCCACAGTCATGGGCTCGATGCTCTGCAGCTTGGCCAGGCATTTGCTCCAGCTCTTGCTGGCCGCGTTGTTGGTCCGTACGTGGCTGAAGGTGTCCGGCACGACAAGCTTGCCCACTGTGCGCATGTTGACGGCCGTGGGCCCTCTCCCGGGTGTCGGCTCTGTGGCGGATCTACTGAGAATGTGGAATCCGTTGTGCACGGGCGCCTCTGACTCGGATCTGCGCACGTGCTCCTTCTCCCGCAGCCGTAATTCCACTTCCGCAAGGGGATTGGTGCAGTTCTCCTCCGGCTCTACGATGCTCTCCAGGGTCAAGCTAGTTGGCTCCCTGTCGGGCACGAGCGAGGAATAGTCCATGGCCGTCGGAGTCGGAGTCCCGCTGGCACTGCTGGCGGTGGTGCTGCTCCTGGGTGTGGCGCGGTCTAGCGGCGGACTCCGGGAGTAGCTGCTGGTGCGACTCCGGAGTCTCCCGCTGGCGCTTCCGGTTCCGCTATTCTCGCAGAGGTTGCTGAAGAAGGCCAGTCTCTCAGCCAGTGACAGGGACGAGGGCTCTAAAGGGGGAGGACCAGAGATTAGTGTGTGTGTGTGTGGGCGGAAGTCCTTCTGGCTAGTGGTTTTGCACCACTTACGCATTTCTCATTTACTCAGACTGCTCGACTGTGTTCAAATATTTACTGCTGATGCTGCGCGGAGGCTGTTGCCGAATCTGTAGTTGCCCCGGAAGGCGGCGACTTACAAAAGTCAACTGCGGAGTAATTTCAGTATTTATCCGCTGCCCACGCCGCGATACAGATGCGACTGATGCTGTTGTTGCTGCTGCTGCTGAGATAGTGAGTATTTCTTCTCTCACTGGGCTATCACTTGGAGCTCTAAACTGACCCACCATCACAAAAGAAGCTCCCTTCCCGCTCCATAACTGATTCATAGAAAGTTCGTCTGCCGTTTATACAGCAATTTCTATAATTTGCCACTTTTTTGCGCTGACTGGCCGGAGTCTTTTGTGTCCCCCAATGGCGTATCTATGGCCCCTACTCGATTTCATTTTCATTTTCATTTCAGACTTTCGATTTGTTCTGCCACACAGTGCCGTTTAAATTGATATGAACTTTCTTTGTGGCGTCTCTAAAGAGGGAATGGGGGGCTAATGATAAGCAAACCTCAAAGGAATTATGAATTGTTTGGAAAATGACTGTCCAAGGGCTTGAAAGAGATCTGATTTAAGCACAAATTAATGAAATAATGAAGAGTATTAAGTTTCAGACATTTTTGATGCTAATTCAGTTTTTTTTTGGGAATGTTTGCCAAGGTCAACGTCATTATGGCTTATCGGTGATAAGTTTTATGGCCATTTCTGAAGCGAGACCACAAAGAATGAGGTTCAGTCATAAAAACTCAACCGATAATAATTTAAAACTGGAACCCACAAAGTGTGTCAGGAGGAACCTTTTCAAGGAAACCAATCCGCATAAAAAAGGCCATTAAATCATGAACGCACAATTAACTGCACTAAAGACTACGAAATGGATATGTTTGGCAGATAAATAAATATTTGCAAAGTAAATCACGCGCGGCTTAAATTACATAAAAACATACAGTGTGGCAAATAAATGTTATTAGTTTTCTCATGCGGCAACAACAACAGATACACATACTGAATAATATTAAAAAAATGAAAACCGGGCAGGTGGGCAGGCAGGCAGCAGCCACAATGGGCCGTTAATTCATTTGTTAGAAAACCAAAAACTGTCAGATACAAAATGAAAAAGTCGTAAATGAAAAACCAATGAACGCACATGCATGGAAAATGGTTTGGTTGCGCCTCTTCCCCATTGTTGCATACTGCTCTGAAGAATTGCGCAATTCTGCGTGGTTGCATTTTTTTTTAATGCACTCCGATTTTGGCATTCATTTGGAATTTGTTCAAGCCCATTAAAAATTAGTCCCGCACGGGCCAATGAAACGTGTGTGCTTTAATGTAAAATAAAAACACAGAGACAGACAGACACAGATACGGTAAGCAACAACATCAATAAATATTTGAATATTAGATTTTTTTTTGGCATTCCAAAACAAGAGCATCGTGCAATAAGATAAACGTTAATGGTAGGAGGGAGAGATTCCCCCTCCAAACTGAATCTTAGGGACAAGTCCACTCACCGAATTCCGCGTCCGCTGAAGTATTTGGCGTTGATGGCTCCTCAGTTGGCGGGGAACTGTCTGCTGGGTTTGGAGCGGCGGATACTGCTGGCGGGGAGTGCCGGGACGATCCTGAAATCAAAAATTCGCACATGTTTATTTTTTTGATCGTGCGATCCCTCAAGTAGCTGCCCCGCTGAAGCCAATCCTTGCGGCAGACCGTCATCATCTTGAGGAATCTTGTAAACTATTGAACTGGCTGCCACCTAGACGAGCTAACTATTTGCTATTTTTTGTTGGGGTTGTGTGTGTGTGTGTGTATGGTTCGGTAATTGTTACAAAACTGGTGTGGGAACAGTTGACAGAGTTCTCAAAGGCATGTTACGTGATAGATAACAGAAACCACTTGTAGACTCCTAATCGAGACTGACCAGCACCCACCCAGCCTAGTCTCCCTGCCGGGCGGAGGGCGAAAGTCACACAAATGTTACCCAACACGCAGCCCCAATTAGTGGCTGATTGCCGGCGATGGGAGAGTAGTGTGAGGCAAGTGACACACATTTTACAGCTTATTAACTTGGCCAGCCACCATGAGGGGCTTGCAACAACAACCTGGCAAACGGCTAATGGCAAAATCTGGCAAAACACTCAGGGAAAAGTGTCGCCCACTGACCAGACCCCGGGCATGGGTTCCATTAATTAGTAATGGAGAGATGTGCTCTGTTCCTTGTTAGTCAGACAATAGCTCCAGTTCACCCGATTGCCAATAATGAGACACTACCTCAACCGAACCTGTCTGCACCCATTCTGGCCCTAGTGGTCTTGGCCCTGTTGTCATGGTCGGTTGCCTCATGGGCCGCCACAGTGCCCCCGGGTCGAGTACCGGTCGCAGCCAGTTTTGCTTTATAGCTTCACGCTAATTTCTGCACCCAACCTGCCGGAGATGATGACGATCGGTCCCCACTTGGCCCCCGGCTTTGGCTTGTCTTCTCCACTCACCCGTAGCCCGCTGGGTGCGGGTCTGCTCCTGCAACTGCTGGAACATGTTAGCCCTGGCCCGGACACTGTTGCTCCTCGTCAGTCCGCTGGACGTCGTTGGGGTTCCTGTAGCGGTTGAGCCAGTGGTGGCTGATGCGGATGCGTTCTCGTCGCCGAGCGACTGGATGGCCGAGTCCTCCTCCAGGCCGGACATGTCAAAGATGTGCTCGGTATCGTTGCCCACTGACAGGGTGAGCTGCTCGCTGAGATTGGCGCTGCTGTCGTTGACCAGCGAGGAATAGCTCCCTGGGCCGGCTCCCTGACCGGCTAGGTGGGAGACGCGCGGCGACTGCAGGGGTTGGGTGGCGCTGCGTACCAACCGGAATGAGGTTCCGGATCCGGAGTTGGTGGACGAGGAGAGCAGCAGGGGGGCTGGCACGTGACTAAGCGGCTGGCCAGTGATCGGAGATATCAGTGCTGGATGCGTGGCTTGGTTGAGACGGATGTCCAGCGGCTTCGTGGGCTTGAAGGCGGACGTGGCCGAGATGTCGAAGGGTGCGGAGTTGGCTTTAAAGCTGCAAGAGGGAAGAGTAAGGTTTGGATTACACATATGTTCTAGTTGTGATTCAGAAGCATAAAACCACAATGAGCTGGAGTTGTAAGTATGACAAAGATGAGTGTCTTCCATATCGGCACTGAGCTTCCTCACGCCACTAGCTACGAGCTAGTAACAGTGATTTGCTTGGAAATCCACTAAAAATTTACATAACTCTGTAGAGCTTCTTCTATCGTTCGTGCCCCTCCTTCTTCCCCCTCTAAACAATGCTCCTCTGACATAATTATGGGCCATTTCGGCCAGGTCAATTATGTTTTTTTTTTGTAGAGAAACTCCGGCGCTAGTGGCATGTGGCTTTCGTCGGTTTCTGCGGCCCTCCAGGCAGTGAAGGTAGCAGTTTGCAGTCTCCGGGACGGAGAGTGAAAGGTGTGAAGAAAGCTCCAGAATCTAAACACTCCAAGATGGAAGCACCTTTGCATTATCTTCTAAAATTAGCCCCACACCTACAACTTGTTAGAATTTTTCGATTTCCAATATTTGTTTTGTTTATCGAGGTTCCCTTTAGAACCTTTACTATGGAGGATGCGGAAAAACAAGAAACTAAAAATATACATATTGTTGTATATTTTTAGTTTCTTGTTACTACAAATGGGCTAATTGGATTTCGAATGAAAAGAAAGAGCCGCAGAGAGGTGTCAAAGAGAATTGGCAATATGCTTTCCTAGTCTTGGCCGAGTTATGGGTCTAATAGCACGACTATCTACACAAAAAACGGCTATAACCTTTGGCCGAGTCAGCGAGGACCCAAACCACACCAAAATGTTGCCAAAATATAATCAGGCACTGTCTTGGACTCTCATATATGGTCATATATATGTACTCTATACTATAATTATATTTTTTTTTGCACATTTCGAGCAATTCGAGCTCTGATTGGCACTTGGGAATGGAATATTCATGACTTCACTGTGCACATTTCCATGGATTTTATTTTTAGACCATTACGAAATATATAATTTCAAGAGATCTGCCCGTTTTTCTTCCACTTTTTTAAGCACTTTCGAGTGGTATGTGGTGTTACCTTTTTGGATTCACACGCGTTTTCAGGGCCCGTCACCCGGCAACTGGCGACTGGCGGGCAACTTCGAAGGGAACGTGGTTGGTTTCTTCGTCCCAAGTACACACACCTGATATAGATATACAGGAGTCTTCCGATTTGTTCTTCCACTGATAAGCCGAGCACCGAACCGAATAATCGACGCGACGATCTCTTGATAGTTTATCAGTTAGTTTTATTATTACTTTGCCCTATTCTTTCGTAATTAGTTCTTGCTATTTTTTTTTTTTACTATTTTTGGGGCTATATGTTGGCGCGGAGCTGGGGAGCCGAGGAGCTGCCGCCGCGGAGACGTTAAAATTGAAAAAGCGATCGCGAGCAACTGAGCGCAAAATTTGTAAAAACAAAAAAATACAGCCGCTGACGCTAACGCTGCCGTCGTCGTCGCTGCTGTGGAAGAGCGGTGGAGCAGCGATGGGTGGTTGGGTGGTGCGGTTCGCCAGTGGTGCTCTGCTCTACCTCTCCCTCTGTCAGCAAATTTAAATTATTTTCAGTTTTGTTTCTCAGTTTCTTGTTGTGCTTTATATTTATTTTGGTACGGCCTTTTCCTCGGGCTCTTCGCCTCATCTTGGCTGGGAAATTGGTCTGACTTTTCCCACTTTTCTTTGGCGGCCACTCTTCGGTCGAGGAAAGAGAAATCCAGATCGCGGTAAGAGCGGTTCCTCGCTATTTTTGGGGCCACTTCTTGTGAATGGGCCACCGACTCGGTTGTATTTATAGGAACTATTGACTCGTAGGGCTAAACACACCAGAAATATTTACTATACCACCAGAAGACCTGGTACACCTGGTAGGTCTGCTCTTTGGCTATCTTATCGGAAGATTAGAAAAGATATAGCATAACTTCGAAGTGGACGTTGTATATGGCTTTATCGATTTAATCGGGCCTCCTATCTGAGTGACGATTTGGGTTCTGTTACCGTTTTCTGATGTATGCCTCGAACATGTTCTCGCTCTGACTCTGACACCGCTGGAGCAACATGGAGCTGGACCCTCTACTGGGGAACCCGCTACTGACTACCGAGAGGTGGCTTCTGTGACGCACAGTTGCCGACCGCGGGCGCCTCCTACTGAACCATCCAACCAACGAAATGCAACTGGCGGACAGTCGACTGGTGGTGGCGGAAACCCCAGGCAGCATAAATTACACGCCACAAAGCGTCGGCAAATGTGCAAAAGATATTGACAATAACGTTCGCAGAATGCAAATGTGACAGCCAGCCAGGCCAGGCCAGCCAGCCAGGTGGAGTGTGAAAAACAAAAGCAACCTGCCTGCTTTCGGTTCGCTTTTTGAGGAATGGGAGTGCCGATGGCGGGTTGCTGATTCCGGAGTGGAACAAAAGCCAGCCCCCTCCCGAAAAAACACAAACATACGAGCACAACAAAGTGCTGACATAAAAACACAGTTAAACAAGAACTGGCAACTTTGTGGCCATGTCTCCGCCTCTGCCTCCCCTGGGTGAGGGGGAAGATTCTAAAACGCTTTTAGCGAAGAAACTAGGTTTACGAGCATGACATTGGCTAGCCCGTAGTTCGCGGAAACAACCCATCCCAGAGGTGGGAAAGGCAGTCGTCTACTCACTACTAATTGCTGGCCAAATTACAAGTCTTGGCCATGAAAATGCAGTTAGTTGGCTGATAAGCCCCCAAAACAGATATCCAAATGGCTAAGAAGGCTAAGAAGGCACTGTCTTGAGCTCTTAAGTCGATCGACCTTCCATAATCGCGAAACCATTACTAACCTTTATTTGTATTTCGCACTCGGGCCGGGTTCTGGCTTGTTGGCCTCAATAGCCCGGGCGGGTTATTAGGCAAGCCGTAAGCTGCTTAGGTGACAAGTACAACCGTAGGGCAATAAAAAAATAAAAGACGGGCCAAAGAAAAGTGAATATATGACAGGCCGGCGAATTGGGGTCACCTATAAGGGATTTCATTGGCTGTTTCGGAAACAGAAAAACAATTAAAATTGTATCAGTTTGGGTAGTACACTAGGGTATGCAGATTGAACTCTATGTAGAATGGCACATGTAATCTGTGATCCATGGTTAACAAAGTATGTCCAAAACAAAGCTAATTAAGCTGATCATGACTGGATTATAATGCCTGCTGACAGAGGGACAGAGGACGGCGCTGTGCGGATACCATGATGGTATGAATATTTATAGGCTCGGCCAAGTGCCAGCCAGAAATGTGCTCGTCGGACCAAAAATAGCAATGAATGCGCGTATATAGACAAATATTTCTCCGGTCGAAGCACAAACACAGATGCACGGCCAGCACCACAGCCGCGCTGGAATTCTGGGGCCCATCGGAGCGTAAACTTGGCGGCTGCTGAGCCGCTGACAGCTTGACAGGCCACACGGCGTATGCGCAATTTTCGAGGGAGTATTGCCCGACAGTGGTCTAGTCGGAAGGGGGACGAGGAGTAACTGACTCTTCCCTAATGGATGACAGAATAAGCCCCCATGGAATGGAATATCAACTCACAAGCTCTTTTCTTCGTTGGTCACTGGTTGGGTCTTGTAGCGGTCCCTCTGCATATCCCTGCGCAGGACACTTGGCTTGAGGAGTCTGGGCGTGCCGGAGGAGCCCTGCTCCGGCGTGGACTGCAACGGCGACTCCCAGCTGCTGTTGGCGCCTCCGGCTGAGCGGGATGTGGGCGTGGAGAGCATCTCCATGCGCTTGATGCGCTCCGCGACTGAAATTCCAGAGGGCGTAGCCACAAAGTCCACGGGGGTGCTGGGCGTCGCCTGAGAGGTGGAAATGGCATCGAGGGCAGCCGCCAGATCCATCACTGGCGCCACGTCCTGCCGTTCCAGGGAGCGTGTGCGTCGCTTGAGAACCCCGGGAGTCGAATTGGATTCATCCAGGTCGTGCGAGGCGGATCCGAGCGAACGACGCTTCGAGGGCGAGTCCGTCTTGAGGATCGAGGAGAGGGAGTCGCCCACCTCGTGCTCCATGTTCAGATCGAACTCCTCGCGGCTGCTCTTGCGCGAGCTCTTCAGGATAGGTCGGATCTCGTGCTCGTCTGCCTCCCCGAAGGACTTCTTCTTGAGAATGGGCTTTGGCGGTCGCACGGCCTCCTCGCTGGAAGTGCTCTCCTGCTTCAGAATGGGTCGGATCTCGTGTTCCTCGCCAGTGTCCTCCACGGCCATGCCATCATGGGCAGCCAGCTCGGCCGCAGCCAAGATAACCGCTTGGGAGATGGACACGTGCTTGTGGCATCCGCCATCGGAGGGCGTCGACAGGGAGTCCTTCTTCTTGAGGATGCTGTGCGGCTGGCTCTCCGTGGCCGAGGGGCATCCGTCACTCTTGCTGCTGTCGTAGCTGCTCTGCTTCAGGATGCCGTGCGCCTGGGCTGTGCTCAGTCCTGCCCCCGAAGACTCCTCCAGCGAATTCCTACGTGCTGACTTGATCAGGATACTCCGCTCGTCGGGAGAGTGGGAGCGCGAATAGTAGCGGGACTCGTCCAGGCTGGACCTCTTCTTGAGTATTCCCTGCCTCTTGCTCCTGGCAGCAGCTCCTGCCAGAGGAGGATCCACCACGCTCGAGGAGAAGGTCACCGGCGAGGGATTGCTCGAGGCACTCGAGTTGCATTCGCCCAGGCCGTGCTCCTTTTTCTTCAGTATAGAGACAATCTGGTTAGGAGCCGGGGGCGAGCTCTGCTGTGGAGCTCCCGTATCGTCCGTGCTCTTTCTTCGCAGGATTGCAGACATCTTTTGGACGGCGGACTCCTCCAGAGGCTGCTGTGGTTGCGGCAAGGTATCGGATTGCTCGGCAATCTTCTTGATCTCCGCCAGATCGGTTCGGGTCCGCTCGTTAAACTTCTGGCTGACTGCTCGTCCCAGAGGAGCGTGTATGGGTCGTGGAGCGGGCAGCACCGCTGTCATGGTCCGAACTGGAACCTCCGGATGGCGAACAACCTGGACGACTGGGCGATGAGGCTCTGACTTGCTGGCGGATGCGGACGTAGTGGACTCGCTGCAGGAACTCTTTATGGGCGAATGTAGCAACTCTCTAAGGGCTTCATCGTCGCCGGGGACCAAAGGACGAGACAGTCCAAGCTCGCGCCGGCGGCGTCTTCGGTTGGCACTGGCAGCTTCACCTGCAAGAAAGGGCTGAGATTAGTATTGCGGACTACGTGAGGAACGGGAGCAACAGAAGCCACTGGACAGAACACATGCATAGCACAGCGATTTTAACGTATTTCACACAAGTGGCGACAATGGAGTAGCTCTCGCCACGCTGGACAAAACGATGGATATGAAAGTGTTGCATGTGGTATGTAAAATGCTCTGTAAGATTCCGATGATGAGGCAGCCACATGATGCTCGCAGACCCGCGACGAGACTGAGTCAACCCGAAGAGGCTCATCGTCGGGGAAAGCCCTCTAGGCGGTGACCCGATTGCGGAATCATTCAAGCTTGAAGGCACTCCGAATACGGTCTTGTGCCAATCATCTGCCACTCGAGTCGTAGCTGCAGTGCATCATCCCGGCTGCCCACTTACCGCCATCCTTGGTGGCTTCGTCGGTCAATGAACGGTTCAGGTTCGACTTGCGTTTGGCCGACTTGTCCCGATCTCCCATACGTCGCGGTGATACCTCGGGCTGGAAGAGTTGAAATTAAATGGAATTCTTTAAAGATTCAAACTAATCCTCACCGTTCTCTTGTTCTTCTGCACGGGACTCAGTTGCAGGTTGGCCAGCTGATCCCGATCCTGATCACGCGTCCCGTTCTCCGTGTTCTCCGTGCTCAGGGTGGAGCTACGTGGGCGCATTCTTAGGGAATACTCCGCTGTAACCTTGGGCGGGCTCATCGCTCCGCCCGTAAAGTGCAGCTCGCTGAGGCTCTGCTTCATGGAGAGGCCGGAGCCCACAGCCACCAGAGGCTGGCGGCGCTGGATGGGCGGCGTGTCCACCGGTTGGGATGTGGACCTGGCCGGGATCCGAGATGAAGTGCCTGCAGAGACGGGCTCCGAGTTAAAGCCACTGGCTCCCGCCGACTTGGGGGACAGTTCCGAGTTGCTTAGTCGTCGCTGGGCCAGCGAGGAGGGTGCACCTCCGTTACCAACTGTCCTCGGAGATGCTGGGGAACTGACGCGCTGGCGCTGCTCCTCTTCCTTCTTTTTATCTATCGAGGAGGAGAAAAAAGAGGGAAACTCTGGTATTGAGGGTGAAGAAGTGATGGATGGAAAGAACAGAGATCTACTTCTTCCAATGAGGGTTAGTCTACACGGATTCACACAAAAAACCTCTAGGGTTGAGCTACCGGAGGGCGGGACTACCAGGAGGATTGAGGGACACTCACCGAGAGCGGCCGCGCGCAGTCGACTCGCCTTGGTGGTGCGCACCGCTGGCGAGGACTGGGGCGAGGTGGAGGTCGCGATTGAGTTGGAAGTGGCGGAGTTCGAGGAGGAGCAGCTGCCGCCGCTCAGGAGCGGACTGGCAGAGGCCTGCGGAGGCGCAATGGCGGACTGGCCGCCCAGACGCAGCGGCGACAGGGGATTCGTGCGGCGCTTGGCCGGCGAGCTGGCGGTGGACGTGGCTGCTGCACCGCCAGTGGATGGTGATGCGGCTGTGGTTGGTGTGGCTGCTTTAAGCACAATTAGTGGCGCTTTGTTGGCGTTGGCTAGGGGCGGCATGGGCGTGGCGTGGCTTGGCTTTGTCTGCTGGTTAGTGTTGTTGTTGCAGTGGCGCTGGCTGTGGCTGTTGCTGTTGCAGTTGTTGTTGAGGTTGAAGGTGCAACTAATACTGCATTTAGCGGCAGATACGATGTCTGCTTTTCTTCGGAGACTGCTGCTAATGCTGCTGCTGGTGGTGGCTGATGAGTTGGGTGTTTGTGTTTGGTTGAGGATGGAAAATGCGTGTTGATATAGTAAGACTTTAAAGCACATGAATGCAGCTTGTTGTGGTTTCGGTTGCTAGTGTTGCTGTAGCTGTTGTTGGTGTGTTTGTGCGTGAAGGGGTTCGAGATTGCATAATGCAAATATGGGAAGCTTAAGGGGAAACCCAGGTGCAATCTAATGGCCGCTAGTGGTTGCTGGCGGAGATTGATTGCTGGTGACAAAAATGAAAACACGGGAAAATAAAATCCAATTGCGAAAGCTCTGTGACAAAAGAAAGGCATTAGGCCTCTCGGGTCATTAGGCTGCGGGTCTAAACGATGATGAATTAGCTTGTGTCATCATTATATTGAGCTATTCGAGCTGACAAAGAAAGCGATTAGATTATTGGCCCACGATTAGATTTCGCTCAAAAACCAACCAAAATTGTTGACTCCATGGAGTACTCGAGTGTGGGAATCAAAAGCCACTACTTATTGAATGTAAACTGGATACCCATCTAGGTAATGATTTGGAAAGAATTTGCTTCTGACCTCGGTTACGTAAGACCGAAAATGATTTCATAATCCAGAAAGAGAGAAATGGGCGGGGAAGTGCTTACTTTTGGCCAAGTCATCAGCCCTCTGCCAGCATCTTCTCTGTAAACTGTCCGTTCATTGCCTTCTGGCCTGTCAGAGATCACTGAACGCTGCGCAGAGTTCGCGGCGAGCGATGGACCCATAAAGTGAGGCAAGAAGTTGCCAAATTGGCGGATACCGAAATCAATATACCGATGCCATCCCACCTGGGGATGGAGGCACAAAGGCCGACAACAATTGGCATGAAAAATTGGAATTTAAATGAAATCGATACCCCAGGCAGGGAGATCAATCATCGAATCATCATGAATTAATAATATTTTCTTTCAAAGCGCAGTTCTTTGGGGCAAACTACTTTGGTTTATTTGGAGTGTATGAAAGACCACCAAACCTCTATGGTTAAGCAGAGAAGAGGATTTCCCATGACAGCCGAGCGATATGCAGATCTATGCTTTCTCAAGACCCCGGCAGACCGTTATAAGAGAGAGAGATACTGTCAAAAATTTATGAAACCCTCGTCCACGTCCACGATAATAAACCCGATTCCGATCAATGAATGGAAGCGGCGGGCTGATAAACAAACACGGAAATTGGGCACAGCCGTCTTTTTGTTGGGATCTATTAGCAATTTTATGGCATCTTTCATTTGCCTAAGTTGCGTGAAGTCCCGGGTCTCGATGGGTTTCTCTTCGGACTCGGATTCGGTTAATGACAAACAATTTTATTCATTTATACGCAGGGTTTGCACAAACTCCACCGAGAGTTACGGCAGCTCCCAAGTATCAATGGATCATAATGCGAATAAAAATTGCGCAAATTGTTTTATATAATTTTTGGGGTTTTCGGGGGCTCTGGCTTAGACTCTTCTGACAGGTCTCAAGAAAGAAACATTAAAGTCAAAACATTTGGAACTGATTTCGGTCTGTTGTGTTGCTCAATTGCAATTTGATACAAATGATTTCGGCCGAAGGTCTCCCAGCTAAATTAACATTTGTCTAGAAAACGTTTTCGCTTGATTGGCAAGCCGACAAAAATCTAATTTAGTTTAAATTGCTTTTAAGTGTTCGAGAGAAACGGAAAACAACTCGGCTCCTCGTACCGCTCACCTCTTCCGAAGATGGAGTTTTTTTTCTTTTTTGGTTTCTGCAGACTAATTTGCAGAAAACGTTGACAGGCTTCGGGGGCTCATTCAGGGCTAAGTCGGTATGGGGCGGGCTAATTGCTGCAATCTAAACTCTTCGGTTTTTGGGAAAGTTTCGGCCAAGAAGAATTAATGAATTTTGTAATGTTCAAGCCAAGGAGGTGAAGGGAAGGTAATCGATCGGAGAAACACACTACTGAATAGAAAGGGGAATCCTTTAGCCCTTTCCGACAATGAGGACCTGCCTAGGCAACAATAGATCCGTGGGAACATCATATCTAATTGCATTAATCGATCGTTTGATATGGGAATCGACGCAAAGGACTCTACTCCTTTAAAGGTTAGGGCATGCAATGCAGGAAAAGAACATAAACACTCAAGGACGAACAAGGACTCACAGCCAACACAGACAAACACACAAGCAACACAAATAACACAAAGCTCTATGAGGAACTCACCTGAGATATCGGCGGGTACCACGGCTTCTGGCTGGAGCTCGGCGGCCAGAGGAGCCCTAGGAACTTCGGCTGGTGGGGCAGGTCTCTGGTGGTGGGCTGGGGGCGGAGGTGTGGCTGGGCCGTGGGTCATCACAGTTGTGGCGGCCGTCTCATAGGCAGAGCTGTTGCCGTTCGCCGACGAGGGGGGATCTCCACTGGCGGTGGCGACCAGCCTGTTGCGCCTCCGGGTGGGCGAGTGCGAGGGCGAGGCGGAGCTGTAGGAGGAGTCGCTACGGTAGCCGGCGGAACGCGACAGCGGTGGCGGCGGGGAGTGGCCGGCGGAGCCCTGGCGACTGGCGGAGCGGGTGGTGCGCGTTATGAATCTGCGAATGGTGGATTAGATACTGTTACTTGGCTGTATCCATTTCATAGCTGCTTTAAATTACACGGGGCGGGGCGGGGGACTCTTCTGGGGAAAACGCGACTGCTGCGGCAGCAAATGTTGAACAACTGCTACGGCTGAACAAGAACCAAAACAAAACACAATAAAATCGTCAATCGGGTATCTGCGATCCGGAGATACAAAGTCGACAGTTCCGCTAGATGCGGCACGGCTAGACGGCAGCAAACACGCTCGGCAACTGCCGAGCCACAATCCAGCAAACACAGAGGAAACCCACAGAGTCGAGACTCTTTTTCTCGTTTGTTCTTCTTTTTTTTTTTGGCGTTTTGGGTTTTGCCGCTTACTGGTACTGGTACTGCTGCTGGTATCTGACGGATACAGATACAAAACGGCGCAGCAGCATCGACGGCCAGAGCAGGGAAAGGCAACCGAAAACCAAAAACCAACAACAAAGTCACTCAACGCGAACCGAAATCACTCAGAGCCCCGAAGAGAGCTCGAAAAATTCGCACATTTGCGCCAGGTAGCTGCGCGACGGTATCTGAGCGCTGCGCTGCCTGAGGTGGTATCTCGGCGGCAGGCATGAGATACAAAAACTCACAGTCCGTGAGCCGTTTGCTTTATCTCCGGCCGTCAAAGAACACAAAGCGTAACAAGTTTTTTATTGTTATAGATGCCTGTTGATACCAACATTGCACGCATGCGCAGAGCCAGAGACATAGAGTGAGTCAACGCAGGTAGCTTCCCGCGCTGCCAAATGTGGCTGGCAGTCTGGCATGTAAATGATATCCATTTAGCAGACACTTCCTCGTCTCCGACAATGCATCTAGTGTCTGTTTAGCGACAGAGTGAAGAATTTTGCAGCTTGCCGCAGACATTCAATCAAGCGAGATACTCTCCGCAGACTGTCCGTCCGTTTGTCCGCCAGTTCGTCCGGCGAGTAGAGGCTGTGTCAGGTAGCTGAGCATTTAAATGTCGCGACATATCAATGTCACTTTTTTGCTTTGTGTTGTTTATGATGGCTCGGGACGAGATGCCAGCGACGCAGATACTGCAACGTCCTTGGAATAGAAGACGTAAATGGCAGGCCCGAGGGAGTGAGCAGGATTCCGAGTGCCAGGAAGTAGGTCAAGGGATTAACCCGGGGGAATGCCATTTGGAAATTTAGACACTATCCTATAATCGAATAATAGTAGAGTCTGGCGTTTATTTTTTTTTAAGTGAAACGTGACTTGATTATCCCAAAGGCTAAGCCCCTTCAATGGACCCATTCTTCTTGTCTTAAGTCTTAATTAGATTATCATTACTATATATTGGTTTTTAATATCATAGCTTTCTAGAAACTTGGTGAAGAACTTTCCAACTCGATGGAAAACCTCATTAGAAAAGGAAAAGTGATGATGAGCGCCAGTCTGGCAACCAGTTAGTGGACTTTTCAGATGTTTTCTTGTATTTTTTGGGAATCTGCACAGCTGCAAGGAAAGCGAAAACAGGACTAGGAACTGGGCCAGACCAGGCCAGACTAGACCAGATCTGGCGGCGAGGTAGCGGCTATTAAATGGACACCAGCAGGTGATCGGATGACGATGTTGACACCGCCGAAGCTAGACAAATTCCCCACTTAATTGCCGCGCATTCAAATTTTGTCTCCATCAGATTCTACATTGAATGGTTTTTAGAAAACTGTCGCTTCTCTTTTCCTCGATTTTTTTGGGGCTTCGTTTCTTTTATGCCCAGGTTGTGGCTGGTGTCGCTATTATGAGGCATTTTTGTAGCGAAAGCCTATTGGAAAAACTTGTCGCTCGACTCGGTTTCGGTTTTCGGGTTTGGCTCTTAAAACAGGTGCTTTCTACGCCAGGTGAGTTTCTTGGGTCTCGGCCAGAGGTTGGGGGTCACATTCGGGAGACAGCGGCGTCAATGTGCCATTCGCTGTGATATATCGCATTATAATTGATGGGGCCCGACTGCGCCGGGTGCCGCTGCGAATTGCACTCCACGCATTGATGCGATTGCCGAAGATCTCCAGACCATCTCGAGACCCATGCGCAGCAACCCCCAGACAATGGACCACGTAACACCCCAGAGCGTTAAGCCAGAGCCAGAGGCACAGAAAGAAATAAAAGCAAACACAATACATGGATTTTGTTTGTTAACAAGCCCCCAGCCCCGCCCTGTGAATCTCGATTTGTTTGGGGACCTGGCTTAAAGAGAGCCGCCAAGTCGCGGGCCATTGTATAACATCGCATCGAACAATATGGGTGAAGATAGCATATGCGTCCGTACAAGAAAGAGGTGGCCACAATGCATGCAATTTGTTTTGATTGTAAGCCAAGGATTATGTCGGGACAACCCTAAACAGATTATGCGTGGCTTAATGGGAAGAGCTTATTCATAAACTGAAATCGCATTACAGCCTGGCTGGACAATCGGCCCCAGTTCCCTGGCGAACACTTTCACGCACCTTGCACTCTCTCCCTCTTGAAACCCAATACCCACCACCCCCAGGTGATAATCAGCTCAACGACCTCGACGTAATTTCAATCAAAGCCAACATGTACAGCTAAGGTCAATAGACTAGTTATCGGATGATGAACGTTTTTGAAATACCAATATAAGCTTCAAGAATCTCTGATATATCCTAAGCATGAAATATAAGTCCTTCAGACTATAGGATCCATAGTCTAATCGAAAACCTATTTCTCTTAACTGCACTGTTTCATCAAGTCCAATTAGCCATTATATAAATTAGCCAGGATAACAGCATATTAAACCAACTCCTGGTCGTAATTATGACCACCTAACCGGTGCCAACGAGGGGCGAAAAGCGGACTAATTAGGCTCTTAATTGCACGGTCAACAAATAAAAGATACAGATAGATGTCAGCAGGGATCGGGATGGCTTGGCTGGCTACAACTGATGGGGATGGTCAGGACATGTTAGTTGGAGGTCATGCGGTGGAATGGCTGGCTTACCTGCGCGCGTTCGTGGCCTGATGATGATGAGACTGGGGCAGAGGTTCGACTGGCTCTACTGGCTCTAATGATTCATGAGGTGGATGATGGTCATGCTCATGTTCGGGATCAGAGTGCTGGAGGCCATTCGCTGCTCCACCGTTCGTCAGCTGCGCTCCTAGGGCGCACAGATCGGTGGTGCTGTCGTTCTCCTCAATCTCGTAGTGGTCGTCGTAGAGGGTCCGTCGCAGGGCGGCCATGGGGACGTTGGGTGGCTCCACGAACAACCTCTCCGTGTTCACTGGGGCACCCGCGTCGAAGTTTAGGACATCCTGGGAGGCAGGCGGGGCAGTGCGCACAGACGAGGGCTCCAGGCTCTTGGCCAGGCGTGGGGCCGGGTTGGGGTTCCTGTCGCCCACTTGTTCGGATGAGCTTGCTGCTATGCACACCACCCCCGAGGCAAGCTCCGAGGGTGGCAGCGACTTGGCCTTGGCGCTCAGGTTGGTGACCTTGCGACTAGAGTGTAGGGCGTGGGCGGAGCCCTCTTCGCAGCTGCTGCTTCCGCTCCTGGCATTCCCATCGTGGCTAGGCTTCTGGATGGGCTTCTGGCTGGGCTGCTTGGTGTTGGAAGTGGGACTGCCGCTGCTGGCCAGGTTGCTGCTGCTCATCGGGGGAGGATTGAGGTAGTGATGGTGCAGAGGCCAAAAGGTCGCCAGCTTGTCGGTTGTGGAGTTAGGGGGCTGCTTCGGCGGGCTCTGATGGTTCAGGTCTGCTGGATCCTGCTCGTTGCTGCTGCTGCTGCTGCTGTTGCTGGCTCCCACGTCCAGGTTCCTCTCCTTGCATATTATGTCGTACAGGGCACTGATCGGACGAGACTCACTGCGCACCCGCACGGCTCGCCGGGATCGGCTGTGGAAGCGCTGCTTGTGTCGACTGTTCCTTCCAGATCCACTGGGAGGATTGCTAACTACTGGAGGAGGACTAGCCGGTTCTACGGGGTCACAACTACTGTTGATGCTTGTGGTGGTGGTGGTGGTGGATGCAAGGGGAGTGTTACTGCCGGTGATTGTGGTGCTGACTACTTCACCTTTGGTAGGGCTCACAGATGCCTGCGAGAATCTGAAGCAGCGTCCCTCGCTGCCGGTCCGCGGATAGAGGCCCCGGCGTCTCGTATGACTGTCGCTGCACGCAGAGTCGCCACGAAAAAATGCGCCACGAGCCTGTGTAGGGGCCGGGGGACTGCTATTGATGGGCGGCGGGGCGACTGTGGCCTTGGAACTTTTGGGAAAGGAGCGCTCCTCCACCAGCTGGGTGCTGGGCGTACTGTAGACACTCCGGTAGTTCTCGTTCAGAGCCCCCACGTCCGAAGCATTCGGCGTGTGGATCCTCAGCTGAAGATCCGTGTAGTAGGCGGGGGTCGTGTGGTGGTGGAAGTGGGGATGCTGGCCTCGGTAGGATGGCTTCTGCGAACCGGAATCCTCCGAGTGGCTCTGTTGCTGTTCCGGTTGTGGTAGTTCTTGTTTCTGTTTCTTCAGCTGACTCGGCTGGCAGCTGGATTTGGCAGTGGCAGGTGCTGTGGACAAGTCACTAGAGGCCGCGATGGTTTCTGCAAATGAAATAAAAATAAAAGGCAAGAGTGAGAGTGCGGCTAAATGAAAAGTAATGTTAGTTCGTTTCCCCTAATGGCGTTTTAACTTGGTCCCCCAAGATGTTCCCCCTTTTCTCTACACTGAGAAATGAAAGAGCAGAGTCTTGGAAATAATAAATTACTTGTTTCTATCATATTTCTGCCAGTGCGCAGTCCCCCATGTTCCTTCAACTAATGCTTGCTTTTCTAATTCACTTTTTCCACGCCGCACTTGGCGCGTAAAAAGCAAATCTTGGCAGCAATTAAATTGCACCTGAGCACTCGGATTAATATATTGCATGCTCTACAGCCACCCCAGACCCTCATCCCATCCGAGGCACCCGAAACACCCACAATCGTGTCAAGGTGAGGTGAGGGTTGCCTGCTTTTTATAGCCAAGCATCTGCTCTGGCAATGAGTGCATTTTCGCTTTTTTGGGCTACGGACTTTTGGCTCTGACTGTGCAAAAACAAATCTCATTTGACGACTGCCAGGGCATAAGCGATTAGTTATGCTGTTGGGCAAAAAAAAAAAAAAGGGGGGGAAGCGCACGGCACACGAGGGCCTAATTAATCACATATAGGGGCAGCACTTGAGAGGAAGATCTGTTGGTTAGGCATTTCCTTACAGCAACCGAGGGAAATGTAATTTTTATTGCGAAAAAGTAATCCCCATTTGACAGATGCTGCGCACATTCCCAGTCGAAAAAGTCGAAAGTCGATGTGGAATTTCATGAATTGGCACTCGGCGAATAAAAATAAAATAAATAACCAAATGCCGAACAAACGCTGAAGATCTGGTAAAGATTTTTTTTGCTGTTTCAATTTATTATGACAAGCCAGCAGCAGCCGGAGAAGAAAAAATATTATTCAAATACAATTAACAGATACACAGGGAGAGCTGGATCTTTCAGATATTTGTCCAGCAATTACGAATGCCCAGTGAAATTCAAATATTGGAACAGTTAGCACTTTTCAAGACGCAAACAGACTCAGTCCAGAGCCGCAATCGAATTGTGTATCTTATCAGTCGGTCTCGGCAAATATCGAAAAAGCAAGTACAATTCAGAGATCGGCGGAAAGGAAAACACTGCCCGTAATTAGGAACAAGTTTTTCGCTGAAAAAAATTCCTAAACATAAAGTATAATTGAATTAATGGAGCAACTAGTGTGTGGGCATTCGTCAGTTTTAATTTTAAGAACCTCCCTCTCATGCCTTCCAATCTGCGGCTGAAGGGCTGGTTGACTGGTTCCCCCTTTTGAGGTCACCTCCCACGGCCAGCCAACACAACAATTAAAAGAGAAAAACGTTGCCAAGCGCCACTGCCTCGGCATTTTGATCTTTATTTTTATTTTCCTGTGGTTGCTCTGCTGATGAATTCTTTAAAGCGAATCTAAATTTTTATCGATGTCACCTGAGCAGTGACTGGCCGGCAACGTCAAGTGCACAGCGCATTGCAATTGGCGATTGTAGAGAAATCAGTAAGAGTCTGTTTTAGGATTGTGGGCGGGAAGCACGTGTTCCCTATTTTTAGGGAACCGCAAATGTCAGGAGGCATCATCTGTTTTCTATAGAGTTCACTGAAATTCCTCACAAGACCTAAAGGAATAGGTCAAGTCCGGAACATCATCATCCATTTGGAACAAAAATCCATAGAGCCCCTAGTGAAGGCTATATCTTTGACAATATCCATCCGATTCCTTAGCGGAATACCTTAAACGATTTGTAGATCGATTCTCCGTAAATCTGCATCAAAATCTGAGAACAAAATATTTTGTACATTTTTTGTCAAATTTTGTGGAGGGTCCCCTTCAAAAATCCTCAAAAGTGGGTCCATCCATTATATGGCCCATATTGAAGGCTGTATCTTTGGTAATATTCATCCGATTCTTATGCGGAATACCTTAAACGATTCCTAGATCGATTCTCCGTAAATCTGCATCAAAATCTGAGAACAAAATATTTTTTACATTTTTTGTCAAATTTTGCTGAGGGTCCCCTTCAAAAATCCTCAAAAGTGGGGCCACCCACTATATGGCCCCTAGCAAATTCTATATCTTTGGCAATGTTTATCCGATTCCTATGCGGAATATCTTAAACGATTTGTAGATCGATTCTCCAAATACTGCATCAAAATCTGAGAACAAAATATTTTTTAAATTTTTTGTCAAATTTTGCTGATGGTCCCCTTCAAAAATCCTCAAAAGTGGGTCCACCCACTATATGGCCCCTAGCGAAGTCTATATCTTTGGCAATGTTTATCCGATTCCTATGCGGAATATCTTAAACGACTTGTAGATCGATTCTCCATAAATCTGCAGCAAAACCTGAGAACAAAATATTTTTTTTCCATTTTTCTGGATGAAATCCTTAAAAAATTCGAAGAACCACTTTATAGCCCTCATTGGGTGGAAATTAAGGAATAAGGGGCTAAACGCAGAATGATAGATAATTATTCTACAAATCATTTAAGGTATTTCGCTTAAAGATCGGATAAAAAATTGCCAATGTATGGAAATTGTGCCGTATGCCGGATATATTCTTAAAGCAAAAATACAATTTCAAGAAAATATTCGCCCGACAACAAAGTCTTTTGTCTTGGCGGCTTAAAAACAACAATTTATAACAAGATATACAATTTATAAACAGTATATTTTGGTAACAATGACAATGGCCGAGAAAGAGTTGAATGAACAAAACTCTATAAGGCTGTGGGGAACGTAGCAAGAAACGTGTGCCGGCCACAATTTGTTTTCATCCGAAACTGCACGGAAAATATTATATTTCCGAATGCATTTACGCAATGTCTAAATCTGGCCGTAAACAAACGAAAATCTTGCAAGGCAAAGTGCCAGCGTGGGATTCTCCAACATATATTGGCCAAGTTGGATGCCAAAATCCAAACCAGAAAATAAATAAGCCAGCAAGTCGTTGGCAATATGCCGCCTTGTGGGTTATTCGAGAAAAGCGATTTGCAAACGAACTATATCCCAGCCTGGTCGGGGCGCAGAGGTTTCCTTTCCGGGAAGGAGATAAAACTATGCCTAATTATTACGCTGGAGTTGGTGTAACTAAACCGCATTGGGGGACAATAACAATTACGGCAGAAGGCAGCAGGCGGCAGGCAGGCAACAGGCCACAAATACAAACTGCTGTCAACATTTTTGCGGCTTCGTTGCGTTGAATTACCGAACGCTTCTGCTTCTGTGTGTGGCAGCCAGGCTGATTGATCGATTGGGTCTTGGGACTGGGGTCTTGCGTCTTCGAGTGCCGCAGTCCCAGGTTGCATAATTAATAAGGTGGGTTGGGGCAGGGACAAGGCTTCAACTTGCTGCACTGCCGCCAATTCATATGCACTGTCAAGGCAATCCCAGTCAGAAGCAGAAAAAGAACACACTGGACAAAAAGTGGCAGAGATGGAAAAACCAAAAGTTAAATCAATATTGGTAAGAACTGTGAATTTTTCACAGTTTGCAACAGCAACAAGGCAAGAGTGCCGGGAGGGGCAGGCAGGCAGCAATGTTGCAACGTCGTCTCGGATTATTTTTAAATGCAAGGGCAAACTGCCCACGTTGAAGTGCCCCTCCACTAGTGGCCCAGCTTTTTTTATGCAATAAACACACATTTAATTATCAACAGCCAGAAAACCAACCTCTTATCGAAACTGCCCATAAACTGGTCAGTTCTGAGGAGAATCTTGGGTAAAGGCCTGGGAATCTGTTGATGGATGGATGTGTGTGTGGGTGCCTGGCAGGAAATTGGGTTAAATAAAGTTCATCCGATACCGATTCTTAAGCGTGGGATGAGTGGGAATCAGATTCTCGAGAGGAGGATAGGTTGAGGTATCTTTCAGGGCCTTTACGAGGCTCCAACCCAATTGCCTCTCTGAAGTAAACCTTGACCTCGTAAAATAAAGTCATAACATTGCAGTTTAGTACTCTATAAAGTAAACCGTTTGGGATGACAGGCAAATACCCCATAGAAAGTGCCCATCTCATAAATCACTCAAGTTAAACCAAGCCAAATAAAGAATAATTCCCTGGACGTAAATTATTTTATTGATGGCCATCAGCATTAATCCGCTTGCTCCAAACTTAAACTCTTTTATAACAGGTCGTGTGTACAAATGACCTCTGATTGGAAACAGCTTTATAAGCTGGCCTCTTGGCAGAACTTAACCCTTTTAAAGCTATACACCGGGTCGCAGGCCTAAGAGAATCAATAGATTAGAGGGCCTTGTCCACCACAGACAATAAAACAAGTGGTACAAAAACAAAGCCCTCAGCTTCGTAGACAAATGACATAATCTTTCTGGGTCCGGGTTGGGGGGCTCTTGTAAAAAAATAAATGTATAAATAAAATAAAAAGCATTAAAACAAACGATCTGCCAGACAATAAAGGGTCGATGTCGAGGTGTCTCTATCGCCAGGTGCTGTTCGGATAGTTTGGAAATATCGACAATAACGAAAGACAATACTCCGGAGCCGGGTCCCCAGCGACCATTTGATGGTAAACAATGGCAATACAAATCATTAACAGTTATTAGACGACAATCCGGTGGAAAAGGCGCATATATAGGGGAAATCGTGCAGATAACTGGCGACGCCATCGTTTAAAAATAACGAATTGCAATAAAAGTGGAACTCAAGGGTTTGAATTCGATAGCTTTGTCCAGTAACTGCCTACTTTTAAACTTGCTATGATTGAAAAATGATTCACTTTTATTATTCTTGAAATCAATAGTAGTTAGTGTAGTATTTAGGTACTTTTGAAGTAGATCCCTTTGGAATTATCAACCGACTTTTCATTTACTTAATGGGGAATGCCCAAGCCACCCACTAGTACACCCGTACACTGATTGGCACCTGTTACCCTCTGGGGTATCTCACAGATACCCGCTATCTCTCTACCCGAAATGCGTAGATTGCGATACTAACTGCGATACCGGGACATATCCAAGATACTGCCACTGCTCCTGG